AGGAATAAAACTTTCATATAGTCATTTCAAATGTACTACATCTAATTATTTCAAACGCATTCAATAGGGTTTAGGTTTATTCCTTCAATCTGATGTAATTACTGTTTTTGCAGCAAATTTAGCATTGTTGTCAAATCCAAGTCATTTCTTTCAAATCCCTCCATCTACACATTGACATTTCATTTTTCATGAATATCGCGAAATTCCTAATAGAAAATTCGCCAAACCCCGATCTGCACCAACCTCGAGTGCTTATTGTATTATACAACCCTGGTCATCGATCTTAAGCGAGATTAATAAGGATCGATATAACTCTTGTGAAGTACTTAATAGATTCTGTTTACGGAAAGGATAAGCACAAAAAGACGAATAGTTAGCTCTACCCTCTACTGCATGCATGTGGTTAATTTTAGACAATTTATGAGATCAAGGCAAAATGGAATCACGTGTACTTCCGATCCAGATTGATTCACTTCTATAGTTCAACTTTTCGTCTGAAAGGGCAAAGCAAAGCAACGTGATCCCAATTTTTCTTCTTCATTTTTTTTGTTGCCAATTTATTCGGCCTGAAAAACTTCGCTCGTTGGTCTATAAATCATTTGGTCAAGTCACATAAGTCTGCATTTTGTGAGAAAAGATTTTGAATTCCAAATTCACGACAAAAGTTTGTTGTATAGTTGAACCAAAATGAGAAAGAAAAAAAATCATCAACATGTGTGGATTCCATCACATCGGTTATTATACGAAGAGTGAGTATATATGTCACCAAAGTTTTTTTTTCCTCTTAAATATAAAGAATTCAAATGAAATTGTTGAAATGCTACGTGAAAAGAAAAGGAAACCTAATGAATCTAGTTTATTGCCTAATTGTTGTGTACATATACGTAATAATAATAAATAAACATTATCATCAGATTTGATTGGAGTTGGAGGAAAGCGTTTTAGAGTCAGCAACTCAGCAATTAGCAATTACCGCCTTGCTTTGCCCCCCATGAAGAAGGAGTCAACACGTGTGTTAGTTAAGAGAGTTGATTATTAACTATACATTAATTAATCAAAGAGATTAATCTAAAAGGAGTTGTAGAGCGACAAAAAAGATGGTCAACTGAAATAAGATTGTAAAATTAATTGTCTTGTTTCCCATATAATCGCTTGATTTAGGGACTGCAAGAGGAACTAGTTTTCTTGCTTACACACCTTAATCGTCAAACAAAGTTGTTTTCTTGCTTTACACACCCACTGATATAGGTGACTAATCGATATTCAACCAAAAACTTTTATACAAATATATGACATTGAGTTGTGTCTGTATTTGTGGATTTTTTTTTATTAAAAAAAAAAAAAAAATCATTGGCTTCTGTTATGCAAGTATGAAAAAGTAAAATAAAAAAATTAAGAAGAATGCACACTGAAATGAAGGTCAAAATTTCCTTGAATTTAGCTTTGCAATAAGAGTAATTCCAACTGCTTTTTTATGTAGAATATTTATGTTTGAGGTTATAGAAGAGGAGTTGGAAGTTCGCGTGCGCAAAAGTAAAATCGGCAAGTTGCAAGTTTGGGCTGGACTCCGATTTTTGGGCCCATGACCCACCCTTGTCATGACGTATGTGCTTTTTCGGACGTTCGAGATCGTTTAGCAGCCCAAACGAGCCTTTTAATATTTTGCAAATTTTTTTCATAGAAACTTTTGTTAATTTCCTTTTGTTTTCTTTTGTCTTCTAGGGTTTTTAGGATTTCTCATATCTTATAGATTCCAAACTTAATTCTTTAAGTTAATCGTTTGATTGTCTTATTACATTGTCATGATGCGTTGCAATGATTAATAATGCAGCATTGTGAGATATTAAGTATCGTGAACCTTAACCTGAAGCAAAAAAAGACAGCTGTGATTCTGTCACGTACGGACTAGAAAATTGGAGCAACTTGCAAAGTAGAATGTGAGCCACGTTTGTTGTTGAAAGTTCTGGTCACCTTAATTAGCATGAACGTTCACACTGGAAGATTCTGGTGATTAGGAGAGGGGGATGTACCAAAAGTCATAGAAGTTACAGGAGAGTAGCTCTCATAGTTTAATCATGTCAACGAGAAGGGACGATTAGTTTTAGGCTGCTTGATCTTATGGTATTAGAAGATGTTGATATAATGCCAAAAGTTGGTCAATGCACGAGATAACCCAAATACCGTGTCTGCAAACTTTAGTCATGAGAGGAATTTAAAAATAAACTCACCTTTTGGCTTTAGTCGTTAGGTCTATACGAGTGAGGATATAGGTTATTCCTTCCGAGAAACACCCTAAACATATTTGAGATTGAACTTCAAATTTTAGGATAGACGTTATGATAGATTTGTGTGCAGTGAAAGTTACGGTAGATCTTGTGTTTGGTCTAATGAAAGTTACCATAGAAGGGGAGAAAGTTAAGTAGGTCTATAAACGGATCGTATTTGAATTTGAGAAGCCTTTATTTCAAATCCGAATTCATTTATAAGTTGAATTATCAGATTGGACAGTCCATACCCCATCAACATTAGATTCATATGATAGATTATTATCAGATTCATTTTAAGACCTAGAAGAAGAGAATCAAAATCTCGTTACTAACGTTAATGACGTTATCTCTTTTTTGTTTTAAATTTTGATATTTCATTACAAATAAATAATTCAAGTGTATTCTCGATGCATATATAGGACTCAAATTACTCTCACACGCATATATAATATTTATATGAAACATCTAAAAATCAAATCAAATCTTATATTTAGTTATTGAATCAAATTATTATTGGCTTATAGAGCAACTCTAATGCATATTTGATTTGTTAAGTCAATCCTAACTATAGATTATCGGATTGAGAGTCTCAGTCTATCTTCGGGAATTTGAACTCGGTTGCAGAGTGTGGAGCACATTCGTTATAACCAACTTGGCAAAGCCCATGTTTGAATAAATGACAGTTGATAATAGAAAAAAAAAGTAACTTATTATCATCTTACTGTTGGTTTCTAAAATATACGTAATAAATTTGTGCAAAGTATACGTGTAGGGTTGATGGACAAAAAATTCGCTTGATAAAAGTATAAATGGTTCGATCTTAAGATTTTTGTAGCTGTTGGCTCAATTTGACTTTGGGGCCAACTTGTAGTTGTAAGAAGGCATTTCATATTTAGAGTAGAAAAAAACTAAATGATATGAAGGATGAACATGTGTTTTTCTTTTACCAGAATTGGCAAAGACCTGATTTCTACACAACCCCTATATTATACACATCATAACAAAGGCTATATTGCCAATACCCGATACCTAAAAGTAGGGGTGGTTGCAGTTCGGTAACCGCGAATTTTTGCCCAAACCTCAAACCGACCGACTATTTGCGGTATGGTGATTTTTGAAACCGCAAAAAGCGGTCGGTTACCATGAATTAGCGGTTTAAAACCGCAAGTTCTTTTTGTGTCATAAAAATCCAATCTTCCACATTTTATGCCTAATTTTGATGCTTCTTTTGAAGCCTTTTGATTTCAAATATGCTTTAACCCAAAAATATAAATTCATAACCTAAATAAATAAATTCACAACCTTAACTTCTCAAGCATATATAAATTCACAACCTCCTCAACTTCTCAAGCATTCACAACCTAAAGAAAATTAAAGTTCCAATTCAAAGCATTCCAATTAAAGTTAAACTTCTCAAGCATTCACAACCTCAACTTCTCAAGCATTCCAATTCCAAATCCTTTAAAGTTACAAGCCAAAAGGAAAATGCAATGCAAAATGAATTAAAGTTACAACCTAAAGGAAAAATCCAATTCAAAGTTAATTAAAGTTACAAACTAAAAGGAAAATGCAATGCACCAATGTTACAAACTAAAGTTACAAACTCAAGTGTTGGTGGTGGTGAGTGGATTTGAAGGACCATGTTGTGTTGTTTAAGCACCAATGCTATCTACAAAATGCAATTTTATATTTTTTAAAATATAGTGGCGATTTGCAGTAACCGCAAGTTTTGAAAATCAAATACCGCAACCACAACTGCAAATACGGTTCAGTTCTTCATACCACAAATGCGGTTCCTCTACAAACTTTAGTCATCAGAGGAATTTAAAAATAAACTCACCTTTTGGCTTTAGTTGTTAGGTCTATAGGAGTGAGGATATAGGTTATTCCTTCCGAGAAACACCCTAAACATATTTGAGATTGAACTTCAAATTTTAGGATAGACGTTATGATAGATTTGTGTGCAGTGAAAGTTACGGTAGATCTTGTGTTTGGTCTAATGAAAGTTACCATAGAAGGGGAGAAAGTTAAGTAGGTCTATAAACGGATCGTATTTGAATTTGAGAAGCCTTTATTTCAAATCTGAATTCATTTATAAGTTGAATTATCGGATTGGACAGTCCATACCCCATCAACATTAGATTCATATGCTAGATTATTATCGGATTCATTTTAAGACATAGAAGAAGAGAATCAAAATCTCGTTACTAACATTAATGACATTATCTCTTTTTTGTTTTAAATTTTGATATTTCATTACAAATAAATAGTTCAAGTGTATTCTCGATGCATGTATAGGACTCAAATTACTCTCACGCATATATAATGTCTATATGAAACATATAAAAATCAAATCATATCTTATATTTAGTTATTGAATCAAATTATTATTGGCTTATAGAGCAACTCTAATGCATATTTGATTTGTTAAGTCAATCCTAACTATAGATTATCGGATTGAGAGTCTCAGTCTATCTCCGGAGATTCGAATTCGGTGCTGAGTGTGGAGCACATTCGTTGTAATCAACTTATCTAAGTCCATATATACATGAATGAAAGTTGATAAATAGGAAAAACTGTAACTTATTATCATCTTACCATTGATTTCTAAAACGTACGTAATAAATTTGTGCAAAGTATAGAATTCAAATGTGTTTGTACCATATCTAACCCCCCCACCCAAGTATTGACACGTGGCAAATCTACTTAGGTTCAAGTCCTCCAAGTCACTTTTCAGTGAGCCATGCCCAAACGTCTATCAGCATGCCGCCACCAATTCACACTCATCCAATCGATAAGATGCCTACCACTAACGAGGGACACCAACCTCCGGCACGCGGTGCCGATAGACCAGTCAGCGCATTCGGCCGAGTCTGACAGATCACCTCGGAACTCCCGCCAGAACCTGTCAGGGCACGCATCGACCGCTGAAGACACCCCCACGAGTCCCACATCGAAACTAAGTACTAAGAGCGTCATAAATGCTCTCTATAAATAGAGCCCCTTGGCCCAGCCAAAAGGTAAGACTGTTTACTTGACTTGTGCTTTCACATCGTCAATAAAATTGCTCTTAGTCCCTAACTTTGGCATCGGAGGGCCTTCGGTAGGCACCATACCGGTGTCTTTGACTGCACCTGCCGTTTTCCTCTCTTCAGTTCGGATTCGGCATCTACTTGAGTCCCGGGACGCATCAAGAAGAAGGTCCCTCCGACCCCCGATTATCGACATACTTGTAAGTTAGCCTAATCTCTTATCTGTTTAGATTTAGAGCGAACAAAATGAAATTATTGAATTGAAAGTCTCAGTCTATCTTCGGGAATTCAAACTCGATTGCAGAGTGTGGATCACATTCGCTGTAATCAACTTGGCAAAGCCCATGTTTGAATGAATGAAAGTTGATAATAGGAAAAAATGTAACTTATTATCATCTTACCATTGATTTCTAAAACGTACATAATAAATTTGTGCAAAGTATACGTGTAGCGTTGATGGACAATAAATTCGCTTGATAAAAGTATAAATGGTTTGATCTTAAGATTTTTGTGGCTGTTGGCTCAATTTGACTTTGGGGCCAATTTGTAGTTGTAAGAAGGCATTTCATATTTAGAGTAGAAAAAAACTAAATGATACGAAGGATGAACATGTGTTTTTCTTCTACCAGAATTGGCAAAGACCTGATTTCTACACAACCCCTATTATACACATCATAACAAAGGCTATATTGCCAATACCCAACACCTAAAAGTATCCAACAAATTGCTCGAGATTCCTCATTAACTCGGGATTATCTCTTCCACCTCAAAGTAAGTACGTACATTAAAATTCAAAATTCATATTGCAAAACTTCATCATCAAAGTAATAAGGCCCCGCAATTAAACCAGACATCACATCGCCCTCATGATCATACGGATCAATGGTTGACGAAAGCCCGCTCAGGGGACAAGATGACTTGAACGTCGTCGGATGAGGTGACACATTATAATCACCGGATGATGAATGGTTGTGGTGGTGGCTTGCCATCATATGATCATCACTTGGTTGTGGTTTCTCTTCCTTGATGACGACCTCTTTCTTCACTGATGTGAAAGATGAGAAAAAGGGGTGGTCTTGCTTAATGTCGCCAAATCTGATGAAACTTGAAGACTCTCTAGGGCTTGTGCAATCCAAGATCAACTCAGAAGCTTTCAAGTAGTCTCTGCAAGTGTGGTTGCCATAATATGTGGTCCGAAAAACCGGTGGATCATCTAGAATTTGTTGCACGTGTTTGGTTGCTTGGCACGATTGATCGAATTTGTGGGTGCACCTAAAGTAGTTCCTGCATCATTTAACATGATCTCGGTCAACTTCATTTCTTGAAAAAAATATTGTCTTGTGTCGAATATTCGAATTTATATTTGATTTCCCAAGTAAGGTGTACCTTGGGTGCTTGGCATTATGGATGACTTTTTGTCCGTACTTCCTCCATGCATGACCGTCGTCAGTCAAAGCCGGAGTGTCTCTAGTCCAAGAGTGTGAAGTTTTCCTGCAAATGATTAACAAGTGACTCTTTTGTTTAGAACTTCATTCATTTGGAAAAATTCTCATGTGGATGAAATGATTGGTTTGTTTATTACTGGTAATGCTATATGGTGGTAATTAAGATAGGATTAAGGGGTATTTAAGTCACTCAATAGAGGGAAATGAGTAAAGTATATCCTAATTTTGTTAGTTTTAGGCATAGAATAGAATGGATATGAACCTATCAAAAGCAAGTGGCATGGTCCTCACTTCTCCCTTATTTTGTCTTAATAGAAACTTTATGCGTATATCGAATCTAACAGCTGTCGTGAGTAAATTATTCACGACAGCTCTTAGATTAATATTAACATAATTCAACAATTGTTGTAAGTAAATTAACTGTTGTGATTAGCATGCATGTAAATAATTATTTCAGAAAAAATTTATGAATTTATGCGAATCTAACAGTTATTGTGATTAAATTAACATTTGTTATTAAACAAAATTCTTTAGTGTAATTTCTCATGGGAGCTCATATGTGGGTTAGACCCTCATAGAGCAAAACCCTTCATTGAAATTAAGAATCCTCAGCCAAAAAAAAATTAAAAGAAATCACTTGAAGTGTAGTAAATAATAATTAAGTTACCTTCTCTTGTAAGAACCCCTACGATCCTTGAAGGTTGAAGCACTCTTACAACTGATCTCCTCATGAAAATCTTCAGACTTAATAATAGCATGATTGGCATCCCAAGATGATGAATCTGCAGACCCACCACCACTACTATTCCCTTGAATCTGATCACCAGAAACAATCTCCCCGTCAGCCTCCTTCCCATTTAAGATCAAAAGGGTATTTGCAAATGACCCCAAAATCTTATTAACAAGACCCTCTGCCGACTCAACATCTCCTCCACCACCACCACCACAACCACTAACAAGTGTTGACTTGTGATCATCAAGAACCCTACAAAGTTGACTTGCAAGCTCACGCCCTTGGATCAACTCCTCCATCACCCTTTCCCTATTTGATAGCACACTCTCTGGCCAAGACAACTCCATGATGAGACCTTAATAATTTTGATTAAGAACTAGTTAATCTCTCTCTCTCTCTCTCTCTCTCTCTCTCTCTAAATGTGTCTAAGTGTGTTTAGCTATGTGATGAGGAGAGTTCTGTGGTGTGCTTTAGCTCCGAAGTGATGAATGGGATATATATCGTTTTATATCCGTCAAAAGAAGGTCCTTCCTTCGGATTCCAATCCAAGGAAAGACAAGTGAAGGTCCATCAGAGAGAGACACAACCCGACACAATCCGCGCGTTTCACGTATTTCTTTCCACCAACGGCTGGATGAGCCTCCACGTGGTTTTTTGTAAAGCGAAATGTGTTTCGCCGTCATCGCATGAAGTCACCTTGGTGTCGTCATCCACCACCGGATCTTACCTGGCCCCGTCTGACCCTCTGGAAATATAAAGATATTTTATTTTGCTAATTTTAGTAAACCAATAATTTTAAAATTCCAAGTTGGTTGTTGGGCCATCTATATTATCTTAATCCCTGTTTTAAAATAAAACCATCTCATCTAAATTGGATTAGACAAACATGATTGTCAAATGACGAATATAGCCTCAGAGAATTTTGTGGTTCTAGGTAGGTTTGGTACTTGATTAAGGGCAAATAGAGGGGCATTTTGGGTTGTGAATAAGACGACAATAAGTTGGTAGTTAGATCTCCAAGGTCCTTGTTCATGTGGATAAGCATCTGTTGGAGGAAAATGTCCTGTGTGTCACTCTCATAGTACAATCAGCTACTCTCATGGTACAATTCATCATGTGCATATGTGACCTGTTATTATCAGAATATGATTTGTTATATGCAACTTTGAATATTAATACTAATCTCTACTAATGTATAGGGTTATAATATTCTTCCATGAAGCATTGAATTGGTTTCTTACTTTTCCTTCAACTCGTGAAAATATTCCTAATAGTAAGTAGCGTAAACCGGGTCTGCACCAAACTCGAGTCCTTATTGTATTAAACAGCCCTGGTCTTAGGGGAAATGGCAATGGCATCGATCTTAAACGAGATTAAAAAGGAGTCTCTCTTGTGAAGTGCAATAATTAACTAGTTAATAGGTACTATTTATGGAGGAATAAACAAAAGCTAGAGCCCTAGCCTCTACTGCATGCATGTGATTTTATACAATGTTTGAGATCAAGGCAATGCCATCATCACGTGAGTGTCGATCCACATGCTTCTGCTCATCACCATTGATCCACATGCTTCAGCAATCCCTTTTCTTCTCCTTTCCTTTCCTTTTGCCAGTTATTCCATAAGAAAATGGTATGCCCGTCCCTGGTAAAAGTGGTATCCAATCCAAAAACTTGTGCGGATTCCACAACTATTATCATCAGGGTTGGACGCATTACATTTGTGAGAATACTTTGAATTACGGTATTGCAATACAACGTAGGAGGAAAAGGAAAAGGAAAAGGAAAAGGAAGACTATAGTTAAAAGAAACTAGTTTAATACTTAGTTGTTGATTATGTACATGTAATAAAAATACATTATCAATAGATTTGATTGAAGTTGGACTTGGAGGAATGCGAGGAGCACCACCATGGCGTAATCTTGAAATGGGTTTCAGAGTCAGCAACTGGACATTGGCAAGAAGACATAGGAGACTAAAGGAGAGTTCACACTCTAGCTCTTGCCGCCTGTTGCCCCCCATAATAAAGAAAGAGTGATCAACACATACATGAGTTAGTTAGCAGAGTTAATCATTAAGTATTATATTAATCAAAGATTAATCAATCTTAAAAGAGCTGTAGAGCGATATAGAAGCAAGCAGAAGGTCAACACTACTGAAAATAAGATGGTACAATTAGTTGTCCCTAAACAGCTTGTTTCCATATAAATGGGTTTTAATGACTGTAGAATTCTTGCTTACACACCTCAACAAAGGACTTTTAGTTTTTCTTGCTTACACACCTCAATATTTGAGTGGAGTTTTGCTGGTGACTGACTGAAGTGAACCTCACATCGTAGGATCTATCTACCCATCAATGGTTCAAATTGTCAACAAACAAGTTTTTCAGTACTTTGGAAACATAATATTCAAATCTCTTCATGTGACTTTTTCTTTTTTTTCCTTTTTTTCTTTCTGAAAATTGTATGAAAAAGTTAACTAGAAAGTTAACTTTCCAGGGTGAAGTGGAAGAAAAGAAAGCATGCTGAATTGAATTTCAAGTCAAATTTTCCATTAAATTTATCTGTGCAGTAAGACTGTAAATAGTAACCCCAACTACCCTTAGAGTGTTTGATGATATTAACAGTGTCTCATGACCCTTGAATCTGAAGCAAGAAAACAGCTGTGATTCTGTCTTGTACGGACTAGAAAATTGGACCAACTTGCAGAGTGCAAATGTGAGGCACGTTTCTTGTTGAAAATTTTGGACACCCCAAGAATTAACGTTCACACTGGAAGTAAGGTCATAAAACTCAAGCGAAAATAAAAGTGTTATTAATAAATTAATCATGTCAACGACGAGGAACGAGTAGTTTTAGGCCACTTGATCTTACGGTATTGGATGATGTTGATATCATGCCAAATATTGGTCCATGCAGAGATGACATGATTAGATTATTCTGCAAATTTGATAAGGAATATTTTATACAAACTCAGCTTTAGGGTTTAGTGGTTAGGTCCAATAGGAATTGGGGTAGATTATTCTTTCCGGGAAGCACCATCAACAAATTTGAAATTGAAGTTCAAAGTGTAAATGGTTGGCACAATTTGACCGTTTGACCAATACTAGTTTATAATTTCAGGTCCTGGCAAAACAGGCTAGATGGCATTGTGGAAAGGAAAAGAAACTCAATGATATGAAAGATGAAGAACATGTAATTTTCCTTTTATCATTTTATATGTAAGCTGTTAAAAGAAAACACTTGCAGACCTGATCTCTCTACATAAATCTATTATATACTCTGGTGTTTCTGTCCTTTTCTTCTTTTTTTCCTCCCTCGCAATCTCTCCCCTTTATGCTTCCACTCTCTATGGACTACCACATCATATGACAAAGCTATGAACATAACCCTCTCATTTTGGCTATTGTCGATGCCCAGCACCTAAAAGACTCAAACAAACTGCTTGAGATTCCTCAACTCTGGGCTTTCTTCTTTCTTTTTCTTCCGCCTGATTTTCCTTCCCGACTAGAGTTATCAAATGAGTTTCTGGTAACCGAGTGACCTTCCCCTCTTCTTATCCTTTAACGGGCTACTCCACTTTGTTGTCAAATACCAACATTCTGTTTCATGTGTAGTCGACTAGTGCAACTCCTCTGAGAAATGAGGCAAGAAACATCAAGTAGGGTCGAGCAGAAACTCACAACTTAAGAAATAGCAAATGTTAGTTACAGAGCAGGCATAATTCAAATGCTAAATCTATTCACTAAACCCAAACGTGATGTTATGATTCAGATTTTACATGCATAACAACAAAGTTGTTATAAAACACAATGTTCAGTCATTTGGACAGAGAGATTACGTCACTGACCGTAATATGGCTTCACCAAGTGCAATTACTTACACTTGATTTCCTCCCAAGAAGGAAATAATGAAATATAGACTACTGTATAATTACTGACATTTGTACTACAGACCAAATTGAAACCAAAAACCAAATGAGGTGGTTAGCTTCCAACTATGTGATATCATCCATGAAAGATTCCTAATATCTACACAAATTTTTTCCAATGATAATCACTAGCTCTGACCCTCCCCCCAAAAAGGCAACCACTATCAAACAAAATGAAACCTAAATTATTATCTTTACTTGTTTACCTCGCAAAATATTCTGTATACAAAAGAAAAAGCTCACCTTCGAAATTTTGTAGCTGTGTTCCACTGGAAACCCATACAATGGACAAACAAAAGGGAACCCATCTCAGAATGAAATTTTTTCTGAAAGCTGGTAATATACACATCAACTTGAACCTTCATCTTGCTTTGAGCTCAAATGTTTATGTTGTCTACTTAATATCTCCGCTTCTCTAGCTATCTGGATATCTGAAGGCCAAAAAATTTGATGCACAACTTTCAATACAAAACGAGGGAGCAACGCTACAACTGTTATAAGCAAAATGGCGATCCAATATGTGGGAGACTTTGCCATACGGTATATAGTCCTGCCCCCAAAAGAAAAGGTGAAAAGAAAAATCAGCTCAACATAATAAATCATTTCTAAGTTCAAAACAGAAAGGGAACAGTAGAAGTCAACGAATCTAACCAGTAATTAGGAAAAACAGGTATGGAATCCAATACCACCATACAGGCATATGTGATAACTATTGATCCCCATACTGCAATATGAGTGATAAATACCCAACGATGAATGTCCATTGCCAAATGTACATTCACAAGGACAACAACGGCTATTGTCCACAAACTGCCCATGCTCCATATATCAATTGAGCTATCCTTATAGGTGAAGAGGGGTACATAGAATAGAACAAGACTCTGCCATAGCGTGTCAAGCATTGTGATCCAGAAGAGATGTAAATTGTATGCCTCATGTCTATGGCCCGCACCATAGAGTTTCGGATATTGTAACAGTGTCTTGTGGCTCAGATCTTTGTCCAGTATACCAACCACAATGGTAGGTAGAGAAGTATAAATTACAGAATAGAAAACACTACTCCAATCTGTTAACGCAGAAGTTGTTGAAAAGGCTGTCGATAATATATACCTACAGATAAACAGGAAAGCATAAAACAATCAGAATCATAACAAGTTTCAATATTGTAATTCAAAGAGAAAATGATCCTTTGGCTCAAAAGATGTTTGGATGTGCAATACATAATGTACTAATGACTTGGATGCACAATGGATGATCTTTCTTGGATTAAACTGTGAGAACTTATGTTAGACTTTGACCTTCAAGGAGTGTTTTGCTATTGAACTAAACTTGGGAAGATTTGGTCACACAAATGTTCAACTATATAAGATTACATATGGATGAAATAAGATGACACACAAGCAGCAAGCTTCCACGAGAATAAACCAAATAACCAGATAAACATGCATACCAAAATAGCATCATTACAAAAACTGCATTGCGGTAGAAGTTGTACAGAACCATATAGCCAACACGCTGATAATTCCAGTGTCCATGGACCAGAAGTAATCTTTTCAAAAACCGAAACTGTCCCATAGCAAAGTCTGATGCCATCACAGCTTGACGACCCTCCTGACCGCAAATTCCAACTCCAACATCCGCCATTTGAATCATTGAAACATCATTTGCCCCTAAAGAAATGTCAGTGATCAGGGGAAGAACAAAAGAAAGGAACATCACACCAAATAAAGCATAGTTTAGGACCACAGTTGGCATGTAACATAAGAAACCAGTAAACTCAAGAATATGAATTGCATGAGAAAACAGAACAATACCAATATGGATCCCACTCCCTCCCAGTCAGACAAACCACTAAAGACCTATGAATGGATAACTTACCATCACCTATAGCCAGTGTCATATCATCAGTACGGGTCTTAATTAGATCAACAATTCCAGCTTTCTGCAAAGGTGCAACACGACAGCATAACACAACACTACAGGAAGTGGCAAGGTCGAAAAGCTGTGGATGAAAAATAGAAATTAGCATGTAAATCCTCAGCATAATGTGAATTGAATTCAACAATAAAATGCGTGCAGCTAGAAAAACACTTTAGATCAAAAGCAAGCTATCAGCCATTTATAAACAAATGCAGCAATGCAAAAGACATATCAAACTGCAAGCTAATAGTTCAATAGATGGAAAGAGAGGCTTGCCTCTGACTCCAAATCCTTCTCCAAAATGTACACCAAACTGTTCCCATCTATTATAAGTGCTAATGGTGCAATTATCATTTCTTCTTCCTTCCCTGCATTCCATTGAGGCACACTGGATGTCTTTGCATTCCCAGGTATCTCAAGATAGCCATTTTCAGCATTCTTTTTCAATTTGAAACTCTGATCTCTTGTATTGGATGATGTCACACCATATTTTAGCATAGAATCAGTCAAAAGATTTCTGCACTCATCCTCAGAATTTCCATTTATGATAATTTGTTGCATATCTGCTGTCAAGAGTTTGCATGATAGACCAATCGAAATGGCAGTCTCTTGCTTATCTCCAGTCAGAACCCAGACCTTGATTCCTGCTTGCCGGAGGGACTCAATAGCTTCTGGCACACCATCTTGTAGCTTATCCTCAATTGCAGTAGCCCCCAGCAGCTTTAAGTTGCATTCTATGGTAGCTGCCGTTTGACGTAACTTCAAGGATCGATCAGTCAACGAGGTACTTGCATCTTCATACATGCATTGCCACTGCTGAAGTTCTTCATCTGTAAGATCCCTGGCAGCAACTACAAGAGTACGTAAACCTTGTGAGGAATACTCACTCAGATGGCTCTGAGTTGAATGTTTCACATCATCATCCCTTTCAGAGTCATTTGTTAAAGTGCTGAACATAGTAGTATCGGCACCTTTCACCAACACCTTTACAGCATTGTTCGGAAATCTGATAACAACAGACATCCGTTTCCGCACGCTATCAAACTCATGCAGACCCAATACATCCAACCTAGATTCCACATAAAAATAAATTTAAAATTAAAAAACGTCAGTAAAAAAATAGCACAGAAGTATGTTAAAGCACACACATACACAACGCAAGTCGTCACTAACATGATTCAAACATACAACCCCATGTAATAATTATGAAAAAGAATGGACAGCTAATTGAACGAAGAAAGGACAAAAAAGAAAATAGGAGTAGAAGTGAGTAACTTTCTACCTTAGTTTCTCACCATTGACGTCAATAACAATATGCCCAGATGTGCGCTCAAAAAGCGTATATCCATAAGCAGAGGCTGCAGAAACTAGCGCTTGCTCATCTGGAGATTCCCCCTGATAGTCAATAGCTTCTACATCATCATCTAATTCACTTTTTGCAGAAATGGAAGATGTACCATTACTGACAATCGGAACCACAGTATTACAAGCAGCCAATGTAAGGAAAAACTCATGTGCAGCAATCCTGTCATCTCCACTTAAGTCTTTGTGCAAAAACTCCATGAGCTCATGATCTACAGCAATTTCGCTTTTAAGCTTCCATCTCTTTCTACCTAAACCTACTCCTGCCAAAGATTCATAAAATGAGAGGGATAATTGTTTAAAAGGTAGATTTGGATATGCTTTATGAAAGTATCATCTATATTCCGCAAGCAGACAATTCAGAGCAATTTGAAACAGCTTTTCCTCAAAATAACAGTTTTAAAAAGAAAACAATGTTTCAAACACTAACATAAATTAAGAGCATATTCTGTAATGCTTTTTCTTTTTTATGTTTTCTGTTTATAACTAAACAAACAGAGGGGAGAGAGAGATGCAGCGGAGAAGGGATGATAAGAGAAAGCTGGAAGAACACATATCATGATTTTTAAATGCTCTCTAACCTTTCTTCCTCATATTTTAACTAGAAAAACAAAAAAAGATACGCCCTAACTACTCAGCAAGCGATACAAATAAATAATTGCAATGAAAAAAAATGTCACACAAATGACATACTTATAGAACCAACGTAACATTACACAATTTGTTATGCAAGAACTACAACATGATCTCTACTACAAACGAGGTAGGCCCCAAAGGAAAACAGGGGGAGAGAGAGAGAGAGAGAGAGAGAGAGGGAAAAATTTAGAGTGCGATGTTATACCTGCATCATTCTCTTCCTGCAAAGTGGTCCCAAAATTCCTCCCAAATATACTTGCTCTTCTGAATTCCATTTTGTTTTCAGTAAGTGTCCCTGTTTTGTCTGAAAATATATATCGTATTTGACCCAAATCCTCATTTATATTCAAGGACCTGCACTGGAACCTTGAGCCAGAGCTACTGTCAAACATATGCCTATCTTCAATCATGAAATACGACTGGCCCAAACGAACCAATTCCATAGTAATATACAGAGAGATTGGTATCATTATCTGAAACACTATGATAGAACTCAAAAAGGAAAAAAAAATCTCCATAGGAATTCCATAAAATCTAAAGGTTTTTCCATTATCCCTCCCAGATAAGTAGTATCTTTTCCTGTAATAAGCCAAGGTATCAATCTGATGTTTATGGTGTATGAGCCACAGGCCCATGCCAGTGGCCACAACTGCACACATAATAAATAGGAAAATTGACAGCCAAAAGGTTTCCCTGTTCATGTAGCTTTCCAGTTTGCTTCTCTTGGAAGGAGAAGCTGCACTATTCAGCATTGCCTTTGTTTCCTGTCCAGCATATACCACAACACCAATTATCCAGTCTGTGTTCTTCAACTGGCAACCACGCAAAACTATGTTCGATTGGCTTAGCGGAAATTTATGCCCATTAAACTCCATGTTGGCCGTGAACTCATAGATATTCCGATTAGGTTGTTCACATCTGATGAGCCCCGAAAATGTACACCCTTCAGATACTGCTGAAGTTGTTTCCTGCCGAGCATACCTTGTTTTCAAGTTCGACTCACCATCCAAATTCATTGTTTGAATATAGGCAATTCCACTAGGGTCACTTGTCCCTAACAAGACCACGTCACAAGGAATTGTGTCATCAGCACAAATCTTCAGAACCTCACCCACTTGAATATGTTTCCATTTCTTTGGTTGAAATTGGCCAGATTGAAACACTAAAGCCTCCCGGTTATTCTCATTCCTGTCTGATCTATGCCTGCGCCAATCTTCATAGCCATCTTTGATAGCTGTGACACAGAGCACAAACAGAAGGGGAAAAAGAGACACTGTTCTTCCAAAGACTGCTAGAGGTGGAAGCTGGTTCAGAGCAGCAATAGCTAGAAAATACAAGTACGCAACCCGGTGAAACTGAATGAAAAGATTCTTGGGCAAGAAGGTAATGATGGTGTACTTGCTAGTTCGAATCTCGTTCCCGGTGAACTCATATTTGTCATTTGTCCTCTTCGGATCATTAATATAGATTAACCTTGGATTGTCATCATGTAGCAGGTTATCATCAAACTGCACACTTTTGTGGCGGATCCTCTGACACAACTTTTCCTGAACCCTTGATGGAGCCTGGGAGATTTCAAGAGTTCCTGAATTTGTATTGGCATTATGCAGTTCCATGGCACCCCACGACACCAGGCGTGTTCTATCCCGCGTGGGGTTTTCCAACGGAAACCGCGGAAATAACTGAGACCCTGCTGGATGAAACTGCGTTGCTGCTGCAGGAGTACTGAAATTTTCCAAGGGTTTCTCAGAGCAACCAGAAACGAGAGTGTTGTCCTTCACTTCAAATAGATCACTTTGAGCATCGTCATTGTTGTCAAGACTGGAAGAAGAAAAGGAAGCATTGGAGCAGAGACGGGCAAGGTTCTTAGTGAGAGAAGAGGAGTGAATCACTGGTGCTGATGAAGAATCAGATGAGGATAGCAATGGCTGCCCAGAAGTCATATATAATTCTCCAATGGGGTCATTGGAGAATTATATATACACTTCACCCCACTTCTAACCACCATGAACAAATACTGTCAATCAAACCAAAATTCCCATCTCCCAAATGCAGCTTCAGGCAAACACCACTACTTAATCAAAAAACCCAGAATCTAGAATCCCTCTAATCCCAAAATTGATGGTGGGTTTCCAATGTATTCACATTCCACACAACGCAATGTGAAATTGAAGCTCCTGCATAAGGGAAAAAACGACAATGTAGCTCAGTAATACCACCCAGAACCCACATTGATCTCAGAAATATACAGATGTGAACAAAAAGAAGACAATTTTTATGTACACTCAAAAGGACTAGATCAGAAACAGACCTCCCCTTAATGGGAGAGAGGGAGAAGCGAGGGGAGACCCCACAGATACCCAACAGCTCAACTTCGATCCAAGTTCCAAATAACAACGGACTTCCACGGATCACCAAGCAAGCAATGCCAACGCTAAAAACGAACAAAGACAAGAAAATACGGTTAATGACCAGTCTGAATCACTGTCCTGCCCTGTCCTTCCTAACCCTAATCCCATTATCGGCCAAAATCAAAACCCAAATAATTGAAATTCCTAGAAACGATTCAGAAATCATATACACCAGAATGTGCTACGAATTCCGTAAAGACGTGGAAATAGAAAAACAAAAACAGGAAAATAAACAATTTTTTTATTTAAAAAAAACCCAAAAAACAACAGACCTCTGAATCCGAATAGAGACAAGGGGAGCTTTATCGTCTCGGTATTGGTGAAACGAAAACTGAGCAGATTTTGAGATGTCCTTCAATGCACTGAATGCGAAATGTCACAATGGCAATTGGCAGGCAGGCACTCTGTGACAAACAGATCGGGAATTGAATGAGCATAAAAAATAAATGATCTCACCCTGAGTTTTTTCTTATTGTTCGATTTAAGAAATTTTCATGAACCAGATCAGGAATGTTTGGAAACGTGTTTGATTGGTTCATGCAATTGGGGAAGAAAAGAAGAAGAAAAAACTTAGGGTTCGATGAAGAAAAACGAGATTTAGGCGATTAATTCAGTTTTGTTAGGAAAATTGGGAGGAGGAAGAGAAGGAAGGAGGGAGGGAAAGAGAATATTGGGACGTGTCGAATTGGAGGGAAGGGGCTGGTAGGTGGGCGGCACGAAAAGGCCGAGAAAATCGCAGGCGGAGGACAAAGAAAGAAGAAGAGAGAGAGAGAGAGATGAGCGGTAAAGCACGAATCTTGGGGCCTTGCCTTTGCCTGGTCACTACTGACGAACTCTTCCTCGTCTTGTCAATCTGTACCTGAGCTTTTTGCCAGCCAACGTCCCCCTTAATTTTTATTTCTTATCTTCTAATATTAATAGGGGATAATTACACCAGGGGCATTATCGTAAAATGTTGCTCACTTGATTTGAAAGTATACCCTTTCAATTTATTATTTCTTTTTTAGAAACTATACCCTGTAAATTTATGAGTCGCATCATATTTGGATGTGAATTTAATGAGTCAGATATTCCGTGTTATATAAAATCTCCATAAGCTGCAAAAATATTTTACGGTATAATTACGTATTATAAATTGTTACATACATGTATAATTACGTATAATTATATATTGTAAATTCATTGGATACGATACGTAATTATATTATATTGGCTCACTAAACCAATCTAAATGTTCGTTTCATGATCCTCTTAGGGTATATTTATATTTTCTTAATTTTTGGTACAACTCCTCTTAAACCTCTTTGAATTTTGTAAGGACAAATCAACTTAACTCGGATCACTCAGACTTTGGGGATTACGCAATGACAAATCCTTCTCACGGTTTGTATTTTGTTTCCAAAACTACCCCTAACCGTTGAACATAATCACATGTAAAGCCTAATTGGATTAGCAACCGTAGATAAGTTGATTCAAGGTAATAATAGATCAAATCATGAGGTTCAAATTGCGCTACAAATATAACTGCGTACATGGAATTTTGTTGAAGCACACAGATTCCCTCTTATGTCAGTCACCAACTCACTTGTGTACTACATATTCATGAACCTTCAAATCTCAAGACGATAGAGGTTCCTCCAACATAATGATGTTGCTCTTGCTCCTGTCGTTTTGAAGCAAAAATATATCGTCTTCCCATAATACCCTTACAAAGTTGTTCCTATTGGCCTATTTAACAAATCAATAATGCACTTTGCCTAACAAAACAACCAATGTCCTTTACGATTATTGAGGAGTCCTTTTTCACCCCCTTCACCCTTATGTTAATAAGGTGAGAGCTCGTGTGCTCGTGAGCAGTGGTAGAGTCATGAATTTTATCAAGGAGGTTCAACTTTAAATAGCTTTATAATTACAATAAACGTAATTTTTTTATAGGAAAATATATTTCAAAATTCATTATAATGATTAAATTTCAATATCACAAATTTAATATCTTAGTAAATATAACCCAAATTCTAGCAACCTAAAAAATAATGAAAGAGTATCAAAAGTTTATTTTAGATAAAATGAGAAAATCAAATAAAATCCATGGCATACACATATAAATGACATATGAAGACATGAGAACAAATATAGATGATATTCGTGTTCATTATAGACAATTTACATTTGCAAGAAGGATCAACAATAAGTATAGCCATAAAACAACTTAGATAACATAGATAAATATAAGGTTTTCAAAATGTTTAGAAGGGAAAAGTGACCCTTATGGGCCTTAATTGCCTACGCCAATGCTCGTGGGACTTACTATGTGGATCGTATGTTATGGGTTTTAATTAAGCATAGGTTAGTGTCACAAACATGCAACATTTGGTATTTGGAGCGCAATGAATTCATTATGCATTGTAGAACTAATTTTCTTTGAACAATATGTGGAGCTAAAGCATATGGCTAGGCTTTTTTGTCAAACTCGGAAAGTCTAAAATATCTGAACAATGAACTGCGATTTAACATTTCAAACATAATGAGGTATTATATATGATATTATTCTCTTTCTCAAAATTCTTCAAATGCCACCACAAGACTTTGGGGCAAAATTCAAAATAAAAAGGAAAAAAAAATTCCATTAAGCAGAACTTTATAGAAGTATCACTTGTCAGTCTTCTCTGTAACGATTTCGGAATTGGACGAAGCAGAACTCAGCTTCTGTGGTGTGTTTTCATCCACCGATTCTTCCATATATTCAGCTGTCACTTCCTGATCAACAAAATAGTAATAATAATTAATTAATTAATGTTATAATTAAAAGAAAACAACACATCTTTCAGTCAATTTCAAAACCACGACTTCAAATCTGATGAAGGAAATATTGCAAATGTGATTTACCTGCGGTGTCGTTTCAATTTCAGTGGCCTTCTTTTGTTGCTCCTTCTCTCTCAGCGATCGAATCGGAGACACTCTCTGTTCCAAAAGACTCAAATTAATAAAGCCATACAAATGAAACAAAAAAAGAAAAAGAAATTCATATGAAGTATATGCAATCGGAGCTTACAATTGATCGAGTATGGAGCTGGTTCAGCCTGTAAATCCTATCAAGCTCGATCTCAAGCATCTTCTGAATCTGGCCTCTGCTATCGAGCTCCTTCATCTGCATCTCCATCACCAAATCTCTTTCCTTGAGCATCTTCTCCGTTCTCTCCCTGTCCAATCTCAGCCTCTCCATCTTCTTCCTGATTGCGCTCAGCTCCTCCGCCAGGGACGCGTCGATCGGCTCGAGCATCTTCGTCGGAGTCGCGTAGATCGGACGGTTCTCCTTGTTCGAATCATCGTCAACGCCTATCCATTTCTGCACCGGCTTGAGTTTTGTAAGATTGGAGTTCACCGGAGTCGCCGGAGTGTTCCTCGGCTGGAGAGGCTTCCTGCCGCTTTTTGGCAGGAGAAGCTGGTCTCCGGTGACGGGAGATTGTAGCGCTTGCATTTCTTTACTCTCTCTCTCTCTCTCTGAAAGATGCTCGGCAGCAATTGAGTTGTTATCTGCTGGAGATAAAGAAGAGGGAGTTGAGAGAGAGAGCTGTTTGAATTTGAAAGTGGAGAGGCGCTAAGTGCTAACGGCTACAATTTTGCTTACAGGTTTATTTATAAATAAGCTTCAGATTCCAACTTCGTTTATTTAATTCTTTATTATTATTTTCAGGAAATGATTGCGTGCCAATCAATACATCCGACACGCTCATGGGTAGGGCCCCCCTCATTAGTTACATCATATCGGGAAACGACGAGAAATTATGGGGACGCAAACACAATATTTGAAGCTTCGTTTGGATGGACGGTGAAGGGTAAGGCGGTAATTTTGAACAGGTAATATGGAGGGTAATGTAATTTTAAACAACGAGAGCAGTTTGCTCTAATTAAGGTTTTCTTCTCTATCCGTGTCACGGATTTCAAGAGTCAAACGGTGCGTTTGACTGGTCCACTGCCTTCAATCTGTTCTGCTGATAAAGTTGAATATCCTTTTCTTGTTCAAAGGAATTACTTGAGAATTGAGATCAAAACGACTATTTGTAGGTTGGATTAAAATATGGACAATTTAAGCAACATGACATTTATGTTGGAATCTATTCACCCAATTTTCAAGCTTATATTTGACATATGAATGCATTACAATGGTGAAACCTAGGCCAATCTTATGTATATTATCTACAATAAGGTAACAAAACCGCCAGGATTAGAAGTAATCCATTGGGAGGTCCCAATCATCATTGGTCTCGCTTTTCCTGGAATTGAACTTCTGGTTGCCAAAGCTTCTTCTTGTATGCTTGTCCGATCGTGCAGGTCTTTCGAAATCGGAATATTCGTCAAGCTCATCGATGGAAGTCGCAACATTTTGGCTGTCCAAGAAACCCTGTTTTACAGATAACCAGAAATGGTCACATGATTCCCAGTGTAAACTTCTGTTGCTTGCATGCATTATTTTTTATACCCTCTTAATAATTTCAAGCCCCTAAACCCTAGTGAAGATAGAAGGCGTTTTATCAGATTTGAGACAACAGCCAATGATACTAAAAACGCAATCCAAGGTGCTAATCAGGCAGAAAAAAAACTAGTAACAAATAAAGCAAACTCCAAATCATGACTAGTGGACTGGTTTTACAGTGAAGAAAAAGAGAGTACCTTGGTCAGCCTGTGTATGCGTGAAGCTGCAGCTTCATGCACAATGACAGCATCAGATACAACTTCCAGCACATCTTCAACAAACAAAGCATAAGTACTCACCTGAAATTGTAGAAAGCCGATGGAATTAGAATTTGAGCAAGTAGAATGTTGTTCGAAAAACACAGAATATATCAGAAAAATCCCTTGACATGCAAGTCCTTCTAATTAAAATGGAAGGAATTTTCAAATATTCAGCCTTTGCAGCATTGATGTGCACTATTTCCTCTACACCTACCAAACTTGATGGGATAATGGAAATCCCAAATGAATCAAGCTCAAGTGATTCCACAGCCCCTGAATTGATGTTAAAACTGTATCCTCGAACCTAGAAATGCATCATGAAACAAGTTAGAAGATAAAAACGTAGGTCAATGGGTACAAGAAGCTGGAATATTAAAGAGACTCACCTTTCCCATAGTTCGTCGACCTGGTGTTACAACTTGGTATCCTACCTAGCAAAATCACAACTTAATAGTAAAATGTGGATACTAAAAGTTATAGAACAAAATACTCCAAGAACCTTTACATAGTGAGCATAAGCAGAGCCTTGGCCCTCTTGGGAAGGGTAATTAGGATATTGTCCTAACATTTAGCATGTAGTAAAACAAACTAACCCACCACATTTACTTAAATCAGAAGCTAAAAATCAACACATGCAGAAACCGAACACAGCAATGAGTACCCTAAACCAAGGGACAATAAAAATGTTATAAGCAAGCAAATACAGTTTGGCTATATATAAGAGACGAATGAACACACCAATGTTTCCAGTCCAGCAATTTTAAATTCATTCTCAACCACACTCTCGTCCTCCACAAGCACAACATCACCAACCTGCAAACAATCACAAATTGAACACCTGTTATATGTAGGAGGATAATGTACTTATAAATACAATCAAGAAATATACACAAGTGTCAAGCAAAATGTACCTGAGTAATATCGTCGAGGAGAAAACGTTCAGATTCCCCAGAAAGCAAGTTTCGCTTCACTTCTACAAACATTACCATCCACTGAAGAAAGAATTTATATGTTTAACTTATTAAAGCAAGCAATTTTTTTTTCCCCCACAAATTGGCAGCAACTTGATCAAGCTAACGACTTTTTATCAAACAATATGATAATTGATAGTTTATTACTTACAGAGTTGGTGTTGACCCAAAGCTGTGAAACAAATCCCAAGCTGAGAGCACTTTGGATGCTGATCACTTGCTTTGCAAGAATATTGGACCTCCTCATCACCTGCCTCCCTTTTCTTAGCCCAACTTTTCCATCAATGTGCTTCAACCCCTCCTCATTTTCCAGCCCATCACCATCTGCACCCTCCATTCGAATCCAATTCTCATTTTCTAAGCTCTCATCAGTCTTTGTACTTTGCTTCTCATCCCCCAGACCACCCTCCGATTGCAGAAAATCTGAACCCAATGAAGCATTACCTTCCTTACTGGGATCAATCCCATTTTTCTTTGCCGCATCGCTTGGTTTTGCTTCGAGGTCGAAAAGGTTTTCCCTTTTCTCCTTGAACCCTAATTCAGCGCCAAACCCAAAATCCTCTGAGGGATTCTCGCTCGCTCTTCTGCAGAGGACCAAAGACCTACCATTTCTAAGACATGTTATGTCTAAATTCGTGAAATTTGATAGCTTCAAACAATTTGGGATGTAAAAGTAAGGATGTGGTAGCCTCTGGGGTCTCTGATTGGTTCTGCAAAACCCTAATTGTCGAAATTTTGTGACAGTAAAGGATAGGGGGCTGGAGGGAAGACAGTCACACATGGTTTACTCAAAATACTCGACAGTCTGTCAATCAACGGAATTAGTTGTTGATTGAAGACGAAGTCGTTTGTAGCTGTAAGTAAACGACAAGTCGTTTGTTGTGTTTTTTAAGACATGAGTTCAAAACTAGTGTTGACTTAATTATAAATTACTTTTGCAAATAAATAAATAAATAAATAACTTTTGGAATCAAATTAGGATTAGGTTTCAATTCAATCAGACATATAATTCAACTAATTAGGCCTCGTTTGAAAGTGATTTTGGAGATGCCAATAATCATTTTTATGGAAAATCACTTGCCAAATAATCATTTTAACTTATTTTAATGAATTTTATGAAGAAGTATATGAGAGATGCTTATCCCCATAATCACTAGAGTGATTATATAGACAAGTACGTGGAAGTTGCTTCTTTCCAAAAGTGATTTTAACCCATACATAATAACTCCCAAATGAGCCCTTAATACTTGGATTATCCACTTTTTTTTTGTATCCATAAAAAGATAAAATAGGATATGAATGAAGATTGAAAATGGAGATACAAAATGTTTTCCACGTACAAGGTGGTACCAAATACAACTTTGGTCAAATGCGTTATATTTTTTATACATCATATAATGTTTAAAGTATTAATGCAATAAAAATCAATGTTTAAAACCAATTTGAATTGAACTGTATTTTCATTGAGAAATTCATCTGTCAATCCAAAATTTTTTTTTAAATTAAAAAAAAAAAAAAAAAAAAAAAAAAAAATCATGAAGCCGACCAAATTGAATGAATTGATCACTTCTTCAACATTTTAATTGATATATTCATACTCCACTCGTATTTTGTGCATATAGAAGTTCAAGAAGACACTCCTTTTTGGAATGTGTGGTAACCAAATTAAGCCAAAACCCTAGGTCAAATAATTCATTCCTTTTGGGGATTATTTGACCTAATTGGGAATTAATAAACCTAATTGGGAGTTACTCAATTTAATTGGGGGTTACCCAATTAAATTGAAGACTACCTAATTGGGTTGAGAATTGATTCCTAATTCCTACCCCGATTCTCAATTAAATGAGGAGTTACCTAATTAAAATAGGATTTGATTTGATACCTACCACAATTAGGGATTTGATTTACCCTAATAAATCAAATCCCTAATTAATCAAATCAATTCCATAAAGGGGAGGAATAATTCCATTCCATCTACGGAATTATTCCTCTGAAACCCTAGCCTCCAAGACCATTATAAAAGCATAGCCAAACACAATGGTGAAGGTACGTCTAAATTCCTACTGAAACTCTGCAGAAATCATTTCTCACAAACCCTAGCCACCACTTTCTTTCTCTCCCTTACACAAGGCTCCGGCCACCACACACGGCTCCGGCCACCCGGTTTTCCTTGAAATACCTTACCTAACTTAGGCATCGGAGGGCCTTTGGCCAACACCCCCCGGGTGTGGTCCTTTTACTCCGATCTGTTTTGCAGAGAGAAAGAGAAGCGGAGAAGACGAAGGAATCTTTGACAAATATTCTCGTGGGGAAAATCATTCCCTCCAAATTGGTGCTTTCATTGAGAGCACGAGTTATACTCAACGCGTGCTCAAGGAATCCGTTCCTCCTATTTTCCAATCCACCGAAGCCTTCCAAACAACCATGGTTGGAAGCATGAAGACGAGAGGCAAAACCGCCGCGATGGCTAAATCCGCGACGGCCCAAAGCCACTCCGCCCACGATCCCGCGATCGACATGGTGGCCCCACCACCTCTCACCACCGCACCGGCCACCGCCGCCGAACATGGTGGAACCTCCTATCAAGGTGGGCTTGTTACCACCGCTGACTTAGGCCCGATCTTGGAGCAACTTCAAGCGATCCCTTCATTGCCTCCACGCTCGACACACGCTCCCGCGCACACCTCCAATGAAACCCTAGCCCGTGTGCAATTGGGCTCCACACACTTCTCTCCTCCTGATCCACGAAGTCAAGCAGACCTTAGTCTGAGAGTTGACCAGCTAGCTCAGAGAATGGACGACCAAAGCGATCTGATGAGGCAACTCCTCCACCAAATCAGCTTGGCTCAAAACCTTGGCCTTGGACAACTAGGCGAAGAGAGAAGGATGGACGAACGCACCGGCAGGCAACTCAACGGGTACCCAGCAGGTCAAGCAGGAGTAGGCAGACAAGGCGAGGGACAACAACTTGATCGGCCTACCGACATGTCACAAGCATCCGCGAGCCCCACTCGGAGCAGATTAAGTTCGAGGAACAACGTGCGCGAGAGGCTAGGCCCACGACTTGACGTCCACGCCCGCTTGGGACCGCAGGGAAATGTACTTCAAAGGCTACGCCCCCAGGGAGGACAATCAGACAACCATCGCAACGAGGATCGTGAAGAAAGACGCTCAGCTGTCCACTCGCAGACGAACATTCACGAGAGGCTACGTCCCCAGGGTGGTCAACCGGATAATCCTCACAATGAGGACCGCGAAGAAAGACGCTCCGCTGCTCACTCACGAAGAGACGGCTCTCGTCGACCAACTACGGAGAATCTCTCGCAAGCGCAGTCCACCAACACTCCGCCTAGGCAGCGCAGACGAGAAGGTCGACACTCGCAGACCCAGGAGGAGGTCAGTCAACGTCGCCCGAATCGCGATGGTCGCCAACGTGATCGACCAACAATGTGCATAGAGGACGTCGAGAAGCTTATGAATGACCGACTTCGAGATCTGAAGACTGGTGGGAACCTCGACGATGCACTACGCAAGGAGATCGACCATGCAAGCTCCACACCTTTCACTGCCGAAATCGAGCAGGCTGCTCCCCCAAAGCGATTCTCCACACCCTTCGTTTACACACTTCAAAGGGGACTCCGATCCCGAGAGTCACCTAAAACACTTCAAAAGTGTCATGATCCTCCACAAGGCCGACGACGCGTTGATGTGCAAGGTATTCGTAGTGACCTTGCGAGGAGCAGCCCAAGATTGGTTCCACACCCTGCCATCTGGGTCGATCAACAGCTTCAAGGAGTTGGCTTACGTCTTCACCAAAGAGTACACCTCTTACCGGACGATCAAGAAGAACCCTGACCACCTGTACAACCTGCGCAAGAAGTCCGACGAATCCCTTCGAGATTACATCAAGAGATTCAAAGCAGAAAAGGCCAACATTGTAGGATGTGACGACCGGATCGCATCATCTGCTTTCAAGAAAGGCCTCCCAGCTGAACACGACTTGTACCGCGAGCTGACTATCACTCCCAGCCAGACTCTGGCAGAGGTCTATGCGACCGCGGAACGCTACGCGCTCTGGGATGACGATCGAATCGCCGCAAAAAAGTCTACTAAGCATGAAGATCAACCGACTAAGCGGGCAGGTCAAAGAAGCGATGGATTTACCAACAAGAACAAGGATAGGCGCAGGTCACACCCACAAGGAGACGCTACAGCAGGAGAGAACTACACCAAGTTCACCATCCCCATACATCAAATCTTAGCCCAAGTGAAAAACAAACCTTGGGTAAGAAGACCGCCACCCTTGAAAGGAGATCCAGACAAGAGGGATACAAGCAAGTACTGTGCCTTCCATGGGACACACGGGCACACTACCAATAACTGCCTCGCTTGGAAAGCACACCTTGAAGAACTCGTGAAAGAGGGTCATTGCACGGAGTTCATCGCGAAGCAGGCCATCCAGCGGATTGAAGATCGAGACACCGCCAAGGAACCGCCCCAGAAGGTCATAAGGATTAACACAATCCTAGCCGACGCCAAGGAGTCAGGACTGACCAGCAAGGAAAAGAAGAGGAAGATCAAACAGGCCACTATGATCTCCCAAGTCTCGACTGACCTTCTACCAACAGAAGACGATCCTATAATCGGCTTCCAAAAGAAAGATCTGATCGGCCTCGACATGCCACATAACGATGCCCTTGTCATCAGCATACAAATCGCTCAGGCCATGGTCGACCGAATCCATGCAGACGAGGGCAGCGCAGCCAATATCTTGCAACTGGCTGTCATCCAGCAGATGGGCTTGGAGGCAAAGATCAACAAATCAGCCAGATCGCTGACCGGCTTCAATGGCGCAACAACGGTTACCGTGGGCACAATAGACCTTGACGTCTACTCCCCACCTGTAGTCTGCTTGCAAACGTTCATGGTCATTAATGAGGTCTCACCCTACAACGGCATTCTGGGCAGGCCATGGATCGGCATGATCAACGCCATCACCTCTGCCACACATCAGAAAATTCGGTACCCAATCCCTGGGGGCGGTGTTGGACAAATCAACAGCGATCAGGCAATGGCGAGGAAATGCTCCGCCCAAGGGCTGAAGAAAAGCAAGCAAGCGCAGTTCCTCCCAGTAAGCCAGGCAGATCTGAAGGAGGTGGAACAATCGAACCTTGCTATCTTATAGCAATCAAAGCGTCAGGACCAAGCCGAGGAAATCCGTCCAGAGGTCTTTCTTGAAGAAGGATGGAAGCCCGAGGAGGACATCGAGTTAATACCCTTGGATCCTGACCAGCCAGACAAAAAAGCGCGGATCGGCTCGCGCCTAAGCCCAGACGAGAAGGTGGAACTTACCACTTTCCTCCAGAACAACAAAGATATGTTCGCATGGTCGCCGTCAAACATGCCTGGTATCGACCCGAACATCATATGTCACCGACTCCACGTCAACCCTGCCTGCAAACCAGTGGCGCAGAAGAGGCGCAACTTCGCACCCGAGCGGGTCGCCATCATCGAAGCCGAGATTGATAAACTCCTAGCCGCCGGCTTCATTGAAGAGGTCTCCTACTCGGAGTGGCTCGCTAATGTTGTTCTAGTGGCAAAACAAGAGAAGGGAAAGTGGAGAGTTTGCGTCGATTACACCGACCTCAACAAAGCGTGCCCAAAAGACAACTTCCCATTGCCAAGAATCGACCAACTAGTGGATTCCACTTCTGGCAATCAGCTACTCAGCTTCATGGACGCCTACTCCGGCTACAACCAAATCTTGATGCACGAGGATGACAAGGCGAAAACTTCTTTCATCATCGAGAGAGGGACCTACTGCTACAAGGTCATGCCTTTTGGGCTGAAAAAACGCCGGAGCAACCTACCAAAGACTGGTGAACAAAATCTTCAAGGAGCAGATCGGCAAAACTATGGAGGTGTACGTGGACGACATGCTGGTCAAGGCCCCAAAACGTGCAAATCACCTCAAAAACCTCGCTGAGGCATTCAGCCTGCTCCGCCAGTATCGCATGAAGTTGAACCCCAAGTAAATGCACATTTGGTGTATCCTCCGGCCGATTCTTGGGATACTTAGTCACACAACGAGGTATCGAGGCACACCCACGTCAGATCAAAGCTATTCTAGAGATGAAGTCGCCTTCCACAGTGAAGGAAATACAAAGTCTGACGGGCAGAGCAGCGGCCCTCAACCGGTTCCTCTCAAGATCAACCGACAAGTGTAAACCATTCTTCAAAGCTTTGAAGAAAGGACAAAGAGACAAATGGGATGAGGAGTGCGAAGTAGCTTTCCAAAGTCTCAAGGCTTATCTCACTTCACCTCCCCTGCTTTCAAAGCCAGTCCCTGGTGAGGACTTGTTCGTGTACCTGGCAGTGTCCAACTCAGCTGTCAGCTCAGCTCTCATCAGAGAAGAGCTGGGGGCCCAACATCCGGTATTCTACACGTCAAAAGCTCTCCTCGTTACCCAAAATTGGAGAAACTCATTTTGGCTCTTGTAGTTTCTGCGAGAAAGCTACGACCCTACTACCAAGCTCATCGAGTCATCGTCATGACCGACTTTCCTTTGAGATCAATCCTTCATAGCCCTGATGCCTCTCAACGACTCATGAAGTGGGCTATAGAGCTAAGCCAATATGACCTCATCTACCGGCCAAAAGCTGCAATAAAAGCCCAGGCTTTAGCTGACTTCGTAGCGGAGTTCACCCCATCGGCCGAAGAAGAGAAAATGGTCAACGAAAAGAAGGAAAGTTCAAAAGCAGACAGGACCCCCGCTGAACCTAGCCAACCTAGAGACACGTGGCAGTTGCGGGTAGACGGAGCGTCAAACCAGAAAGGAGCTGGAGCGGGTGTCGTCATCATCACCCCAGACGGAACCTTGTTGGAGCAAGCTATCACGCTTGGATTCCCGGCCTCGAACAACGAGGCAGAATACGAGGCATTGCTCGCCGGCCTGCGCTTGGCAAAGGAACTCGCAATCAAGAAGCTAGCCATTTACTCAGATTCCCAGCTGATCACGAATCAAGCGTCAGGTGAATACATGGCGAAGCACCCAAGGATGATCTTGTACCTTGACAAAGTCCAGGAGTTGTTGAAGGCGTTTCCTACCTTCACCATCCAACAAGTACCCCGGGCAGAGAACGCACATGCAGATGCGCTAGCCAGTCTAGGGTCAGCGTTGGATACCCAGTTCAGACGCTCCATCCCAGTCGAACACCTTGACCGGCCAAGCATTGAAGAGGTAGAGCCAATCAACACCATGCGAATTGACGAAGACCCCAGCTGGCAAGACCCCATCGTTGACTACTTAGTGAATGGAAACCTACCCGCGGACAAGTCCGAGGCTAGGAAGGTCCAGCAGAAGGCCGCGAGATACTACATGCACGACAACAAGCTCATCCGCAGATCATACTCCGGCCCTCACCTTACCTGCATAAAATACCCTCAAACACTTGAGGTCCTCTGCAAAATTCACGACGGCGAGTGTGGCAACCACTCTGGGGGCAGGTCACTCGCCCAGAAGGCTCTAAACATAGGCTACTTCTGGCCTACCATGCGCCACGACTCCGCTGAATATGTCAAAAAGTGTGATCGTTGCCAACGGTACAAGCCGATTCCTAATTTGCCTGCCGAAGTTTATCATCCGCAAAACAGTCCATGGCCATTCATGCAATGGGCCATCGACTTAGTGGGTCCCTTGCCACCGGCGCCCGCCAAGAAAGAAATGATGATCGTCGCCACCGACTACTTCACTAAATGGATCGAGGCTGAAGCTCTATCCTCTACTAAAGAAGCCGATGTGGAGCGATTCATCTGGAGAGAAACATCATATGCCGATTTGGCTGCCCACAATCGCTGGTCACTGATAATGGCTCACAGTTCATTGGCAAGCATATCACCGCCTTCTTTGCGAAATACAAGATCAAACAACACCTGTCAACTCCGAGGTATCCACAAGGAAATGGGCAGGCCGAGGCATCCAACAAAGTCATATTGGACTGCTTGAAGAAGAGGCTAGAAGGCGCCGAAGGAAAATGGGGTGGATGAACTCCCTGGAGTACTATGGGCTTATCGCACCACCAAGCGAAGGTCAACTGGTGAAACCCCATTCTCCCTCGCCTATGGGACGGAAGCAATCATCCCTCCTCACATCACAGTCCCCTCTATAAACCTCGAGGTGGGCAGTGTTGACCAGAACTCCAAGCAAATGAGGCTCAACCTTGACCTACTTGAGGGCGAACGTGAGAAGACCATTATCCGAGTCGCCTCCTACCAGCAGCAGTTGAAGTCGTACTACGACAAAAGAGCTAAGGTCAGACAGTTTCAACCAGGCGACCTCGTGCTAAGAAAGGCTTTCATCACCGCACCAAGACAAGGGTCGAAAAAGATGAATCCCAACTGGGAAGGCCCTTATGTGATCAGCCGGTCCGGGGGGCAGAGGAAGCTACACATTGGACACCATGGATGGGAAGCAAATACCACGACAATGGAATGTTCACCATCTCCGAAAGTATTATCCATAATGCTTCCTCATGACTACTAGAAGTTTCAAGTTTTGTACTCAGTTATTTTCATTTTCGAATAAAGGACTGTAATCTTATGAATATCAATATAAGTTCAGTTTCTCATTCCAAAATGTCTTATCTGCCTACAAAACACAAGCAGTTGCCCATAAGCAGCGTCCTAAGGGAGACGCAGGGCGACGACCAAAGCGTCCTTCGGGAGACGCAGCCCGTAAAAAGCGTCCTAAGGGAGACGCAGGGTGCGCCAGGAATTTCTTAAAAGGAGGTCTCCATGCCTTCTGCGGGAAGTATCCAGGTTCCTATCCGTTTCCTAAGGGAGGCAGGATAGACACGCAGTTGCCCATAAGCAGCGTCCTAAGGGAGACGCAGGGCGACGACCAAAGCGTCCTTCGGGAGACGCAGCCCGTAAAAAGCGTCCTAAGGGAGACGCAGGGTGCGCCAGGAATTTCTTAAAAGGAGGTCTCCATGCCTTCTGCGGGAAGTATCCAGGTTCCTATCCGTTTCCTAAGGGAGGCAGGATAGACACACAGTTGCCCATAAGCAGCGTCCTTCGGGAGACGCAGGGCGACGACCAAGGCATCCTAAGGGATGTCCAGAATACGCCCGGAGCCTCTTAAGGGGGGCCCTGGCACTCGCCAACTTCCTAAGGGAAACCATCCTAAGGGATGTGCAGGACACGCCCGGAGCCTCTTAAGGGGGGGCCCAGGCACTTGCCAACTTCCTAAGGGAAACCATCCTAGGGGATGTGCAGGACACGCCCGGAGTCCCTCAAGGGGGACCCTGGCACTCGCCAACTTCCTAAGGGAAACCATCCTAAGGGATGTGCAGGACACGCCCGGAGCCTCTTAAGGGGGGCCCAGGCACTTGCCAACTTCCTAAGGGAAACCATCCTAAGGGATGTGCAGGACACGCCCGGAGCCTCTTAAGGGGGGCCCAGGCACTTGCCAACTTCCTAAGGGAAACCATCCTAAGGGATGTGCAGGACACGCCCGGAGTCCTCAAGGGGGACCCTGGCACTCGCCAACTTCCTAAGGGAAACCATCCTAAGGGATGTGCAGGACACGCCCGGAGCCTCTTAAGGGAGGCCCTGGCACTCGCCACTTCCTAAGGGAAACCATCCTAAGGGATGTGCAGAACACGCCCGGAGTCCCTCAAGGGGGACCCTGGCACTCGCCAACTTCCTAAAGAAACCATCCTAAGGGATGTGCAGGACACGCCCGGAGCCTCTTAAGGGAGGCCCTGGCACTCGCCACTTCCTAAGGGAAACCATCCTAAGGGATGTGCAGAACACGCCCGGAGTCCCTCAAGGGGGACCCTGGCACTCGCCAACTTCCTAAGGGAAAAACATCATACGAGATGTGCAGAATACGCTCGGAACCCCCCAAGGGGAACCCTGTCACTCATAAATCTCCAAAGAAGAAGTGCAATTAAGACTGAAGCTGATTACTTAACAGTTCACAGGTCGATATGCAAATTGAAAGTTGAGAGTAACAACTGAAATTTCCATAACAATATGACCAACCGGCCAAGTTCAACAACAAGAATATGGTCAAAAAAGACCAATTATTCAAAACAAGAAAGCAAACTACAAAAGCTGAAAAGAAATAAAGAAGTCTTCATCTACTCTGAGGCGCCGGCAGGAGACCTATGAGTCGCAGCCTCTTCGGCATCCACCTGATCAGCTATGCCTTCAGCAGCCTCATCTGCCATCATCTCATCTACTGTGTCCACCTCCCCTCCATCCTCTGCAACTTCTTGCTCTTCAGTTCCTCCTTCTGCACGGGGTGAATCAGGGCAGAGTGTCTCGATGTCTACATCGTCAATCGCATACAAGGGAGTAACCTCATCCGCACAGTGCAGGTAGCCCAACTTGTACGCGTCTATGATGGCTTCAGACTTGGATTTTTCTGCGGACTTGTGGTATGCGTGAAATCTAGCCAGGAGCTTGTCATGGCTAAGGGAGATGTCAGCATTCTTACGCTCAAGACTAAAGAAGGCATCTTTGCGACTAACTAAATCAGTGGCAAGAGAGTTGAGCTCAGAATCCTTCTCGGTAAGGGAGCTTTTCAGCTCAGAAATCATTGCCCTCAAATCATGCGTCTTCTTCTCATAACGGGCCTGCTCGGCAGCAAGATGGCTGGCCAATTCAGCATTCTTCTTCTCCAGCTCGCTAAGCTGAGCAGAAGAGGGGGCAACAGCAGATGAGTTCCGAATGGTCTCTGCAGCAAAAACCAATCCTTTTTGAATTAGATGGAATGACGCTTCCCTTTGTTTTTCCAAGGAAAGGCTCGAGAAAGTGCCAAGATCGCCTGCCTGACGAATGTGATCAACCAGCTCAGCACATGAGGACGGGTTCGATAGGAAGTTCGTCTTGAGCAGATCAGACACACATGCATCCCCCGCAGGGTTAGACTTATCCACCTTGGGTCCAACCGCCGTCGCTGAAGAAGAACCCTTAGCCCGAGCAGATGACTCTCTCATCTTCTTAGCCTCCGCCAACTTCATCTCCAAAGGAGTCAATGATACTGAATCAACTCCACGCTTGACTGCCCACGGTTCAACAGCTGGATCATAAGCAGACCTCCCACTTCGATCTCCATCTTTCGACCGATGCAGACGACTCGAACTTCGAGGAGGAATGTCTACATCTCTTTGACGCTCAGCAGAACTAGGCCGGGCACGAGCTGTCTCACGAAGCATGTCATGGTTTTCGAGCGTGTCGGCAGGAGGCTCGGGCAGAACACCCCGAGCACCGCGCATACCACCAACCTTCGTGCTATCTGCACCCACGAGATGCTTGACCCTGGCAGATGATGACGGAGCAGACCCCACTTGAGCCTTCTCAGCAGAAGGGAGCCTTGGCTTCTTCCTCGATGGAGACCCATTCTTGGCATGCGAAGAAGTGGCTTCACCTCTGGAAGATTTGCTAGCAGCCTTTCTCTTTGGTGGAGATTCAGCAGAACACTCTTCCTGTACTGTAGGCAGATCGTCAGGGTCAGGTCCATTCTGCTTCCACCTTTCGACATCCTCGGCAGGGGGGCAGACCACCATCTACCTCTCGGTACTCGCTCAACAGCCAGCGCCACTCGCGAAACTTTTGAGGGATGTTCAAAGCACGACGGACCTTAGCCATGTCTGGTCCAAGCTCCAATTGCTTACTGATGTCATTTACTATAAGCAGAAGACAGAAGTTAGTCAACCACACTTTAAGAAATTCAAATAAAAAGGAACATATCAAAAGTCACAAAAGACATACCAGGGCAATAGGTCACGGGAACAAGTGGGCCGTCACGAACGTCGCCTTCCCACCGTCCGCTAACTTCCAACACGTCGTCATGCCAAGCGTGATCTCCCTGACTGAGACCGTCGAACAGCTTGGTCTTGTAGGTGCGAACTTGGGCATACTGCTCAAAGTGCCTCACCTCGAAAAAATAAAAGAACTCACGCAATGTCAGCTCCAAAGTGAAGAAACGGCTCAGATTCTCGAAGCACATGATTGCCCGGTAAACGTTGGGAGTACACTGGCTCGGAGCACACTCCATGGCGCAGAACACCTCCTTGAAGAGCTTCGACAGTGGGAATTTGAAGCCCAAGGAAAAGTAAAAAGGACGGAAGGTAATGACCCTAGCGCCGGGATCATTCGCATCTACCAAAGGCTTGCTATCAGCCCAAGACTTCAGTAGCTTGACCTGCACGTCATCTGGAATGGCAGATGTGAAGGCAGCCCGCCACTTCTGGAACTGAGCATCGGTCGTCACGCGGTGCAAGTTGGCCACGAATTTCTTGCTAGGCACTAAGGAGCCTCCCCACAAGTATAAAGGTGCTTGAGAGCTTGGAGCCTTGCTACCGTCCCCGGAAGACATAGTTGGTCAACGAGTGGCTGCCAAAAAAGAAAGAATTCTACAAGTTAGAATACCGGAAAAATTCGCAAGTCGAAAGAAAAAAAAAAAAAAAAAAAAAAAAAAGCAGCAGCCCAGCATGAACTGCCCAGCGCGCGCAACCCAACTCGGGGCTCCAGCCCAGCGCGAGTCTCCAGCCCAGCTCGAGCGCCCAGCGAGGCCCGCTCCGCATGCGAGGCCCAAGTGATGCGCCAGACCGCCCCAAATTGGAGCACGTGGCCAGCTTGCCTAGCGCAAGCCCATGTCGCGCGATGGCCCAATTCCCCCCTTGCTCCAGCTCTTGGTCCAACGCCTCCATGCCCCTGCTTCGAGCCCAACACGTGCAAGGCCTGATCCTGCCAGCCTTCCAGACCTCCAATCATGCCCCAGTCCAATCACAAGGCATGGACTACTTCCTTGCTGCCAAAAGTCGGACCAAGATGCTAAAAGTCAGAGACAAAAATTCTTCTAGGCTAATTACCTTGGATGGACAGCAAAGATGAAGTTTCAAGCACGCTGGGAAAGCTCTCCAAAGTTTCTCTCTCTCTCACTTACAAAATTGGTGGAATAGACTTTTGATGTGAAAAATAAATTGGAGGAGCCCCACATTTATAAGGATCAAAATTCCTTGACCTACAAGGAATCGCAAACTCTTTCCAACTTAGGAGTTCGTAAAATTGGCAAGTCAAATACCTCCTCTACTCAGGAGCCCAGGTCCACGAAGGAAGCCCAGTTACAGTTGGACAACCCAACGAAGCAGTTACATCTCCTACATGCCACCACGCGCCATGCAGAAGCTGGGGGGCATTTGTGGTAACCAAATTAAGCCAAAACCCTAGGTCAAATAATTCATTCCTTTTGGGGATTATTTGACCTAATTGGGAATTAATAAACCTAATTGGGAGTTACTCAATTTAATTGGGGGTTACCCAATTAAATTGAAGACTACCTAATTGGGTTGAGAATTGATTCCTAATTCCTACCCCGATTCTCAATTAAATGAGGAGTTACCTAATTGAAATAGGATTTGATTTGATACCTACCACAATTAGGGATTTGATTTACCCTAATAAATCAAATCCCTAATTAATCAAATCAATTCCATAAAGGGGAGGAATAATTCCATTCCATCTACGGAATTATTCCTCTGAAACCCTAGCCTCCAAGACCATTATAAAAGCATAGCCACACACAATGGTGAAGGTACGTCTAAATTCCTACTGAAACTCTGCAGAAATCATTTCTCACAAACCCTAGCCACCACTTTCTTTCTCTCCCTTACACAAGGCTCCGGCCACCACACACGGCTCCGGCCACCCGGTTTTCCTTGAAATACCTTACCTAACTTAGGCATCGGAGGGCCTTTGGCCAACACCCCCCGGGTGTGGTCCTTTTACTCCGATCTGTTTTGCAGAGAGAAAGAGAAGCGGAGAAGACGAAGGAATCTTTGACGAATATTCTCGTGGGGAAAATCATTCCCTCCAGAATGCATATGTAATATTGTGTATATTTTATCATCTCTAGGAGAGGGGGGGATTACAAGAATTTTTTTTCTTCAATAAAGAGAAATATCATTGGATTAAGAGGTGGCTAATATATAATATTTGCATATTTAATGATTGGCACAATAATTAGTATGAAAAATGTTAATTTAATAACTAATAAAATTATCTTAAACGATATATCAAATTGTCACATGGACATGAAATGACAAAAATTGAAGGTTAAAGTTGCTCCACTGTCATTTACTCTCTTTTAGAACTTTATGTATCATATAAGCCCCGTTTGCTTTTAAAAATATAATAAAATAATATAATATTTGGCATTTTGGATGAAGTTAAATTTTTTCCAAAACGTCAAATTGCCACATAAGCCATCAAATTCAAATTTAACATTTTGCTTTGATGTCTCCCTTGAAAATGCTCTAATTCACGTAAGGTTAAAACATAAAGATGCATCACACCTAGCTTGAAAAAAATGAGAGGTTGTTATTATTATTTTAATGATTAAAAAGGAAAGATGATAGGATTTGTTGGATGTAGATAGGATGCTATTTGTAGTTATCATTTTATTCTTTAATCTTTAAATACATTATTAAAATTGTTTATACATATAAATAAGAATATAATCCATCTATTTCTATATAATAAGGTAACAAAATAAGTTTTTTATAAATAAAAAAATAAAATAAAATGAAAACCAATCGGAGACGCATTGGCAAAGTTGGCGTGCAAAGACCAAAGTACAAACCAATCCGGGAAAAGCATATTCCCAATTAGGTTCACGTACCTTTAAAAAGTAGAACCATATGCAAATTGGCAACTCGTCCATCGTCCAATAATGTCGCACCACGTGTCAGCGTCAACATTTGGAGAACCAAAAGAATTGGCTGGTAAATATAAGCGGCGAAGCGACCCCTACGCTTGAGGATTCGTGAAAAAGAGACGTTCCAAAAATCCATTTTTCCTCTTCCGCTTTGTCCCTCCGCTCCGTCTGCACCCTTCCCAGGTAAGCAATCTCTCCTCCTAATCTTCTCTCCATGTTCTTTTCGTCATAATTGGAGTTCCGTTTCTGTTTGGTTACCGAGAAACGGTAGGAAAAATAACAGAAAGTCTAGTTTTTAGCCAGAACAGCCTGGTTTTAGATCTAAAGTTTCGTTCTTTGCATTACTTTGTGTTTATATCATTACACCGAAATCAACGAATTGCTGCCGGTCTGTTTTGAGATCTAGTCATAGTTAAGATGAATTGCTTTCGTTTTGTCCTGACTATGGCGGGCTATACCACCTTCGCCTGAAATCTAAAAGCTTGGCCTTCTCCTATCTCCGTTTCACAATTTTGGGATTTGTAGGATCTCCAATTATGCTTTTTTTACTGTAATGTGTTTTGCTTTGCGCATTAGTATTTGTTCTTCTTATGTATTTTTTTTACGCTTTAGCTTTTGTTCTGATAAAAGGGCATCTCGAATCCTCCCTAAACTTTTTTCCTCCAATCAAGTTAAGTGTTTGTGATTCCCCAAACTCTTCCCAAATCAAAATTTGGGTTATGGAGGGAAAGAACAATTAAGTAAAGGGATTTTCTTAGGATAATATAGGAATTTTCAAAAAGTTTTGCGGAAAAATTGAACTTTCCCAATGAAGTGAACCCAAGTCTTAACCAATGGACTTTCACTCAAATTTATACTTGGCTTTACATGTTCAAACTCGTTACCAGTGAAAGAGTTCTGCTTCACCTCATTTACATAATAACACAGGTTAAATTAATATCATAGTTGACTTTTGGATTCTTTTCTATGAATGTCTCTATTTCAGTTTGTTTCTTTTACTTAAATTTTGTTGTGAAGATCGTGATATCATAATAGAGAAGCATATTTGTTTCCGAGGTTTTTTTTGGTCTCGCAGCACTAACTAATCCCTGTATTTGGTCTTGAACTCAGATCTGATAGCTTAATCTTCATGAATTCAAGAACTACTGAAGTATCCGTGTTTTCCTGTAAATCGGGAAACAGAAACAACCCATTCTTCATCTGGATTTTGTTCTGTTTATTGCCAAAATTCCAAGGAACTCCTTTTGCATTCGTGAGTTTCCTCTTGGTTAAGGCAATTGACAGGAGTCCTTCTGGAGCACTGGCCTTTGAGACTTTTGGATAGATAAAGCAGGGATCAATTCAAGTGTCTGTCTGAAGTTAGCATCCCTGCTCCATACTTGAAAAATGGTTTCCTCTCAGCTACCTGGCTTGACCAAGGCCCGCATGTGCAAACCAATTCAGACAAAGTTGCTTTTTCCTATGGATACAATGGATGCTGTAGTTTCAGATCACGTGGAGCTTGATTTTGATGATGTTTTTGGCCCTCTACCAGTTCAGGCCTCTGTAGAAGTGAATTATAGTGATTCGGCTAATTCTGCCGCCATCGAAGATGCCACTGAGCTTATTTATGATAATCCAGTGGTAATTCATAACCGATCACATTCTTTGGTTGGTCCCTCATCGTTTGTAAGCCAATCATTGAAGCTCAGCAAACTGACTATAAGTGACACGGAAGATTCAGTGGAACTGGTAGAGTGTGTCAATGGAGATACCATCAAAGAATTTCAAGAACCTTTAATTGATGATGGTGTCACTGAAAAGACTCTTGAAAATGATGAGGAAATCTCCATGAAGATCGAGAGTGTAGGCATTGAAGATTTTGAGGTTTTGAAGGTTGTTGGGCAGGGTGCATTTGCAAAAGTATACCAGGTGAGGAAGAAGGGGACATCAGAAATTTATGCAATGAAGGTCATGCGGAAGGACAAGATCATGGAGAAGAATCATGCTGAATACATGAAAGCTGAGAGGAATATTCTAACAAAAATTGATCATCCATTCATTATCCAGCTTAGATACTCATTTCAGGTAATTCCTGCCTGACCCTGGAAGTTAATTCCAATTTTCATTTTCTGGTGTGGCTTTCATTTTTTAGGATTATGAGCATCCCTGTCCCCAAAAAATGTCGTATGCATTTGGAACTATATCTTCAAAAGATACTGTGGAACAATATATTTCAACTCAATGTGCAGATTTGGTGACTTTCTTGATGATGACTAGAGTACTAACTTAATTTATTTTGTTATGCAGACCAAATATAGACTTTATCTCGTGCTAGATTTTGTTAATGGTGGTCACCTTTTCTTTCAGCTCTATCACCACGGTCTATTCAGGTACCTTTGGTTTCAACTTCCAATATTTTGTGTTATTTTCTGCGCTCAAAGATTTAGACACTTAATACTTAAGTTTTTCTCCTCTCCAGAGAGGAGCTGGCTCGAATATATGCTGCTGAGATTGTTTCTGCGGTTTCTCACCTCCATGCAAATGGAATAATGCATAGGGATCTTAAACCTGAAAATATCCTATTGGACACAGATGGCCATGTACCTCTCCATCTCCCTCTGTTGAGTATTGTTCTATTAATTGCTCCCAATGAATTGTAACTGACATCATGATCACTGATTTATTAAACAGGCCATGTTGACTGATTTTGGTCTTGCGAAGCAACTTGAAGAGAATACGAGATCTAATTCTATGTGTGGAACTGTAGAATACATGCCACCCGAAATAGTTCTTGGAAAGGGCCACAATAAGGCTGCAGACTGGTGGAGTGTGGGAGTCCTATTGTTTGAGATGCTAACTGGAAAGGTTTGGATTTATTCATTTTGTTTGTATAGATCGAGATGATATATAAATATACAGATGTGATTAAGAGCAAGAATTTCTTGATGGTTAAGTCAAATTCTAACCGAATGTGCAGTCAACAATCATTATATGCATATAATACATGTAGATATTAAAATTAGCATATTGGAAAGCCGGTGTTTGTTGAATTTAATATTGTTAGGAGGTGATCCGAGTGTTCTTTTTATGCTGTTGTAATATATTTTGTATGCGCCTTTTGTGTTGGACATCTTCTTCTTATTCTTCTTCAGTAATATATATATATATATATATATATATTTCTTCTTTTCAAAAGAGGAAAGAGAAATAAATAAATAAAAGTATTATCTGTCTTTTGATTAGGTGACTCACACACAGACATGCATTTAAAGAGAATTTTGTCCATAGTGTTTAAGGACCCTAGAAGTTGGAACATTTATATATCATGTAACGTGAAACATTTTTCTTTGCTCTTGCTTCTGCAGCCTCCTTTTACTGGGAACAGGGAGAAAATTCAGCAGAAGATAGTTAAGGAAAAGATCAAGTTGCCATCCTTTCTGTCCAGTGAAGCACATTCTCTGTTGAAAGGGGTATATAATCTTTGTGCTTGTTTTTATCTTGGGTTGTAGGAAATAGGCAATGTTGATACTGAGTGTCTGTTTCGAGCCTTCCTCAGTTCATGTTTTTAGTTAACTATGAGAGAACTCACTTAACTTGTTTATGTTTTCAGCTCCTACAGAAGGATGCAAGCCACCGCCTTGGTAGTGGGCCTTTGGGGTGTGAGGAAATCAAGCGCCACAAATGGTTTAAGCCAATAAATTGGAAAAGATTAGATGCTCGGGAAATCCAACCAAGCTTTCGTCCTCAAGTTTCCGGGAAGCAGTGCATTGCCAATTTCGATAAGTGCTGGACTGATATGTCAGTTGTGGATTCTCCAGCTGCTAGCCCGAATGCTGCTGGAAACCCCTTCACCGGCTTCAGTTATGTTAGGCCTGCGGCCTCTTTTCTTCAGAAGAATATCCCCATGTACTAGCTCGTGTTGCCCCAAGATGCAAGTTTTCGAGCTCTGTTTTCCTTCTCGCATTCTTAATGATGAAACTTTGTAAGTTGCTTGAAAAAAGCAGTAGCCAAGTGAGGTTTATCTTAGCAGTCTTCTCTTGAGACTACACAATCTTAAAACCATTGCAGACACATTTGCTGAACTCTGAAGCTTGTATGTTTTTGGCTGAAATAAATAAGTATTAATATATCCACATTTTAATTTAAGTTTGTGACAGATTTTGGTAAATTTCCCTTATGTAATGCTCTATTGCTAATTCACATTTTAAATTAATCTTCGTTCCCTAAGGTATAAATAATAAGAATAATAAATTCCATTTAAAAACTTTTTTTTTGGTCGAAAATCCCATTTAAAAACTTAGGAAAGTGCATTTGGGGAAGGGAAATTTCACATGTGGATAAAGCAAGGGACGCGTGTCAAAATGCCAGCCTTTGCTGACACTTCAGCTGGTTCTCCCACAAAACAAAAAGTTCATCGTTCACAACATAACCTCCATAACCATGGCTTATCTGCCCTCTCCAAGTCTAACAACACTTAAACACAATCCTAAGCCTACATGCTTCTCTCCTTTAAAACCCACTTATTCTGACCATCTTTGCTTCATCACAACCCAATTCAAAAGCCACCCTCAAAGGTGCAATGCATTCTTTGGTGACAATATCCCTGGAAATGTTTTGAAGACGACTCTCCATTTGGACCAATTTCCTCCTTTTCAATATGGTTACATGCAGTTTCAAACAGCTACAGAGGAACTCTCAGAAACACAGAAGTGGGGTTTCCTGATTTTTGCTGGGATTACATGGATATACTTAACTGCAAGACCAGGTATTCTCATAGGTGCCATTGATGCATACCTTCTTGCTCCTCTGCAATTGGTTTTGGATAGTTTGATTGGAAGGAGAAGGTTGAAGAGTACTGATTTTGTGATTGGGGACAAGTTGGGAGAAGGGTCTTTTGGTGTTGTTTATTCTGGTGCGGTTGTTCCAAAGAATGTGAATGTTGAAGAGACGGTGCAGAAGAGAGGGAAGGGCAGAGCTCCACAGTTGGATGAGAGGTTCAAGGAGAAGGTCATCCTCAAGAAGGTAGCACTGTAGATTTCGTGCATTTTGATTGACCCTTTACTTGTTTATCAATGTTTCTGTGATGTGTAGAGAGATTAATATGATCTTTTAGTTATGGAAATGTGCAGGTGAAGATTGGAGTTCAAGGGGCTGAAGAATTTGGCGAATTCGAGGAGTGGTTCAATTACAGGTTGTCTAGAGCAGCACCTGAAACATGTGCTGCGTTCCTGGGAAGTTTTGTTGCTGATAAAACAAGTTCTCAATTTACAAAGGGTGGAAAGTGGCTTGTTTGGAAATTCGAGGTACTAAAACCATTTTAGGATCACTCATTCAAAAATCTAAGGCTTTCAATCCCACGTTTATGTTATATATGGTGTTGAAGAACTAAATGGTATAATTATATGTGCCTTTGACGCCTTCATCACACTAATTGTCGGGATGTTCATGTGACAGGGAAACCAAACTCTTGCCGATTACATGAAAGATAGGAAATTCCCTTTTAACTTGGAGTCTGTCATGTTCGGACGTGTCTTGCAAGATGTAGACTCTGTCAAACGCAGTGCATTGATCATCAAGCAAATAATGCGTCAAATTATTACTTCGCTCAAGAAAATCCATGACACGGGCATTGTTCACCGGGACGTAAAGCCAGCAAACTTAGTAGTGACAAGAAGGGGACAAATCAAGCTCATAGACTTTGGGGCAGCCACGGACCTCAGGATTGGAAAGAACTATGTACCAGACCGTACCCTGCTAGATCCTGACTTTTGTCCTCCTGAACTATATGTGCTCCCAGAGGAAACGCCAGTTCCTCCTCCAGAGCCCATTGCTGCATTTCTTTCTCCAATTCTTTGGCAGGTAATACAGTTTCAACCCTTTTATATGCGATGTCAAGCATATAAAAATTCCGCTGCTTTACCGGAGGTATATGGATATAGCAATATAGTGACTGTTGGATCTGCATTCAATTTCAGTTAGTAAAGTTAAAATGATGTCTGCATTGTTTAAATGTTCAAATTTGGATGAGAAAAAGCATGGTGATCAGATCATAAACTAATCTGTTGACAGGCCTTGTGAACTTGATTTGCCTTGGGGGGTACTCTTATGCATGAATTCTTGTTTTAAAGCATGCAAAATCTGTTTGCTAGATGAATCAGACTTTGAAATTATTGTTGCAGCTGAACAGTCCTGACCTCTTTGATATGTACTCTGTTGGAATTATACTATTGCAAATGGCAGTACCATCCTTAAGGTCTTCAGCAGGGTTAAAGAATTTCAATTCAGAAATAAAAACAGTTAAGTATGACTTGAATAAATGGAGGAACTATACTCGGTTGAGGCCTGACTTGTCACTTCTTGATCTCGATTCGGGTAGAGGGTGGGATCTGGCCACAAAGCTTGTGTCAGAGAGAGGTTCCCTTAGAAGGGGGCGCTTATCAGCGGCAGCTGCTCTGAGGCATCCTTACTTCTTGTTAGCTGCTGACCAGGCAGCTGCAGTTCTTTCAAAATTAAGTTTTACCAAATAGTGTGCTGCTTCAAGATGTAAGTATATAATAAAGTTTGTTTCGTTGTCCAAGCATAGAGAAGATTTTGCTCAAGTATTTTCTTTTTACTTGTCAAAAATCGTAACTTTTTCTTTCCCTTTTCTTTTTTGTTACAGCATCTCAAGAACGGAGAGACTCACAAACATGCAAGCCTTTGCCTGCGCTGCGTTCATGGTTGTTGCCATTTTTGCACCTGGTGACCTTGGGGGTTTGCTTCCCTTCCAATTTAACAGGCCAGTGGACTGTGGATGCAATACAAGAGATTACAATTTTATAAATGTTTTTCGTTGCCGATGATATTAATTTATAGCAGAGGAGGTTCGATCCCACTTTGTTAATCATTACTATTAATCTCTTGTATATAAAAAAAAAAGAGGGAAGCTCATTTATGCTATGACTATGAGCAAGTAACAAAATCATTTCTTTTGTGATCAACATTGGTTCACAACGAGTTTACAAATCTTGTAAGTCCATTTCTACAGACTATTTTGAGTTGACACAAATTTCAGTTTGTAAGAGCTTTCAACATATTTAGCACCTGATCAATGTTAGACTTTCCCGCCTAATCCTAACCAATTGCCCCATCATCAATCCGGCAACTAATTAATGACCCAATGACAACACGACACGTGGACCAATGAAAAAAATTAATATTACTTTTACCGACTTTACCAGTCGTATCCTGTAGCGTTCTGAGAAAATCGAAAAACACTTGTAGATGAGAAAATGCAACAATCAGAAGAGAAGAGAATCCAAAAACCTGAAGGGAAGAGAGAATCGAAGACTCTGCAAAAATGGAAAAGGTATATCCTCTTGCGTTTCTTTCTTGTCTTTGAGCGTATGGGTTGGTCTGCGTCGGTATGGGTCTAGTCCAGGTGGGTCCGCGTTGGCTTCTGGTGGGTCCTGTGGGTCCCCATGGGTTCTGTTGGTCGTAGGTCACTTTTTTGGATGGATCTGGGTCGGTGGGCTTCAGTTGGTAGGGTTGGAGAAAAATGTTGGGGTTCTAGGTTTTCGGTTCTTTTATTTTCTTTCTTCCTTGCTAAAATTCTAACTCAAACATCGCAAATTTTAGGAACCATCAACACCAACTAATGCCCTACTTGATTTGAAAAATCTATATCCCCCTTCTCTCGACTCTCCCGAGGTACATTTTTCTATTAATTTGTTTGTAAATTTTTATTTTAATTGTTCTGTAAATTTTAATGTAAATTTTTCTTCTAATTTTTCTGTAAATTTTTATTTCTAATGTAATGAGTTTGATCTTGTGTAACTCTCACAACTAAATTGCCTGTCCTTAGTATCTGTAACCTCTGCATCAACCACTTTTATTTTACTTGGGGCTCTTAACTTTCTGTCCAACACGTGTAAGACCATCTTTATTTTACTTGGGGCATAAATGACCGTGAAGCATGGCCTAATATCCATTTGCTATGTGGTCATAGTATCGACTTTTTCTTCTTCTTATTCTTCTTTTATTATTATTATTATTATTTTATGTTGAATATATGCTCAACTTTGAATCAAGTGCAGTCATTTTGTTCTTTATAGTTGTTTTTTTAAGTATAGTATACCTGAGATATAGGTAATACATTTTTTTGATATATTTTTCTTCATATTATATATATATATATATATATAAATTATAGGTAACATATTCCCTTAACCCAAAAAAAAGTTATTAATTGACTTGTGTTTTTACATACATGAAATATAGGTACCACACTTTTTTGCCTTTTTGTTTATGAATCTAAGTTATAGGTAACATACGCTTTACCACTTATCTTTTTATGTACCAAATATATAAGTAGCATATATTGTCCGACTTTTGTTTTTATGAACCTAAGTTATAGGTAATTTAATATTCTACTTGTTTATTTTTCCACCTTATTTATAGTAGATGTTTTGTGGTTTGTTTAGCCTATGATGTAAATATATTATCCCATGGTATAGATATATTGTCCTATTGTCCATCACATAGGTATAATATGTGGGTCTTACTTTTATTGATTAAATGGTATATATTAGGTAAATATTATCAAGGAAAGGATTCAAAATTCAATTACAAGGAAATTATGCATTAAATTTAGATTTTCAATATGTTTTTCTTATTTACCTCAAAGGGTAAAATCGACACAACAAAAAAAGTAAATAAAGTCAAAGAACCTGCATCTAAAACTAAAAACGAGTGTACTAAATCCAATACCAGCTAATCGTTTTAAACCTAGATCGAAGAACACCTAGATTTTACACCGACCAAATGATTTTGAGAAATCGGCTCATCATTGAATGGGATAGCTACTGGCAATTTAATATTACGGTGCGAAGGTCCTAGAACGGTGTCAACACTTATTCAGGTACAACATTCGTACTAGAACCTTAAATGAGGGTACCAACCAAAAAAATGGTAGTGTTTGTCTTGGAAACGTGCTTTTCCGTTTGTCATCTCATTGTGGCCAACACTTAAGCACCAATATGCATCCGCATGTCCATACTGACTAGATTTATTTGTAGTATTCTTTTCTACATAGATTTGTTATTAAGAGTGATTAAAAACGACATTATATATTGTCACCTCGTCATATGTAATATCCATTATGATTCTGTGAACATTTCTTTTTTTCTTTTTTTCTTTTTTGAAATTTTAGGGACACATTATGAAGTAATGACATCTATTCAAAGCATATTGTATTGTATTTTGGTTATTCTGAGGAATAAAATGTAGTTCATTCTCTACTCACATATTGTTGCTAGGCCACCTTATTGACAGGTCTATTGACAGTGCTATGGTGGAAGTTGAGAGGATTGAAGGATCGCAGATTCAGCAGCAGAGAGAGGAGAGATAGCACTCGACACAAATGCTCAAACTCGGAGCCGAAGTCTATCCCATCTCTTCGCGGCTACCGCCTCGTCTCACTCACTCTCATCGCAGGTCATCTTCTATGAACTCAATATTTTATCCAAAACATCGTTGCCGCCCCATCTCCACTCTTTCTCTACTAGGTCTCTCCCATATAAGGTACGTTATGTGTTTATGCCACATCTAATGGGAAATTGGATCGTTAGTCAGTCATCCCATGCTAGTATAGTATATTATAAGTGGAGTAGGGTGGGCACTCTTTGCTCTTTCTTATGACATGGATATGTTATTATTATTTTAACTGCTTATGTTACAAAACAAATAATATTTGTTTCTTGAGTGTGTTACAGACATATTTTTTGTCTGTAGTGCTTTCTTATTCCTGGTTGGCTTAGGCTAGTTTTCCATTTTTCATTTCAAGGAATGAATTCATTGCAAAGTTGGGGTATGATAGCGGTGGACATGTCATCCTCCTCCGCCAGGTTCTTGTACTTCACCTTATACTTGTCCCCCAAGTTTTCAATTACAGTTGCTTCATAATACGAACCGCAAAACCCGTCTTGCTTGCTGACTGATCAAATTAATTTGCTGTTTCATTTTCTACGTATAGATTTGTTATTAAGCTTCGTTATAGACCACACATTGATATATGTAGTATCCAAATATATATATATATATTATGATTCAATGAACAAATGTTTCTTTTTTAATTTTAGCTGGACCAATCTTCATGGATTTTCATATACAGATGTACACACATTATTAAGAAATGACAACAATTCAAAGCATATAATAGTTACAGATCATCATAGTATAATGGGAATGTCTCTAGTGGATTCTTCTTCCTGCAGCCCCAGTGGCTTTTCCAAGAACATCTAGAGTTGAAGAGGGCAAGTCTTGTGGATTGAAGGGCTATGATGTTTGATGTTGAGGGAGATTTCGAAAGAACGATTGCGTACCCGTCATCCATGTAGTCAGTTCCTTCAGGGAAGAGCTGCCACAAAAAACTCCCACCTCCGCTCCCTCCTTTCTTAGTAGAGTTGAGGATGGTCTTGTACACTGTGCTGAGAAGGGTGTCCCTAAACGATGAATTGTAGCCGGGGTCTTTCGAAGACACACCAAACTCCGAAAACACAACCGGCATCCCAAGATATTTCTCTGCATCCTCAATGTGGGCTTCCATCCATGACTTGGTAAATTGGAGATGCAAATCAGAGATTGATTGTGAAATCCTTCATGAATGAATTTAAATAGTTTTGTCACAAGTTGAATATTATGGAAAAAATTTATCGTAAGGAACTAACAAAAACTAGTTATTATTTTCAACAGTTACCAAGAGTCTGCATAGATGTGAACAGAAGCGAAATCAACACCCAAAACCTGGTGGTTCCTTATGAAATCAGTTCCAACTTGTTGAGCATATGTGTTTGGATTAAACTGAACTCTGCCAGGTGCTGAGGGACCATAAAATCCTTCCAATCCGATCTCCACCAAGTGCTTTGGATCGAGGCTCTTGACATAAACAGCCATTTCTTGTATCCAATCCTACAAGACAGAACATTGCTTCAGCTACAAGAAAACGATACATTCCAATAAAACAAAGACACACACAACCATTTGTTGAAGAGCATGAACCTGCAGTTTATCACCCGAAGGATCTGAGGTGCATCGAGGCTCGTTCATCAGTTCCCAAGCAAAAACTGTGGGATCGTCCTTGTAAGTAATGTTTGTGAGTGTGTTAACTCTGTTAAGAACCGTCTGCAGAGTCAAAGTATCAATAAATATGAACACTAAAAACCTAATTAATCAGTAATTAAAGCACAAAATCAACAATCAAAAGATGGTCAAGGCTTGTAAAAACATGCTTTAACTTGCCTTAACATGGGCCTTGTAGTAGCTTTTGAGTGTTGGATGAGAGAAGAAGTCATCATCTGAAGTCAAATTCAGACCAGCTGCTTTTCCCCATTTGACATATTGTGATTTTCCACCATATGCATCCCAGTTGTTGGTTAAAGACAATATGAGCCTGATCTTGTACTTCCTTGCTTCACTTATCACAAAATCCAAACCCTGCAACGCATTGTACGAAATTCAAATTGACTTAGAATTTGAAGAGTATTTCACAAGCGTTGAACAAACAAAATGGTTAGAAATTTTTGCCTTGAAAACTTCTTCATCATAAACTGATGGAGATTTCTGAAGAGCTCGCCACTGGCCGTCGTTGAAAGCCCAAGTCCTACAAACAGTTAGACCCACTGAAAATGCCTGTTTGAATGTATCAGTGACCTTTCCTCTTGTGGATTTATCAGCAGCAAATACCATCAACCAATAAGTGTTGAATCCATTAACATAGAAAGGTTGATCGTTCACTACAAATTGGTTCCCTTTCTTCTGCACCAATTGCCACTCATCATCTTCCATGCCATCATTCAACTCTTCAATCCTACAGAAGGACATATATACACTTTATACATTGTGCATATAATCAAACTAAAACAAAAATAAAAATGAAAAATGCCACTCTTATGGATACCAATCACTTGTGCTTGGATATGCTAAATGATCTTCGGCTTCCTCCACCACGGTGTCCAGTTTCTCCACTCCACTAGAACCATGGAAAGTAGAACTTGAATGGTTGATGAAAATCATAAAAATGGTCACCATAAGAATGCTCTGTGACATCAAGTTTCTTTTGTGGGTATCCATGGGATTGAACTTGTATGACAATGCATGTTTCTTGGGATACGTATTTATACATGTATGGATGATGTCTACACTTTCTTGGATTGGGCTAGTATATTTGAGTGTGGGGCACCAGAAAAAGTATTGAAACTGAAGAGATGATCACATTTCAAACTTTGAAGGGAAGGCAAAAATTGCTTCTTTGCTCTGCCAATTCCTTTTCCTTCAGATCTGATTGGTCTTTCAAGTGTAAGAGTAAAGTTGCAACTAGCATCAATCCCTAAGGTAGTTTCAATTGGGTCCTACAACAAAGTTGTCATGAGCAATAACAAATTAAAACAATTATCAATCTGAAATAGAAATGGGATTGATAATGTGTCTGATGGCCAAAACTTTTTAGAAGATGTTGTAATACTAATCTCTTGTTTATGTATGAATTTGGTTGAGATAATCTGTTACTATCAGTTTCAGCTCAGATGTCATTATCATCATCCCATGTTAGAGTAGAGTGCATTTGATCATCAAGAGGACCAATCTAGAACTAGATTGGTTGGTCCCATATATGCATATAAAAAAAACAAAGTTCAAAGAGAAAAAGAAAGCAAAATGGATCATCCACCTTTTTCTCAAAATTGGTTTTTCTTTCACCACCTCATGAAGAAGAAGAAGAAGAAGAAGAGAAGGAAGAGTAGGAAGCTGAAGAAAGAAATGTATGTATTTGTGTCGGTTGCACTGTACAGGTAACATGTTTCCCTTTCTCTTCTCTTTTTGCCTTTTGACATTTGGTTACAACCATGTGCGCGACGGCAAATACCTCAAATTATAAAAGGGTACATGTGATACTATCTGAGGAGTTGTTTTAACATGCAGATTTCTTTTTCTTCTTTTTTAGTCCAACAAAACATTGTGTGGTTTCACATTTTTAATTGCAAAACGTTGTAGTTTAAGGTCCATAGAGACATACTTGCCAAATTCTCAGTTGGGCCTTAGAATTGGGCAACAAAAGAGTCAATGAAACCAATGAATTGTTCACTTGGGCCTTTCAAACTTGAATTCTTGAACCACGGTGATGCTTTAAATATGAGAAAAATTTGCATATCACGGGGATAACATTGTTTTGCTATTCTTAAATAATTATGTTTCGTCATGTGTAAAAGTTACCACTTGTGGTGAAACGTGATTAGTTAGAATAGCAAAACATTGTTATCCCCGTAGTATAACAAATTTCTCCTTAACCACCTACATCTTGGACTTTGCCTACCACTAATGTGAGTATTCCCACATAACATCTCGAAGTAAGAATAAATATTTTGGATTTTAGGCGATTTGAAAGCAAATATTTTTTTTTTTTTTTTTTTTTTTTTTTCTTGTGTCGTTTTATAATCACAAATTTCGCATAATAATACGGGATTGCATTTAATTAATTAATTAATTATCACTAAACAAATTCACATTGCTTTAATTTTGAGAGTTTCCTTGTCCTTGCTACTTGCTGGTAGTGCGTGGCATGCTTGCCTCCCATCCCTTGCCAATGAGGGCCAATCATAACATAACAAGACCTTTCTCTTGGTTGTGTATTTTTATATCCTTTTCCATCTTTATTTAGTGTATACTTGACAATCATTAATTCATCAAATATTGTATTTTGTCTTTATTAATATGGTAATCCCAACCGACGGTCCTGATTCCATAGAAGCAGCTAAGCCTATATGCCAATGGGCCCCACTCCTATAAGACGCGTCCACATATTCCAACTAATTCCATTTAAAAACGCGTTTTTCCCTTCTGTGATCACTTACTCACTGATCTGGCAACAGAGCACTTTCGATTTTTGACAAATTGCGCGTCTGAAATTACTGTCCCACACGGAAGGTCAAACCCGTCATTTCACGTTCAGCCGCCACTCAATCTTAGCTGGGATGGCATGAGTTGATAATACTCAGTAAACTAGTGGCTATTTAGCATATCTAAGAACCAAGTTAAACAGCTAGTTGAGCATGTAAGAAGGACCACGCCAACCATTAAAACCAAGCTTCTTTAATTTCGCTTTCTGGTCTCTTCAGCTCTTTTCCCAAATCGCCATTTTCAGAGAGCTCTCTATCAAAGCTGAAACTTTACCAGCGAGCTTTCTCTCTCTCCGGTTCTCATCATTGGCTGGTTTGGTCCAGTTCCAAAAGGTAAACCACTCTTTGTTCTTGGCATGGTTTCTTTGTTCAAAGGCTAAGATGTTGTAGCTCACAGCCGCATTCCTTCAGTTTGGTCAATTGAGCTTGATTTATGATTTCTCAGTTGATTTGTTGATCTGGGTTTTTGAGAAAGCATAGATCTTGATCTTTGATAGTTGTTTTTTGTTGGGTAAAGTCAAATCCAAAGTGGGTATGAACACCACTAACTTTGAAGCGGTGTTCATCTTTGTTTTTCTTTGTCTGGCCACCACAATCCATGTTGTTTTGGCTGCTAATTATATCCCATCTGATAAAATCTTCCTAAATTGTGGCGGGCCTCCTGAAACCACCGATTCCGATGGCCTGAAATGGACATCGGATGTAGGCTCTAAGTTTGCATCTGGTGCCAACTCCACCACATCCCCAGCTGCCACTCAAGACCCTGCAGTCCCTGAAGTTCCTTTCATGACTGCTAGGGTCTTCCGTTCTGAGTATACCTATAAATTTCCAGTTGCCTCGGGTCGCAAATTTATCCGTCTATACTTCTACCCTGCTTCCTATGCGGGGCTCAATGCTTCTAATGCTATTTTTACTGTCACTGCTCAGTCCTATACTCTCCTCAAGAACTTCAGTGTTGCTCAAACAACAGAGGCTTTGGATTATGTTTTTGTTACCAAGGAGTTTTTGGTCAATGTCGAAGGTGAGACATTGGACATTTCGTTTGCACCCTCTTCCAGCGTTGCGAACGCATATGCGTTTGTGAATGGGATTGAGATTGTGTCAATGCCTGATATTTACAGCGCTCCTGATGGTACCATGATTGTGGGTCAATCGAGTACTTTCTTCATTGATAACAGCACTGCCCTTGAGAATGTTTATCGGATAAACGTGGGTGGTAAGGATATCTCGCCGCCAGGTGATACGGGTCTGTTTAGGTCCTGGTACGATGACACCCAATATCTCTTAGGAGCAGCATTTGGGGTTCCTGAAACTGCTGATCCAAACATGACAGTTAAGTACCCTAAGAGCATGCCTACTTATGTTGCACCAGAGGATGTCTATACCACTGCCAGATCAATGGGGCCAAATGCTAACATCAACCTCAATTACAATTTGACTTGGATTTTCTCAATCGATTCTGGATTCTCTTACCTGGTTCGGCTACATTTCTGTGAGGTTGCCCAAATTTTTACCAAGCAAAATCAAAGAGTGTTCAATATCTTTCTCAACAATCAAACTGCTGAGTCTGGGGTTGATGTTGTTGCCTTGGCCGGAGGCAATGGAATTCCAGTGTACAGGGATTATGTGGTGTTGGTTCCAAAGGGAAGCCCACAGGTGGATCTATGGCTTGAACTGCATCCAGACACTTCTGGTAAGCCAAATTATTATGATGCAATCCTAAACGGAGTTGAGATATTCAAGATTAGTGATGCAACTAGTAACCTCGGAGGGCCTAATCTTATTCCTCTTCCGAAGCAGGATACCATTGACCCAACTAAGGCTAGACCATCATCAGGTCATGGCAAGGCTAAGAGTGATCACAAAGCAATTATTGCTGGGGGAGTTAGTGGTGGAATTGTTTTGGCCCTTGTCCTTGGTTTCTTTGCTATTTGTGTGGCACGCCACCGTAGACATGGGAAGGACTCAAGTACAAGCGAAGGGCCATCTGGGTGGCTCCCTCTGTCTTTATATGGAAATTCACAGTCTGCAGTTTCTGCAAAGACAAACACAACAGGAAGTTACACGTCCTCCCTTCCTTCAAACCTTTGTCGCCATTTCTCGTTTGCTGAGATCAAATCTGCCACCAAAAACTTTGATGAGGCTCTACTCCTTGGGGTGGGAGGTTTTGGCAAGGTTTACAAGGGTGAAATCGATGGTGGAGCAACCCAAGTAGCAATCAAGCGTGGAAACCCACTCTCTGAGCAAGGTGTGCATGAATTCCAAACTGAGATTGAAATGCTCTCAAAGCTTCGCCATCGTCATCTTGTTTCTCTTATTGGCTACTGTGAAGAAAACTGTGAAATGATCCTTGTTTATGACTACATGGCTTATGGAACCCTGCGTGAGCATCTGTACAAGACCCAAAAGCCCCCTCTACCCTGGAAGCAAAGGCTTGAGATTTGTATTGGAGCTGCTCGTGGTTTACACTATCTTCACACTGGTGCCAAGCACACCATCATCCACCGCGATGTAAAAACAACCAATATTCTTTTAGACGAGAAGTGGGTTGCGAAGGTTTCGGATTTTGGGCTGTCAAAAACAGGTCCTACATTGGACAACACGCATGTCAGCACGGTTGTAAAAGGCAGCTTTGGGTATTTGGATCCAGAGTACTTTAGGCGGCAACAACTGACAGAAAAATCTGATGTCTACTCGTTTGGGGTTGTTCTATTTGAGATCTTATGTGCTCGTCCAGCCTTGAACCCGTCACTTCCAAAGGAGCAAGTGAGCTTAGCAGAGTGGGCTGCACATTGCCACAAGAAAGGCAGTCTCGATCATATCCTTGACCCTTATCTCAAGGGGAAGATAACACCAGAATGCTTCAAGAAGTTTGCTGAGACAGCAATGAAATGTGTGTCAGATCAAAGCATTGACAGGCCATCAATGGGAGATGTGCTTTGGAACCTTGAGTTTGCTTTGCAGCTACAGGAGAGTGCTGAGGAGAGTGGCAAAGGTATTGGTGCAATGGAACTTGAGGAAGAGCCGTTCATGGCCTGCAAAGGGAAGAAGGACCCTGATGCAGTGCCTGCCTTTGATGGTAATGTGACAGACTCAAGGAGCAGCGGGATGAGCATGAGCATAGGTGGCCGGAGCCTAGCTAGCGACGACTCTGATGGATTGACACCAAGTGCTGTGTTCTCACAGATCATGAACCCTAAAGGACGTTAAGAAGATTGAAGATATGGCTCCTCCCTTAATCAATCAGGCAATAAAGTTTGCTGTATTTCTTTTTCCAACTTTTTATTCATTTAAGTTACTGTTATTTTCTAATCTTATTGGAGTCTTCCAATATGATTTGATCACGTTTAGTTGTAATTTTGTATCTATAGTTACATGAAGAGTTTGAAAATAATGTTTCCTACTTCTACTTGCTTTGGTTAGACGATTGTTGATTTGGCTTCTATATGTTCTTATCCTTTGGTATCATGGAGTGTTTTAATAAAAAGAATAGCTTAAAAGAGATGAATTCATGTATGCGTTGCCGTTGTCCAGGACCATAGGCCATGATTGCTCGTCATATATTAATGTCTATAATGCGAGAGAGAGAGAGAGAGTTTCATATGATTCATTTCCTTATGTATGTAATGTTGAAGAATATTTCTGTTAAGCCGCGCTGGCAAGACGTGAGAAAGACTGCATTTTAGTGCGATTGTGACTTCGTTCACGCGGCTATTTGGTTTGTGAAAGGGTTGACCCCATGTGAAAGAGAAAATCATCAATAGATTCAAAAATCTATCTTTACCCAACTTCATTATGCATAAGAATTATGCTTTGCGTTCGAACAAAAAAAACAAAGAATTATGCGTTGCGATCGATTGACAGCTGCATACTATGTTTGTTAATGACTGTCGCTAGCATCTCTCTACATGTGAGTCACGATTGTTTTGATGACCATCGCTAGTATCTTGTTATGCGAAAGTCATGATTGTTTGATTGTTAATGATGTATGCATGTGTTTGATTTTTAAGTCCACATTGATCGATTGACAGCTGCGTATTATGCTTGTTGACAATTGTCGCTAGCATCTCTCTATATGTGAGTCACGATTGTTTTGACTACCATATATCTCTTCATGGATTTTTAAGTCCACGTTGAAACGGTCGTCGTATTATTGAGTTGAGAGAATTTATGTGTCCACACGAATTTGCAAGAGAACGTTAGACCACTTGGAACCATTTTAAGAGAAAAGACAGTAGAGACAGAAAGCTCAGGTTGTGGACTTGTGGTTGCATTGCATATACTGTCTCTTTCAGCCGAACCCTCTAGCCCTCTAACCCAACAACCGTGAGAACTTCGATATTCTTTGACACTGCAAGCGATAGAATAGAGTGAAACTGTTGTCTGATGCAAAAGGATCTTTGGATTTTCAATCTGGAAAGATGTTCATACGATTGGTCGTATTTACAATCCAAGACCAACTTACAAAAAACAATTCCACGCCAAATATATCCATCAACTCGCAACAAATGTAAAAGGAGACATTCAATGACCTCAAAATGACATAGAAACCCCTAGTCATTTCTGACACGGGGCAGAATCTACTATGGAAATTATCTTCTTCTGCAACTCTGGCTTGTTGGCTCCCACTAGCTTGTCGATTTGCTGGCCATCCCGAAGGAAGAAGAAAGTGGGAGTGGCTTTGATATCCCATGAAGTACTGAAATCCTGCACCATACAAAACCAAATGTCAACCACCTGTGAATAAGATTTATTTATGATAACACATTAAACCAGCACCAATCTCCCGGAAACATCACAAAACTAGTTGGGAACCATAAGTATATTAATGAGTAATTTGATTGCCACGCATATGGTCAGAGGTAAGGTGAAGTCTCTGTCCCAAGAGCAGAACTTGCATGCAATAAATTAATAAACTATTACATTAACAATATCCCTAAACACTTACAGTCAGTTCATCAACATCGATCACAAGGAACATTAGAGAAGTGTATTGCTCCGATAACTCGCGATATAGTGGTGCAATCATTTTGCAAGGACCACACCATGTTGCACTGAAGTTTGCAATCACCTGTTGGACATAAGAATTTCAGTTTAGATAAAGAGCTAGAAGAAAAAGCTAACAAATCATTCAAACTAAACTTGCCAACCAAGTCACAGGTAAGAATTCATGCAAACCAGCACCCAATCTAGTAAACCTATGTAATGCATGACAACAGCATGGACCTATAATGTTTAATTGGGAGCAACTTGCAGAGAGGAGTTGTTCACTGATGCCTTTATGACCTCGCATTCTTAACATTGACATCCACTTGAGACAAGACTACAACATTATTTGACAGAAAATCAGCTGAATATCTGTAACAAGACCATACAAAGCAAACTAAAGTTCTTTAAGGAGGAGCCAGGATTCTATAACACCCTAAGCTGTCTTTGATTGCACCCAATTGTACTCCTGATCAGATTAAGAAGACTGCATATTAGCATTTTTCATCAGATCATGTCGCTAATTAGTGGGAGGGTCTAAATATTTAAATAAATAAAAAAGATCTCTTATTATCAAGAATCAGATTTGTTACAACTTACAGGTCATCTATTTAAATATAGAATACCCATGTGTATGGATGTTCCATTGAAGAATGGAACTAAAAGGTCCCCTTGGTTGATATTTTGCTCATAATTGGTTTAAATTCTATGCTAAGTTGAGTTCCTGGATATTGCCACACTTGGTTCTCGATATCCATTTTCACTTGCTAATCAAAGCTTAAAATTGACAGCCTGGACAAAAACTTTTCAGTGGATTAGAGGATCTACAAAGATTTGATAACCATATTGTTCTCTCCTATTATATTTGGCTCTTAAACATGCACCTTTGGGTGGGATCCCATCTGAGGTCATGGGACTTGCATTGTCATTCGTGAGTCACAATCTATTTTTTTGTCACTAACCCCAAAATTCTTAATGATTACCGGATTCTAAATGTAGTAACTCATTACTGATAGAAAACACTGACGTTGGTTCAGTCAAAGACTTAAAGTACATCACAAATTTGAAAACGAAGTACCATATGCCATTCAACACAATTCATTTCTCTTGAAAGGAAAATTTTGATTAAACTTACAGTTTTGCCGTCCCTTTTTGCTTCTTCCATCTTTTGATCCCAACTTTCTGTGGTGGTGATGAGGTGCACATTCGCACCAGTAAACTCAGCACCACTTTGTTCAGAATCCTGTTCTTTAGTTTTACTCTACAAGTATCATGAAAGTCATAACTTGTCAGATTTCTTTAAAAAGGCAAAACAATAAACACTAAGTGGCATACAAAATGCTTCACAATCATCAAAAAAGCACCAAAATCATTGGAGAGATCAATCATATAGTAGTAAATTTTTCTTGCTGCAATATAAATTATTAAAGGCTAAATACAGAAGGAAGAATAGAGAATTTTAGTGCATGCATTATAGTTAAAGAAACTGATTTATTGCACAATGTTTATCTACTATCTTCATAAGCTTGACAGGCGATGCAGACTTGTCCTAATCTGGCTAGGAAGATATTCTATTACTAGCAATTAATACCTGCAAAATCTCAAGTTCTTAAAAGAAAATAATAAACACTGACCTTGCTCACGCAAGCTCCCATCTTGATCACCAACACCAAACTAGTAACAGAGCAGCACCCTGAAAGCTTAAACAATCCATCAATTTCATTGGGGCAAATGTAAAATACATGCCATAATGCATATTGATAAAGAAGAACGTTGAGAAATAACATATGACAGATTGATTGTTGGATCTACTCAAATTACAGGTGACTTCAGCCACCCTTCTTTAAAGGGCATGCTTTCATTAATTCAATTAGTCTCTCAGTATAGACATGGACATTTTATCATTTCAACAAGCATCATCCAAGTATTGTGCTCAAAGTAAGAAAGTAAACAAACCCACGAAACTGAGTGTCGATAGAAATATCAATAGCAAGTACCAAACTTTTAACAACAAGAACCAAAATTTGGAACATTTATCAATGTAACTTCATGCCCAGAATCCCATCTTCTGAAATTTTAAGGAAACACATAGAAGACATCAATAAACAAAAAACAGCTGTGTAAAATTACGTTCTTTCATTGATGAAACACTCAATTTGCACCTCATAAAAGAAAAAGGCAACCAATTTCGTTGGCAATAAACATCTTATTATGCATTGGTTGGAAAGAATTGATAATTTACAGCGATTATAATTAACTGTCAAATTACCTTTAGAGTACGACCGAATTATTGAGCAAAATAATCCGCCATTACAAGGCGAGGATGAAGAACACAAAATGTGAATTCGAATCGAGTGCGTGCAATTTGAGAACAGCGAAGGTTAGCCCAGAGAGAGATTTTCGAAGCTCAAACCGCGATATAAGAAAATTTGGAGAGACAGAAGACGATGATTGTTAGAAGAACCAAACCTTACAGTAAAACAGAAGATGGTTTTTTCTGTGTCTGAAATTACGTGACGGTTTTGGGTCATAAGTTTAACTCGTTAATTCCATTTCCAGCTCAAGACCTAAGCTTTGATTAGCCTTTTGTTTAGACCTTTAATTATGTCAATTTATTTGTATTTATTTATTCTACTTTCCATTAATATTCCACTCTTTGTTTGTGGGCCCCGAACCTTATCTTTTCTTTTTTCTTTTTTGTGGTCATATTTTAACTTATCATTTTATTCTGTTCCATTGAGACCTCTTCATAAATGAATTATTCTATTCTTTAAAAAAACCTAACAAATAATGAGATTATGCCTTGATTAATTGCACACTTCATTCCCATATTATTTTTTAATTGCCCGTAATTCCCTCTATGATCAACCTGGTCAACTCCATTGTTTGACCAAATAAAACTTTGATTAACTCCATCAAATCCCCATCATACCTTAATTACCTTCATCAAGCTCAAAGTTACCGTCACAAGCAAAAATTTCTCTCTAATTACCCAATTTTCTTCATATATCTCTTTATATCTTTATCGCATGTAATTCACGAGATGAGGAATACGATAATAATATTATAGGCGTAGTGTAAGTAGTAAGTTTTCTAACGCCGGAGTTAGAGGTCTCTAATGTAACAGTTAAGTCCTAACCTTATTTACTCGTACATTGCCTGTGACATAATGCTATGTAAATTTTAATACGATGCATGTTTTAAATGATTAGATGAAAATCTGGAGAAGATTTGGAAGTTGGAGCAGAGGTGGGGCATTGAGCTAGCTTTGCCAGCCGATTGACTGTTGTCTTTCTGTTGAAAGGCACAACCTTTACAGCTGGTCCAAGTCTCCAAGAAACCGTGTGTAGGCAAACAGGACGAGATTAATTAGGCATATCGCTTGGTCCCATAATGGAGACGGCCTAACTATTAAACTTGCTTGTAAGAATTGTAACTAATAATTAATCTATTACCAAATAATAAAATCTAATATGGTCAAATTATGCTGCCCCACACATCATCTAAACATGGTTTCATGGCTAGAATGAATATGTTGTGTATGGTTGGAGGAGGGCCCCTCTTGCCTCTCCACCCTCCTAAGTGCTGATAATCACCCACCATTTTGATTGAGTAGTTGCAACTGTTGATGTAAGTGAATAAGATAAGTGAATTCGATAACGCATTAATGTCTTACAATTATTCATGCATTTGTGAGTGATTGTCCTTACACTTCTATTCAAATCCCCTTTTTTTATTGGATTTTTCTCACGCACTTGAGCGACTGTTCTGTCCTGCGACTGTTCTGTCCTTACATACCTCTGCATCGATCGAAACTCAATATTTAAAAAAATACATTTTAATCAATGGTTCGAAGACGAGCTATCAAATAAACCTTAAAAATCGTTTTGTGTTCATTGGACCACACACGTAAGGTAGCGACAACCGTCTCCAACCTCGGCGCACAGAATAGTGTATTTTCCTCCCCATGTAAAGCAATTCTCAATAGAACAATATACAGGATGAAGCAAATGGCAAATTTAATTAATAAATGATGGTTGTATTACAATATCAATTTATTGATGAAGAGGGAACAACAAACCAAACAGATCATCGGATTCTATATTTCTTAATCTTTTCAGATACAAGAAGAAATGGCAGAAACAAAAACAACACCGATTCCTCAGTTGATGGAATTACACTTCAAAAACTACATTGAAAAGTCTGTCTAGAAAGCTGGAAGGAGCAACACCAAACAATAATTAAGGTCCTGGTAAAACCAGAATTACATCCCATTCAAACCTTTCATTTTTGTGATATAACTAAACACGAGAAGAACAAAGATTTATTCTTCCCAAATTAAGCCATCCCCCAACCTGTCCCTCCCCGCCCACACAAAATACGAACTCTAAATCTGGAAAAACATCTTCATCCCATTGCATACTTCTGAGTCCAGCTACGTGCAGTGGATTCATACTTGGCTCGATCGGTTTTATACATGTGGGCAATCTCCGGCACAAGAGGGTCATCAGGATTAGGGTCAGTCAACAGTGAGCAAATTGAGAGCAATACCTGATTTTACATTAAAAATGGGGTTAGTAAATACAATTCCAACCATAAGATAACCTTCATAGAAAAGAAACAGATCCCCTTTCTTTTGTTTTTTTAACCTCTAAGTTTCAGTGTCACTTTAAGTTATCATAAATAAAGGTATGGCTGTAACCAAAAGTATGAACTGGGAAAGCCAAGAATGATATATAGTCGTCAATCATCTTATGCAACATCTTCAAAGTAACGTCGTCAACTCCTTATAGAAAGAATGGGCAAAATATTGAACGGCTTTTAGCAATAAGAAAGTCAGAGGGAAACAGAGACACGTATATATTGCTCTAATTCTAACATGATAAATGTTTGAAAGAGACATAACTGCAGCCACCTGCTTGTGCTTGTCTGGTAGTATATGCAAGAATTTCAAATCCAGACAGATGATTTACAGAAAGCACAGACAAGCATCTGTCCTTTTGAGACTTCTTCTATATCTATCTATATATCCATCTATATATGCATCAAAGCAGCAGATATACGAGTTCCAGATCAAATGAGAATACAAAGACAAAACAATGTTATGCAGGATAAATTGAAACCTTAGAGATAGTTAGTGCTGGGCTCCATTGTTCTTTAAGGATATCAAGACAAATGCTTCCATTGCTGTTGATATTTGGGTGGAAGACCTTAGTCCTAAATGCAACCTGAAAACATGAAATTACCGTTAGTATCCTTCATCAACAAACAATCGCCACACACACCGACACAACAAAGCAGGACCAAACGTTGCACATAAGATGTATGAATTACCTTAGGGGGCTTGAAAGGATAATCAGGAGGAAAATGAATGGTGACTAGGAACACACCTCCTGCATATGGGCTATCAGGGGGTCCCATAATCGTAGCTTGCCAGTGAAACATGTCCTCAGCCACAGGACCTAAATCAAATTAACACATAATTTATTTAAATATCCACTTGGGTACTTATATTACCGGTAATTACATTAATCATTCAACAAATCAATGAAATCAACATGCGCCGGCAATCACATCTCTACAAAATGTGTCAATTTATCATATGAAATTAAAAAAGTTTTGAACTTCGAGTGTAAGATCATGACAAAAATACTAAATTAAAAATTTTGAAATTGAAAAAAGTACCGGCGCTGCAAGAAGTTGGAGGATCTTTCTGCAAATCCTTAAGCTCTTTCAAGATGCGCTTGGAGGCCATGATGAAATTGAATTGATTACAGTTTAAAACTCACTTCTCACAACCCAGGACCTGCAAAGCTGCATCAAACAGCAGTTTCAGATTCAATCAGAACAATTTCTATAAACACATAACCAAAATCAAAACAATTTCTCAATTTTGAAAACAAATTATCGTCAAACCAAAACAACTTTCCATACATGAATACCTGAGATCGGACTGAAATAGCGGTAGCAGAGGGAAACGGGTTTGAAGAAGATCCGGAGCCGCCTCCCAAAGCTCCGCTACCAACAATACGATCTTCGACCCCCTGATTTTTCTACACAAAAAACTCGGAGAGACTTTGGGGCTTTATTTTTCCACCGGTTTTATACACGCCCCGTTTTCACCGTCTCTCGCACTCTGTTTTCTTTTCCCTTCTTATCCGTTACTTTTTTCTTTCCTTTTTTATATTTGGGCCGTTATTTACGGCGGCTTTCTAATTTTAAATATTTAAATTTAGTGTGAAATTTTGTGGTCCAAGTCGGCGGGTTTGGACTCCGACTTACCTAATTTGGATCCAACGATTAATTGGATAATTTCAGCTCACCCCATTCAACTCCCAGCCCTCTTTGTATGGGGTGCCCTCATCTACCCACTTTAACCAAACCAATAAATACATAAATAATTGAATTAAGTTCAAGATGTTTAAAATTATTAAATTGAGCTCTAATGACCAATGAATATAGAGTTCAACAGGAAGAAGAAAAAAATTATAGTTGTAAATCGTACTTATTATCTAAGTTGAATAATGTCCAATGTTTAAATGCCGACGCTCTCACATATGAATCACCCTCCTATTTGATATATATTGTAAGCTTTAAGTCGGAAATTGTAACTTGGCTATGTTTAGTGGGGATGAATACCTCCTCAAAACACTAATCGGGTGACTCATGCAGGATCATCAATAGGTATACTAACGGTAATACTGGAAAGTTGGGTTATGAGATCACTACACCAGCATCTCTTGTGGGAGTTCTGGTTTACGATGAGCTTCATTGCTAACTGGCAGTGAATGACATCTCTAAATGTTTTATGCTTAACGGGAATTGAGCTCCTCACTATGCTAATTTGAAGGTGTTAGTCTTGTTTTATTCATGTATTTCTTGCGAATGAGCGCTTAATCTTTTACTCGTTTATTGCCTTTAAGCCTAATGAAAACTACTTTTGACAACAACAAAAAAGAGTTGGAAATTGCAACTAATTTTAATTACAAGTGAACAGTTATTTTGATTAGGTTAATATTTTGTCAAACCAAGTCTAAACATTGCTTTTTATAACCCCTTTTTATTCTATTCCTCTTGTTTGCCACACATCATAATCATCTTTTTTTTGTTTTAAGTCACATTAATTAAGGATATGTTAATTGAATTTCTCCTCAAAGTGGGCAGCTGGGTTGCTTATAAAAAGAGCAAAAAATAAATGGTAATTTCTCCTCAAATCAAATCCAATATTCCAATCGAAAATGGAAGAGGAATATGCGCTTTGATTTGATAGCATTTGCCTTCTCGACGGGGCCGGGTCGCTAGTCACGTGGCTCCCACATGCGTTGTGCGTTTGGTGTTCCCAAGTCAACGTGAAAGTTGCGGTAGCGTCCGTTTCCCGCAAATGGTAACGCCGTAAGTCCGTAACGCACTGACTTCCTTCCGTCACTGCCTTTAACGAGAAAGTTAGAAGCTACGGTACGACCGACCACATTCAAGGACGATCAAGCAACCAATCATATACGGCCAAGTCACCACGTCAATAGTCTGCTGCTTCCCACTGCATCAACATCCAAATAGACTCGTATCCATGAGTTATTACAGTGATAGAAAATAAATAAAAACGCGAAAAACGCACTATAAATAAGAAACGAAGGGAGAAAACCCTTCCCGGCAAATCCCACAAACGAAATTCAATTGATAAATTCTCAGTGGAGGAAAACGCCAACAGCAAGAAATCAGATCCGGACTCGGGTCTGCCCGTGCGGTCTGGATTTCATTCTGTGGCGGCAGAGCAAGAGGCTGAGCATTTTGTGAGCCTGAAAATGGAGGACGATAAGAAGAAGAAAAAGAAGAACAAGAAGAAGAAGAACAAGCAGGCTGAGACCACAGACAACGTTCCGGTTTCCGGTAATGACCAAGTTTCGAAGGACGCCGCCGACGACGGTCGTTTAGACGATGTCCCGGTTACGGGTGACGGCCAAGTTCCAGAGGCCGTCGCCGATGTTTGTTCAGATGCTATACAAGACGCAGATGCGAATGGGAATAGGCTTGAGAGCAATGGCACGGAATGTGTAAGTTTGATTTTGATTAATTTTGTAATTAGTATTAATTTGTTGATGTTTATCTCTAAGCATTCGAATTTGAATTGGATCGATCAACAGCTGATAGTAAAGAGAGATGTACATTGTATTGTGTGCATTTATGTGGTGATTTTCAAGGATTTTGAAATTTATGGTTTTATTTTTTTTGAAATTTTGTTGTGCAGTCGTTAGCTGAATCTGAGAAACAACATTGGCTCCAAAGAGAGGTAAGCGTGGATATGGCAAACACACAAGATATCTCCCACCTTTGTTTTTGTTGTCAGTTTTCATATGCAAATGCATCCTGAGAAGTGCACAAAATTATCATAATTTTACAGACTACCTTAGAAGAAACAATCAAACAATTACAAAAGGAAACGGACTTGCACATACAGAAAGAGGTAATATAATGTGAATTTCAACTGTGAGAATAGTGGAACAAAGATTAGGGCATGTTTATTGTATTTGGCTGGGTTTCAAATTTTTTATGCCATTTAATTTTTTTCAGGCTACCTTAGAGGATACTATTAAACAGTTACGAAATGAAAATGATTCACATATACAGAAAGAGGTACTATATCTTGATCTGAATTTATGAAGTTATACTTAGAAAGAGCCAATGACCTTTTTTCTTATGTGGTATGCTTTTTCTATCTTTCCTATTGATTTTGTATATTTCTTCTTCAGGCTACCTTAGAAGATTTCATAAAACAATTGCGGCATGAAAATGATTCACATATACAGAAAGAGGTAATATTATCTGAATTTGGCTGAGACAATGAGCTGACAAAGAGTTAGTGCACTTCTAGTTAGGACTGTGTTCTATCACATTTCATATTACAATTGTATCCTTGTTCTGCATATGTTTTTAGGATTGTCTCTCTAACCAGATGATTTACAGGCCGACCAACAGAAGGAAATTGTACAATTACAGAGTGAAAAAGATTCATGGCTTCAAAAAGAGGTGATTTAAGTTGCATCATTGGGCTATTTGAATTTTGTTCATATTTCAATTCAAGGGGTCCTTTAAGTTCTTTCTTTACCAGCATGCGTATAATCATGCTCTCTTTAGTTTTTTATGCAACATTATATTAAACAAAGCTGCAAACAAAAGGAATTGGTTTCTAATGCTGTGTTTGTTGTAGGTTGGATTAGAGGAGAAAATTGGTCGATTAGTAGATGAAAAGGCTACTTTGGATTCAAAAGAGGTTAGCGTCCCCTCCCTTTATTAGAACCCTACAACCAATAATCATTTTGGCCTTCTTTCTTTCTTTCTTTTTTTTTTTTTTTTTTTTTTTTTTTTTTTTTTTGGGGCGAACTTTTGAACTTTTGACTTACATTGTTTCACAGTCAAGCTTACAGGAAAAGATTAAACATCTAGAGAGAGATAGAGATACTTGGATTCTAAAGGAGGTAATCACTATTCTAATTACTCTGAATCGTAATTGCAGATGAAAAATCATTTGGCCGCTTAATGAGCTTAAAACTTTTACACTAAATTCGTTGTTATTGCACCTGGAAAATAGTTAGAATTTAGTTATGTCTGTAATAGGAAACAAATAATTTGAAGAAAAAAAAACCGTAAGAATCCATCAACTGTAACACTCTTTCGTTACTGAATCTTTCTTAATTGGGATTTCAGAAAGCTCTCTCTTACACTTTATAATCCATGTGTATATTTGCCCTTCATTATTTTATGTCAGAGACTTATTTGTCTTTAAATATGTGTTTCTTACAGGATTCGTTTAAAGAAATGGTAGCAATTCTGAATGATGATGTTGCTAAGTTACGAGCACAGGTATGTAGCTCGATTGACTTAAGTAACCTACTTGATGGATTCAATTTAAATTGATTAGTTGATTTACAAGCTCTCTACATGTCAAACCTAATTTGTTGAGTAGAGAGGAGTTTGACTATTGCCTTTTCTTACCTTAGATTCTATAAGATATGTAGGAATTTAGTCAGACTGTTTTCCTTATTGCATGCACATCCTAATTTCTGGTCACAAGCAGTTCAAAGAAAATCTTTGTATTTTCTTCTGATATGGAAATTAAAACCAAAGCTGGGCAGGTGTTGGAATTGGAGCAATCCAGGGATAATGTTGTCCAAGAAAATCAACAGCTGATGGAAAACTCCTCTAGTCTGCAGTTGCAAATTAAGAATCTTGAGAGTGTCTCCTCTACTCCCTCATCAGACGAACTTGCAAAGGTAGGCTTCCCACCTGATCAAATTTTATTGGCAGCTTTATGCATGATTAGGACTAATAGGTTTGTGCGGGCTGTTTTCTGTTCCCAAAAAAAAATAAAAATTCTTACGATGGCATTTGGAAATTTTATTTAAATACTATGAGCGATAGACCTATCAGTCTTTGCAGTAGAAAATTTAAAATGTTTTCAATTTTGTAAATCTGACAAAGGTCTCTTTTCTGTTGTTGATTCTATGACACATTACTTGTCAATGGAAGAAATAAATATCTGACTCTCTGTTAATGTAGCATGCTTTGGAACGTGAGGATTTGAACTCTCAGGTTGAAGCAGCATGTGCACTGGTTGAGAAACTAATGGCAGAAAATGCAGAGCTTGTTGAAAAGGTGAATGGCTGCTTTCCTCCATGGTTTCTAAGGAGTAATGTGTACTACTGTACTGTCGATAAATGCCAATGTCCTCAAGCATATCTTTCATACAGTCTTATTATATATTTAGACTTGTGTAATTAGGTTTGACCTGTTACTAATACTAAGATTTTAATGGACTGACTAGTTCTCTGATATTTCTTTTATTCCCTATGATGTTTTCTAGGTGAATGAGTTGCATGTTGAACTTGACCGGCAGAGTGCAACAGTTAAGCTCACTTCAACAAAAACATCTAATATAACAATTGCCCCTCCTGAAACTGCCAGTGTCATCGATCTCATGTCCAGATCCAATGAGGATATGTCTACATCAGACCAGAAGCTTGATTCCCCAGAAGTTGCTCCAATCAAACAGGAGATGCATAGTAATGGTAGCGTGGATTCTCAGCATGTTGCTTTTGTTCCAGAATTGCCAATATCTGATGAAATTAGTGAAATAGTGCAAATTCCATTGGATGAGAATGAAGTCCGGAATCTAGAGTTGTCAGTTGAGACTGATAAAAATGATGCTGTGCCGCTTATAGATGCTCCCCTTATTGGTGCGCCTTTCCGGTTAATGTCATTTGTCGCTAGATATGTGAGCGGTGCTGATTTGGTTAACCAAGCTCCTACTAACTCTAGTCATTAGCTGTCTACATACATTTACATGAGCATGGGCATAACTTACCGAGATTTTTGTTGAAGTAAGAATTACTATTCTTTTAGAGATCAAAGGCAGGCCTTTATCTTGGCCATTTACATTGTTAAAGTATCAGAAAAATGTAAGTTTTGTTGAAGAAAAACCTGTAAGCTGTGTGATTTCACTTCTTGGCTCCCTCTTTACGGATGTTTTTCTGAGCAGGTTTCTAGGTTTTTTGGCAATCGAATTCTCATATGCCATTTTGGGGGAATTTCATTTGTTTAGTTGCAACTTCTCATTCCTTCCAAGGTGGGAGCTTTGGACAAGGTTGATCTTTGATCTACGTGGCATATAATTAGTATGAATTATTAGGGTTTAATGGACCCACGTGGCAGATGATTAGTATGGACTAGGGTTTAATGGATTATATATTTATTTATAATCCAGACTAGGGCTAAATGGGTTGAATACGGACAAACAAAACAATCAGAAACATCACTTGAACAATTTTCAGTACATGCAATCGTGTTTACAAAAATTACATCATGCGAGTGCTAAAGGATCAAAGCATCCAAAAATGCTAATGAGATCACTCAATCCATTGGAGCCATAATTGTTTGGAAACTTCTTTGTTATACTAATCGGAGGGGGAGGGAAGAAGGGGCTAAGCTTTTACAGTAGTACTAGGACCCGACAAAGAATCACACAATTGCGAATATACGGCAGAGGTTTAATAATATTGACAGGGGCCAGGCCATGGCCATGCCCTCATGGGGTCTGAGCATTTGAGTCCTTAGACCTGTTGTCCTCGGATGATGGTCGGTTATCAGAATCCGGTGGCCGGATTTCCTCGATCATCCTAACCACTTCTTCCATAGTAGGTCTCATGTCCGGCACCCTTGCCACGCACGCCATTGCTATTTGAAGCATTTGTACCAGCTCTTCTTCAATATTTTGATACCTCATTAGCTCTACATCAAACACCTCAGCTGTCCACTCCTCTCGAACAACAGATTGAACCCACCTTGGAAGATCAACAACATCATCACGTCCTGGTGATTGTACTGGTGCTTTGCCTGTCAGCATCTCAAGGAGCAGAACACCAAAACTATAAACGTCGGATTTTTGAAAGGACTTCTTAGTTTCAATCACCTCGGGAGCTCGGTAGCCCACACTTCTGGAAGGTATAGTTGCGAAGTTCATGAGAGGAGCTAGGCCAAAATCTGAGATACTGCCATTGAGGTCCTGGGTGAGGAGGACATTGGAGGACTTGATGTTGCCATGGATGAATTTCCCTCCACTGGCAGAGTGGATATGGGCAAGCCCCTTAGCACATCCAAGGGAAATCTTTAACCTGGTTTCCCAGTCTGGTGGATTCTGTCCAGTTTCCCTGTTTCCTGTAGAATAGGACACAAAGGGAGAGAAATCAGTTCTGAGGGGAAAATTCATATGTTTAGTCTGATGCATTCTTATTACAATGTTGAGCACCATTGAGGAATACTTCGTCAGTTAAAAGAAGTAAACTCCCTAGTCTAAATGCAAAAACTTTACAATATACTTTGTTACTAATGGCAATGAGGAGATTATAGAAGTGCACTTAGGAAATGAGTAACATAGTAGAATGAGAAAGAACAAGATGAAAATAAGCATACCATGCAATAATGCTGAGAAGCTGCCAGCTGAAATGTAGTCATAAACCAGGAGTTTCTCATCTTTGGAGTAGTAATAAGCACGAAGAGGAACAACATTTGAGTGCTGACTAATCCTCCCCGCATTCTCCATTTGCTGTTCGAACTCCCTTTTTCCCACCACCACTTCTTTCATCCTTTTCACAACCACTGTGGTTCCCTCCTCCAAGATGGCCTTATAAGTAGTCCCATAACTTCCCTTTCCTAGAACTTCAGCCGAAGCTCTTAGTAAATCCTCAAGATCAAAATTGTAAGAACAGCCTTCGAAGAAAACCAGCTTATTCTTCTCAGCCTCTTGCACCCCACTTCCAAAGTCCTCCTTTGGCTGCTCAATCCTTCCGCCTTTTGTTTTCACTACAGCATTGCCTTCACTGTCTTTTTTCTTCAAACAGCACAGCACTAACACCAGAACTGAGAGAAACAACACTGCAAAACCACCAATTGCAATGGCAATGATAGCCCACATACTAAGTTTCCTCTTTGATCCATTTTCTGGTTTCAAGGGGACTATTGGCCCTAGTGGTGGAAGATTGGGGGATGGTGAAGGTGAGGGAGTGATCAAAGAACAGTGGTTCAGTGGTGGTCCGCATAACATCAAGTTTCCTTCAAAGGAAGAAGTAGGGAATTTTTGGAGGGTAGGAGGAATTGAACCATTAAGGTGGTTGTAGCTCAAATTCAAATGCAAAAGCCTTGGACTGTTGATATCAGGAATAGATCCAGTAAGGGAATTGTTCTGGAGGTTCAGTCCAGTGAGACGTGTTAAATTTTGGATTGTGGCTGGAATGTTGCCAGTGAAGGAGTTGAAAGACAAATCAAGCAAGGTGAGATTGGGAGACAGAGAAGAGGGAATATTACCTGTAAAATTATTGTTTTGAAGGTACATGTAGTGTAAGGAAGGGAGGGAGAAAATATCAGAGGGAAGCTTCCCACTGAGGCGGTTAGACCGAAGGCTAAGGACAATGAGGGCATCCAGCTTGCCAAGAGTGTTTGCTGGAATTGGACCATAAAGTCCAACACCTGGGAGTCTGACAGCAAGCACACGGGTGCCATCCAAAGTACAAGTGATGCCAACCCAAGAACTGCAGACTGCGTTAGCAGGATCCCAGTTAACTTTTCGACCATGAGGAACAACAGAAATAAAGCCAAGAAGGGCTTGTCTGTCTGAATTGAGGTCAGCTATAGTTCGGCAAAGGGAAAGGAGAAGAATTACTGTTGTACAAAATAAATGTGGCTTCATCTAGTATTGTTTGTTGAGAAATCCGTTAAGGAGTCAAGACTATGAGAGTGATCTCAGCAATCTTTCTTCTTCCCCTGCAAAAACAACAAAGGTTTCAGAATAGGCACTTAACTATTTCTAGTTTCTGCAGCCTAAAACTGGTGAAAAGTTGGGGCTGAACATGTAGGGAAAATGGAGAGTATTCTCTTTATAAAAAATATTAAAAAAAATCCAGCAATTTTCACATCTTCCTTCTTATCAGTAGGAGCATATAGGACATGGAAAAGGCACAAATTGTTCATACAAAGTTGACATTGGGAAGGCCACATTTTTTCCCTACCAAGCCTTGGAATCTTTGTGTAAAATGTGTAAGTACAAGACTTGCAAAGCATCAAGAAAGACAAAGTTATCAGAAAGAAATTTAACAAAAGAATAGGAAAAAAGAAAAGAAAAGCAAAAGCAAAATTCTTTTTCGCTAAAGAGAAAGCAAAAGCCTTAAAGCATAGCATACAAAATGCTGAAAGAATCCCTTTTCAGCTTTTATAATTTTTCCTTAATGGCATGTGGGAGTTCCATCACTAGTTCTTGATGTGAAGTAAATAAATGAAACACATAGATTGTGAGCCAGGACATACAAAAGAACCCATGCAAGGGTCTAATTAAACTAATGCCATAACAATGAGACAAAAAGTTTCATATGCAGAAACACAGAGACAAACAAAACACTGCTAGAACTTTCATTAAAAGAATTAAAAGACAAACGCCAATTTTGATGGTCCAAAGAGCAAGTCAAGCCTAGTTCATAAGGTAATTGCCATAAATACTGAGATTTTTTAGACAAATGAGAATTCGGCTTCTTAATCTCTTTTTTTTTCCCAGTCTGGTACAAATTTGACAGAACATTTAGAAAATAAAAAAATAAAAAAAGGAAAAAGATACTGGTAGTTAAGCTTGCCCATTCAGATTCACAATTCATACCGCAAAAATTCATCCAAGTCATTACTTCAGCCTATATGAATGAATGAATCAGGATCCAGAAATTAGAAGAAAAACAGAGTGAAATACACGAAATTAGAAATGTAAGGCTTATTTGAGAATACTAGAGGTAGTTAACTGAAGTTGAAGCAAATTTCTTCCATGTTCAAATCATTCTGGAAGTCCTAATTTTTCCCTAAATTTTCTCAGCAACCAAACAGAAAGCGTTGCAAGCTGAAACTAGTAAATCTGTGAAACTCTCTTCTGGCCGAAGCTCCCAACGGTCCTATGTTTCATATATACAAAATAGAAACTTGTGAAAACCTAAATACTGGTTTCTAGATGTCCTCGATTCCAAACCCCAAACTTAAGCAGAATAATAGCAAATTAACCACTAAATTCCACAAAATTTGAAAAAGAAAAATGTACGTTAATTAACAATGCTAAGAAAAAGAGAAATGCACCTGAAATATTGAAGAAAGAGTAGAGAAGAAAGACCATTGGAGCTGCAGAAACGGTCGATCTGAAACTGAAGTTCAAAGACAGCTCGAAATGCGGAAGCTTTGAGCTTGAGCAGAATGAGAGTGAGAGTGAGTAAATGAGTGTGTTTAATGCCTTATTAGCTGAACGAGCTTTAACGGCATTTCTTCACGAACACGCAGCGGAAAAGATCAAAAGATTAAAAAGCAGAAGGTGGGTTCTAATTCTAAGATTCGCCAGCAACGCAGGGATTAACGTTCATCTTAGAGGAGGGAGAGAGAGAGAGAGAAGAGAGAGAGGGAACTCACTGCTGCAACTTGATGCTTGTTCGTGAAGCTAAAGGAGTTTTCTGTAAACGCAGATCTCGATGCCTCCTTTATATTCCGAACTATGTTTTTTCCATTGCTTTGCTTAATTTCGTAGGAGCATGAATGAACAAACAAAACAGCGACAACACATTTGCCTAACTGCCTCTCTCTCTCTTTAGAGCTTTGAGCTGGAATTTAGACTAATTAGACACCAATCTGGATATCTAGGCATCTAGGCCTCAAACGGTCACCCCAACTTATATTTTCTCATTTTGCATTATTTGGTTTTATCCTTTATTACTTGGGTTTCAGTCAGAGTTACTGCTTGTGTGTGTGTATTTATTTATTGAGGTACTACCGCTAGTTCTTTGCAAGCGCGGATAGTTGACCGTTGATGTATTGTAATGTTTTAAGTAATGGTGTGTTTATTAATTAGAACTTGGAATTCTCATCATGAATTGAATTCCATTTACAGAGATTTTATGCGTTTACTTCACATCAAAGAATTAAAAAATAAATAGGACCCACACAACTCTAGAACCAGAGAATGAGGGGATAGAGAGGACAGTGGATGGAAAAATATACTTTGAAATATGACTATTTTTACTATGACAAAATCCACAATTCACGTTACCCTTTGTCATAAAAAACCAAAAAGAAAAGCGACCCATTGTATTTTTGAATGAATTCTCACGTGATGGAAGAAGTTCCTTCCAAATTCGGAAGGAGCCCCAACAATATCAAGACGGATTGTCCGTACAATAAGCCAAGCCATATTAATTTCCATTGGCCATTGGATCGTTGGGGTAAATTATAACCAGTGAAATTTATAAAGAGTGAATTATACACTAAGATAAAGATAAAGAAAAAGAGGCAAAGAGGGGAGTGATCTTTTGGTTAAAAGAAATGAAAATTTGGTCAGCGGCTTTAGCCAAAGGCCATGTGTGTCCATTACGTCTGTTTTATGCAATTGTTGGATAAAAAAAAGGGAAAAGATTAGACTGCGTGAAAGCATTGACTAATCAAGTGCAATTAGTACTACAAATACAATAATTAGGGTTTGGTTAGGGTGGTGGTTGGTTGTATATGATTTTATTATGCGCACCAAACATCACAAAATTATTTAATTTGGGGTCATAAGCTAACTCATAAACCCACCAACCCAAATCATACTTTGAATGAACCATTTTTAATTTATTGTTTCAGAAAATGTCATGATCCATACAGCTGTGGGAGCCATGCATTTAAATTGAATCAATGAGATGCATGATATTTAAGTACAAATTGACAAAATGTGCTTCGAAATGGCAGAGACGTGACGATCTCAAGCTAGCTAGTTTCCAATGGCAAAACCTTCTGGACTTTTTTTTTCCTTTCAACATGTACAAGCCATGAGAAGTGGGGTGGGAATCGAGTATATAACTTTAGATGCATAGATAAATATTCTTAATCGTTTGAGTTACAAGCCTCTTGTAGACTCGGGCTTTCACGAATTTGGATTTTTGTAGGAGGAAGAAATAAGAATTTTTGAGAATTCAACCACATGCATGATGCATTTATAGTCGGGTCTTGAATTTTCTTTCAAGAAAACCAAAACACACTCACAAAGAAAAGTCCTTGGTCTAGGCCTTTATTTCCCGATGTGGTTGTATATGAATAAATATATATATGGGTAACATCCAAAATCAGGAGTTTCTTTCATATTTACTTACAAATTGCTGAAGAAAACAAAGAGGTCCCCTTCTTTCTTTAATGTGTTCCGTTGAGTGGTCCTCCTACATTGACTTTTGATGATCTTTAATAACTTAGTTTTGTCAAATCCAAACTAGCGGTTGGTTTTGATTGAAAACAGCAAAGCATTGATCTGATTACCGTTACAATAACAAATAAATAAATAAAAACTGAAGAAAAAAAAACCCGAGAAAATAAAGAACATGGGTCGGCCTTTCCTTGTTGGGCTACTTGAATAGACCGCTTAAACCATAATCGGATCAGATGGGTCGGTCCAGTTCTGAATTGTCAGTTTTGGGCTTCTAGGCAAACCCATAATCTGAATTGTGAGTTTTCTTGTACTTAAAAACTTTGAGCAACCAATTTGTGCAGCTATTTGCAAATATAGAAGACATCAACAAGAATAAATGCACTGATTTCACAGGCAAGTACTGGCTCTTCATTCTTCTGTTTTAAGTGATTCATCCATATTAAGAAACCATATAACTTAAAAGAAGAAGAAAGAAAAAAAAATTACACACGCTTACTCGGGTGTTATAAGAGCCCGAAAGGTTCAGGCAGATGCTCAAATCCATTATCAAAGATGGGTCCTTGATCAAGTTTATCATCCAAACTGTGCAGCCAGTTTGTGCTTTTCAAGTCTTCTTTGAGCAATATCGCATCATAACGAGAGCTTTCATAGACGTCCACTTCACTCAGCTTTGCAGAGTATCTTCCACTGTCTGCTTCACTTCCATTTTCCACAGGCCGGTTCATAATGTTTCCATTCTCTGAAATGACTCCATTACTGCCTGTTTGCAGGCTTCCGTTAGTGCGGGCAGATGCTGGCACACTCAACCCGCGAACGGACTGGGGCTTGGGAGTGGATGATGATCGGATGCTCTGAGGGAAGAGGGTGCTGCCTGAAAGTTGGCGGCCATTCCCTGTTCCATTTCTTATATCCTACATCAGATAGTAGATCAATTATTAGAATCAATTAAAGTTTCTAAGAAATAACATTACTGAATCTCTTGCTATTGAATTGGAAGTAACAGACTAGACAAATTACTCTTCTAGTATGAATATAATATGATGCTGGTCAGAGAAAGGCAATGCTAAGAATAATTTTAAGTTGGGGACTTTTAAAAATTCATCGAGTTAAATGATCCATGTTTTTCACAACCTCACAGTTCATTCATATGATTTCAAGGAAAGGGTATATATACCATATGTCGGATAGCCATATCAAGAGATTTCTTCGAGATGTTCCTCCCAAACCCAGTGCTCTCTGTAGCTGTTGTTGTGGAAGTCTTCACAGGCTTCCTCATGCCCAGATCAGGGATAAGTGTAGCCTTCCGAGGCTCAGGAACATCAGGAAGGTGTCCAGTGGGATGTACACGACCCCTTCCAGGGGGCTCTGTCAGTCTTCCCCTTGAGGCAATGGGTGATGACTGCCTTCTTGGCACAACCACGGCAGCGGGGGGTTCTGGCTTCCCCTTCATTGAGACAACAGCACCAGGCCGGGACCTTCCAGCAGAAATTGGCCTGTCTGGTAAAGTTGTTCTAAGGTTTGGCGGTGTGTCAAGAGGAAAATCAGGGGGAACAACTGGCTGTGGTGGGGGACGGATACGTGGACTAGGGGAGCTTGGTCTGGATGAGGGTGCTGAACTGCGCCCATTTGACAGAACACGACCAGCTGAAGGTGAGGGACTTGATGCTGGAGACAAGGAAGGCAATGAACTCCTACGTGTGGGAGTAGATGGACGAGAGTTTGGTCGAGAAGCATGTGAATTCAAGTTTGCAGGAATTTGTGGCCTGGTACTACTAGGAGTTGAGGGCCTTGAGCTTTGCACTGATCGAGGTTTCTCGATGGAAGAGCTGGTTGAAGTTGTACGGGGTCTAGAAGGAGTTGTGGATCGTGACAGCGATGGACGAGAGGTTGGAGTGGAAGGCCTTGCTGTAGATGGAGAGCGGGTAATGGGGGAGGATGGTCTAGTGTAAGATGAGACTGAAGCTGAGCTCGTGTTAAGGATATTGGAGTTTCTGTTTGAGGAATAGTTGTTATATAGTGATGCAGAAGTTGAAGAGCGAGTCACTGAACTGCTTCTAGCAGGTCTTGATGGATGGTTATTCTCAGATTGTGAAACTGAAAGCTGAAACAAAAATTGAAATTAAGAAAACAATGAAGCATACTTTCTGAAAAGTTTCTTTGCTAATCTGGAGGAGGCTATCTAATTTCTAAACCGAAATTCATACTGAACATCATAAAGTCAACTGGGAAAGACATACCCTTGAAGGCTTAGATGCAGAACCTGGTCTGCTTAAATTGTTTCGTGGAGCAGGTAAGGTTGGTTGAGATTCACTTCCATCTGATGAAGGAAAAAGTGGAGTTTCAGGAGGTGTGAGAAGCCTGATGACACAGAAAGGTGATAAAAATCAGACAGAAGTAATTTCACGTAATCTTTCTAATCTAATTTCATGAAGTAATAATGTAACCATTCAAACAAAAAATAACCCTAAAGATGAACTATTCAATCTAACAATTCAAGCATGAACTATTTACGCAAGACCTTCTTGACTTTGAGTTTAGGCTCATACAAACCCATTTGTTAACTTTAAGTTTACACTAAGCAGAGGAACTTTTCATGCAACCTGTTTGTCAAAACAAGAGGATGTTGGTGTAGTCTGTCCCAAAGTCAAATGCTTCAGGAGACTCCCAAAAAAAAAGAACAGACACTGATTCTCTGATGGACTTAGCTTCAGGAAAACTCTAATTCTGAAGTTGCAAGATGGACATAAAATTCCACAAGATTTGATTAACTTAATGTTTGATTGTAGAGTGATGCTTTCTTTGCCTTGTCCTAATCAAAACAGCACATTCAGATATGATCTCTGTCTTTGGTGTTAATTAAGAGTCACCAAAAGAACATCTCACTTGCTGATTCTATATCAGCAAATCAAAGCAAGGAATTATTCTGAATCCAACATGAAAATTACCACAAAAGGAAAAGGGATGTGAAGTAAAATCAATTAAAATCATCCCATGCATAATCAAATCTCACAAAAATGTTTTCTGGGTCATGATCCAGTGGAAGAGATGATTATGAAACATATTTTACCAGTCATAATCGTGCTTTCCACCCTCTGCAGATGACAGCAGATCATCAATGCCAGTCCTTCCCACTTTGGCCGATCCAACTGAAAGCCTCCCCAATTTCACCGAAACTAAATCACACAATCAAATCAGTGTCAAATTGTAATTAGATTAATCCTGAAATAACAAATCCAATGAATTATCATAAACAAATCTTCCGTTTAAACCATCAAACGGCGCCGTTTGGCGGTTAGTCGTGAACAAAATCGAGCATCTAAATCCTCTGGGACAAGACGGCGACAAATCTCGTTGACTCATTCTCAGCTCAGGCCGTTATTATTCAATCAAATGACCGACCTCACCAGCAAACACGACAAATGTCAAGGACATTTCTGTCCGTGAAAAAGAGAGAGAAATGTACCATCGGAAGACTCATCGGAGGAAGTTACAGAGAGCGTCCGGCGATTCTTCGAGAAGAGATCCAAGCTGCCTTCGTCGGATTCTTTAGCCAAATTCAAGCTCAGACCTCGCCGGTGCTGCGACCCGAACGGAATATTCCTCCCTCCGACCAGAGATTCCCTCGCATTCCTGTTCATCATCGTCCCAAAATTCCTCTGTGCCTAGACTAGCGCCTGAATGCGAGAGGCACCATCTCCCTCTGTTTCTTCAGCAAAGCGAACGAATTGTCTGCACTGACAGAGTGAGAGAGTGAGATCTAATGCTGCGGAGAGAGAGTGTAGTAGATGCAAAGGGAGACAGTAAGTCATCGAGAGCTTCTCTTTCTTCCTTGATGTTATATTTTTTTTCACCTTTACGTCATATGTGAGAGAAAGATGCGAGCTTTTAGATCTGTTGTGGTGCAACTGCAATGGCGCAGTTAAAGATCCGAGCTTTCCTCTATTTTTTAATTATATTTGTTTATGGAAATGGAAGCAGAGGCCAGAGAGACTTTGGGTCATTTGTGTTCTTGGGTAATGGGTTGCTTGCTTCTTCTTCTTCTCCTCTACTTCTTTTTTGTGTTTTTTTTACTCAAGAAGAGGAGGTGGTGTGGCCAATGGGTGCTCATTCCATTCATGGTGGTGTGTCAGGGACTGATGAACAAATTACAAGCAGAAGGGCACTTTTCACATTTGGTGTAGGGCCCTATCAATGTTCAGGGCATGTGAGTGGACCAAAAGCCATAAAACAACCACAAACCTCATATGGCATTCACAACACACCAAACAACTAAATTTATTTTTTTTTTTTTTTTTTTTTTTTTTTTAAAAACAACTAGAAACTAATGCACATGACTTGATGTACTTTGCATTGGACATCATCTCATTCTTCAAGTCATGTTTTTTTTGTGGCCCTTTTTGCTAATCTTTATGTTAAATTGCTAATGTGTTTTGCCTTTACCCATAATTGTTTGTGCCTTCAGTTATGAGAAACCTTTTTGAAGGACTTTGAGAATGGGTTTATCTAATTAGAAGCTATTGTGGTTAAGATTAAAGATGCAGTGAGATGGTCCTACTAGTTATATCATATCACATTATTGGACCTACCTCAGGAGACTTTGTTGGTAATTGCATATCCTTCAAGGAAGATCAAAGAGTTAAACCCCCCAACCTACCAAAAGATCTGAAGACTTGGATTAGACAATTAAGTCCATTATATTTATTTGAGTAGGTAGTTGCTATCTTTCTATAGCCATTATTATCATCAAAACCAACAATTTCCCTTTTCCAATTTTTTTTCTTCCCATTTTGGTTTTTTGTAAACAATTATTAAACAAGGAGATGGAATTTCCACATTTGTTAACTTTGAAATTAGGTTTTTCATTTGGAAGTATAAGATATATAAAAAAAAATAAAATAAAAACTCTTAGAAGAGTTGGTCACCTATATTAATATATGCATAAGCAATTGTTTTATTATTGTGAATATCATATACATAAATGAGTAACAATTATCTATGAAAGTAACTTAATTATCTCGTCTACAAAGAATATATATTCTTAACTTATCTTCTCCTCGAAAACAAAGTGACAATCATCTTACAATGTTAACGTAACCACCTTTTCTAAATTTTTCTTTTTTAAGAAAAACTTAACCACCTCGTTTACAAAGAACATGTACTCTAAAAAAAAACAACACATGCTTTTACAATTAGTGTTAACATTAACATTACTAATGTAGCAAAGAAAAGGAAAATAAGTAGTTAATTGATCACTTATTTATGAACTCTTGATGACCATTTAACAAAAGATTGTTCACTTTGAGTCATAAAGTCCTACATTATTCACATTCGTTTTCGATGCACTTTCTCGAGTTTGTTCATTTTTGGCTCATAAAAGGGTACACTCCAACGTTTAGCCATGTATATGATATTCATGTTTCATGCAACTTGGTGTTTACTGAGGAGGGGGTGCCAAAACAACTCAAATCATATTTTACCAAGGGACGTGGAATTTAAAATAGCCATTTCATCTTTGCTAATTGCTTCATATCAATGAAGTTTTTTCGGAAGAGTGCCTTCTAATCATTCTATAGATGTTAGAGCCCAGAACAGAGACGTGACACCCCCCTTTTTATTTTATTTATTTATTTATTATAAATTCTTATTAGAAAAGACGTGACACAATATTTTTTAGGATATACCTATCAAATATCATATAAAGCCTCAAACGGTCACGAGCGAACCATTGGCCTATCAAATCATCACAAGCTCCCAATATTACTGGACCATATAGGAAAACGATGCTTGCTACTTGTATGGGCCAACATACTAAGCCCAGCAAGACATTCGAAAAGATAATCTGACAAAACCAACCACACGCCATAAGTAGAGAGCCGATATACTTGACTTTGGAGGCTTGCAAATGCAATGATCCATAGACAATAATTCTGAAATTTTTATCCATCTAACATCAATAGACAATAATTCTGAAAGAGAAAACAGAAATAACACACATAAGAACAAGTTTTAACAGTAACAACAAACAATCCATTTACACTTGAAAATGTCATATACCTATATACCTATACACCTATATACCTGCCAATAGTATTTTCATAAGCCTATCTACTACTCATTCTGCTCATCATCTGAGTCAGTAAGAGAGTCAGCCAGCTCTCCATCCAAGACACCCACCTCTGTATCATTTGAGACACCCAGAAATTCCAGCAAGTCAATCTCCTCTGATACAGAGTCAGTCTCCTCTCCAATGGTTGAATATTGTTTCTCTCCCACAGACTGCTTCATATACAGATCCATCATCTACAAGAAGAAAGATGACATCAATTAGACTAGGTTGAATATGTACATGAAACAGACAAACAAAGAGAGAAAAAACAGAATCCAATACATATTCCAATTGTCCATCCTTAAAAGCTGTTTCTTTTTTAGATTTGGCCAGCTCAATTTCCAGTGCTTCCCTGTCCTTTTTAGATGCAGCCACCCTTGCTTCGAATTTTTTTTTTAAATGAAGCCAGCTCAATCTCCAATGCTTCCCATGTGGCCAGTGGGGCTGATTCCTGAGAATTCATGCACCATCAAACTCGTTACAATATATATATACACAACAAGGAACTTCCCTAATAAAGATTTTAGTTAAGGATCGGTTAAAGAGTTCTAATCTCAGTTATCTACTAGATATGGTAGTAGGTTAAACAAGAGTAGAAGTCGTAGAACAATCCTTAACATAAAGTTATTAGATATGTTAGTGGGTTAATTAATTTTTAAACAAATAATATACCGTACATGCAATTCAATAACTAAATTATAAGTCATTAACCAATTCTAACATAAAGTTCTTAATGGAGCCAAACCCTTTACGCCAGGGAACTTCTCCAATAAGGATTTTTGTTAATGATTAGTTAAGGAGTTCTACTCTTAGCCCATCCATTACATTTGTTAGTGTGTTAAATAATTTTTTAATATATGCATGCAATTCATTGAATAAATTAGGAATTTTTAACCAAACTTAAACTTAGAAGTTTTGGATTAGTATATACACACAAAAGTGTGATGAAAATTTACAGAAAAATTAGAAGAAACATTACAAGAAAAAATTACATAAAAATTAAAAGAAAAATTTACAAACAAATTAAGAGAAAAATTAAAAGAAATGTACCTTAGGAGAGTCGGGAGAAGAGAGAGAGAGTTTTTGCAGATCAAGTAAGGCATTGGTTGGTGTTGATGGTTCCTCCTGAAAGTTGTGATGTTTGAGTCAGAATTTTAGCAAGAAGAAAGAAAATAGAAGAACCAAAAACCTAGAAAACCCAGAAAACCCAAAACCCCAACCTTTTTCTCCAACCCTACGACCCAGATCCATCCAAGAAAAGTGTGATGAAAATTACATAAAAATTAAAAGAAAAAATTACAGAAAAATTAAAAGAAAAATTTACAAACAAATTAATAGAAAAATATACAGAAATGTACCTTAGGAGAGTAATAGAGTTTTTGCAAATTATGTAAGGCATTAGTTGGTGTTGATCGGTCCTCCTGAAAGTTGTGATGTTTGAGTCAGAATTTTAGCAAGAAGAAAGAAAATAGAAGAACCAAAAACCTAGAAAACCCAAAACCCCAGAAAACCCAAAACCCCAACCTTTTTCTCCAACACTACGACCCAGATCCATCCAAGAAAGTGACCAGAAAGAAACGCTCAAAGACAAGAAAGAAACGGAATGGGATATACCTTTTCCATTGTTGCAGCTTGCAGAGTCATCGATTCTCTCAGGTTTTTGGATTCGTTGGATTTTCTCTTCTGATAGTTGGATCTTATCTTCTGATTGTTTTTCGATTTTCTCTTAATGATACAGCTGCATACCACTGATAAAGTCTGTAAAAGTAGAGGTTTTTTTTAGTGGTCCACGTGTCATTAAGAGAAAATCGAAAAACAATCAGAAGATAAGATCCAACTATCAGAAGAGAAAATCCAACGATTCCAAAAACCTGAGAGAATCGATGACTCTGCAAGCTGCAACAATGGAAAAGGTATATCCCATACCATTAACGATTTTCTCTTCTGATTGTTTTTCGATTTTCTCTTAGATACAGCTGGATACTGCTGATAAAGTCTGTAAAAGTAGAGGTTTTTTTTTAGTGGTCCACGTGTCATGTTGTCATTGGGCTATTAAGTAGTTGCTGGATTGATGATGGGGCAGTTGGTTAGATTAGGCGGGAAAGTCTAAATACTGATCACGTGCTAAATATGTTGCAATAACTCATGGATGCGAGTCTATTTGGGTATTGATGCCGTGGGAAGTGGGAAGCAGCAGATTATTGACGTGGTGACTTGGCCGTATATGATTGGTTGCTTGATCGTCCTGGAATGTGGTCGGTCGTACCGTAGGTTCTAACTTTCTCGTTAAAGGCAGTGACGGAAGGAAGTCAGTGCGTAACGGACCTAGGAGCAAATTGAGTGTTTCATCAATGAAAGAAGGTAATTTTACACAGCTGTTTTTTGTTAATTGATGTCTTCTATGTGCTCCCTTAAAATTTCAGAAGATGGGGTTCTGGGCATGAAGTTACATTGATAAACGTTCCAAATTTTGGTTCTTGTTGTTAAAAGTTTGGTACTTGCTATTGATATTTCTATTGACACTCAGTTTCGTGGGTTTGTTTACTTTCTTACTTTGAGCAGAATACTTGGATGATGCTTGTTGAAATGATAAAATGTCCATGTCTATACTGAGAGACTAATTGAATTAATGAAAGCATGCCCTTTAAAGAAGGGTCGCTGAAGTCACCTGTAATTTGAGTAGATCCAACAATCAATCTGTCATATGTTATTTCTCAACTTTCTTCTTTATCGATATGCATTATGGCATGTATTTTACATTTTCACTACAGCACTGCCTTCACTGTCTTTTTTCTTCAAACAGCACAGCACTAACACCAGAACTGAGAGAAACAACACTGCAGAACCACCAATTGCAATGGCAATGACAGCCCCTATACTAAGTTTCCTCTTTGATCCATTTTCTGTTTTCAAGGGGACTATTGGCCCTGGCGGTGGAAGATTCAAGGTGAGGGAGTGATCAAAGAACAGTGGTTCAGTGGTGGCCCACATAACATCAAGTTTCCTTCAAAGGAACAAGTAGGGAATTTTTAGAGGGTGGGAGGAATTGAACCATTAAGGTGGCTGTAGCTCAAATTCAAATGCAAAAGCCTTGGAATGTTGATATCAGGCATAGATTCAGTGAGGGAATTGTTCTGGAGGTTCAGCCCAGTGAGACGTGTTAAATTTTGGATTGTGGCTGGAATGTTGCCAGTGAAGGAGTTGAAGGACAAATCAAGCAAGGTGAGGAAGGGAGAAAATATCAGAGGGAAGATTCCCACCGAGGCGGTTGGACCGAAGGCTAAGGATCACGAGGGCATCCAGCCAGCTTGCCGAGAGTGTTTGCTGGAATTGGACCATACAATCCAGCAACTGGAAGTCTGACAGCAAGCACACGGGTACCATCCAAAGTACAAGTGATGCCAACCCATGAACTGCAGACTTGGTTAGCCGGATCCCAGTTAACTTTTCGGCCATGAGGAACAACAGAAATAAAGCCAAGAAGGGCTTGTTTGTCTGAATTGAGGTCGGCTATAGTTCGGCAAAGGGAAAGGTGGAGAATTACCGTTGTACAAAATAAATTTGGCTTCATCTAGTATTGTTTGTTAACAAATCCCTTGAGTCAAGACTATGAGAGTGATCTCAGCAATCTTTCTCCATCCCCTGCAAAAACAACAATGGTTTCAGAATAGGCATTTAACCATTTCTAGTTGCTACAGCCTAAAACTGGTGAAAAGTCGGGGCTGAACATGTAGGGAAAATGGAGTGTCTTTTCTTTATTTAAAATATGAAAAAAATCCAGGAATCAATTTTCACATCTTCCTTCCTATCATAGGAGCATATAGGACATGGAAAAGGCACAATCTGTTTATACAAAGTTGACATTGGGAAGGCCACATTTTTGCCCTACCATGCCTTCTAATATTTGTGCAAAATGTGAAGGTTCAAGACTTGCAAAGCATCAAGAAAGACAAAGTTATCAGAAAGAAATTTAACAAAAGAATAGAAAAAAAGAAAAGAAAAGCAAAAGCCCTAAAGCATAGCATACAAAATTCTGAAAGAATCCCTTTTCAGCTTTTATTATTTTTCCTTAGTGGCATGTAGGAGTTGGATCTCTGGTTCTTGATGTGAAGTAAATAAATGAAACACATAGATAGTGAGCCAGGACATACAAAAGAAAACGTGCAAAGGTCTAATTAAACTAATGCCATAACAATGAGACAAAAAGTTTCATATGCAGAAACACACAGACAAACAAGACACTGCTAGAACTTTCATTAAAAGAATTAAAAGACAAACGCCAATTTTGATGGTCCAAAGAGCAAGTCAAGTCTAGTTCATAAGGTAATTGACATAAATACTGGGATTTTAGACTAACGAAAATTCGGCTTCTTAATCTTTTTTTTTCTCAGCCTGGTACAAATTTGACAGAACATTTACAAAGTAGGGTCATTTGTTCAGAAAAAGAAGAAAAAAAAAGATACTGGTAGTTGAGCTTGGCCATTCAGATTAACAAAGCATATCGCATAAATGCATCAAAGTCATTACTTCAGCCTATATCAATGAACCAGGATCCAGAAATTAGAAGTGTAAGGCTTATTTGAGAAGACAAGAGGTAGTTAACTGAAGTTAAAAGCAAATTTCTTCCAGGCTTAAATCAATCAGGAACTCCTATTTTTTCCCCAAATTTTCTCAGCAACCAAACAGAAAACAAGTAAATCTGTGAAACTCTCGTCTGGCCGAAGCTCCCAACTGTCCTATGTTTCATATACAAAATAGAAACTTGTGAAAACCTAAAGACTGGGTTCTAAATGTCCTCGATTCCAAACCCTAAACTTTAGCAGAAAAATGGCAAATTAACCACTAAATTCCCCAAAATTCGAAAAGGGAAAATGCACATTAATTAACAATGCCAAAAGAAAGAGAAATGCACCTGAAACAATAAATCAAGAACTACAGGTTCGTCTCACCTTCGGCATAATGCTTCAACTTAAATCCAAATGTATTTACAAATGTCACAATTACATATATCAACATGACGTAAACAAATCTGTAAGTAAAAAAGAATACATCAACTACTCTCAGTCATGATGGACATGCGTATGCATATTGGTGCTGTAGCGTTGGCCAACATGGAATCACAAATGGAAAAACACGTTTTCCAGGACAAGTAGTACCGTTATAAGGACATAGTATAACCCTCTTTAAGGTTCCAGTACGAATGTTGTACTTGACTAGGTGTTGACAAATTGCTAGATACAAGACGTCGTCGTTATTTGGATTGAAACCTAGTACCATAATATATTTTTCCCAGTACCTGCCATGATACCATTTAGAGATGAGCAGATCTTTCGCAATGATTTGTCTGATGTAAAATCTGTCTAACAAACACCATCTGCCGCCGTTGACTTGATCACCATCATCTTTGAACTCCCAGATACTAAAACCAAGGACAGTTCTACCAACTGGGTTTGTATAGCAGAACCTTTGGGATATCCGCAGGCACCCTCGGCACACATTTAGAGTAGCAATTAACCCTGCAAACTCTTCAACCGGCTTACCAATGAAACGACAACAATATATATGACGATCAACATCGGTAGTCGTACTACTAGTATCGCTGGAGTAAGGATTGAAACCAATAATAAAATCAATTCCCCACCAATACAGCATCCCATTGTGAACAACAGCGTCGCACAACAAACGATTCGCACAAAAGCTACGTGGGCTTGATGCAACTGCCTCCGTCCATTTGCCACTCTCAGAACAAAATATCTGCAGGTTGAATTCAAATGAGGAATTATCACCTAAGTCATCCGGGATTATTATTTGCACAATCTTGTACTTGTAGTATTCTTGTTTTCGATCACCGTCTTCTTCCTTAGGAAGGCATATGAATCCCGCCCGTACCTCCTTGTGACATTGAGGGGTGGGAGGAAGAGCGACCCACTGCTTGGTGTAGGGATTGCAGATGTAGTAGTGACATTGATTGTGCCAAGTTGCGCAGCAACAAACTAGATCATTATAGGTCCCAACCACAAGTGGTTCTGTTCTTGTGCAACCAAAACAGGGGAGGAAACTGAAAGAGAAGTTGCGTTTGGTGCGTATTTTGAATACCGGATGTTTGTTTATTGAAATGAAATTTGTGTTTGCCCCATCATCATCCGATGGAATCTTCGCATTATCTGAGAAAATCAGACTAAGTTGGTCTTCACGATGTTGTTCACGTCGAAGATGTACAAAATATGGACTAGACATGAGAACATACCAACTTTTGGAGACACACTTGCATTGAAAAGTGGATTTCAGAGGAAGTCGGCAAAGGATTTCAACCAATACAAGGTCAGGCAGGTCATTAATTGATGATGATGATCTTGGCGATTCTTTCGATCTTTTAAAGTCAAACTGATCTTGATGATTAGAGGGGAACTGCGATATCATTGTACTATAACTCCTTTTGATATTCATAGTCATGGTGGCTGGTGGAAACTTGAAGAATAAGAAGGGAGGGAGCAAAGAGTTGGGTTATGAGTAGTACGAAGAGTGGAAACTACAGAATAAGTAGCCCACTATAATGTCTATATATATACATAGAGGTGGTGTTTGAATAGGAAAGAAAAGAAATACAAACCAAAAAGGATTAGGAAAGAAATCATCTTCTTTATTAACTTGGAATCCTAATACAACCAGGATTTTGGAGTCCTAATACAACCCATTGACGCGTGTAAGGCCTCTTCTTGACTAACTTGGAACCCTTATACAACTAGGAAAAGGGATGTGAAGTAAAATCAATTAAAATCATCCCATGCATAATCAAATCTCACAAAAATGTTTTCTGGGTCGTGATCCAGTGGAAGAGATGATTATGAAACATATTTACCAGTCATAATCGTGCTTTCCACCCTCTGCAGATGACAGCAGATCATCAATGCCAGTCCTTCCCACTTTGGCCGATCCAACTGAAAGCCTCCCCAATTTCACCGAAACTAAATCACACAATCAAATCAGTGTCAAATTGTAATTAGATTAATCCTAAAATAACAAATCCAATGAATTATCATAAACAAATCTTCCGTTTAAACCATCAAACGGCGCCGTTTGGCGGTTAGTCGTGAACAAAATCGAGCATCTAAACCCTCTGGGACAAGACGCCGACAAATCTCGTTGACTCATTCTCAGCTCAGGCCGTTATTATTCAATCAAATGACCGACCTCACCAGCAAACACGACAAATGTCAAGGACATTTCTGTCCGTGAAAAAGAGAGAGAAATGTACCATCAGAAGACTCATCGGAGGAAGTTACAGAGAGCGTCCGGCGATTCTTCGAGAAGAGATCCAAGCTGCCTTCGTCGGATTCTTTAGCCAAATTCAAGCCCAGACCTCGCCGGTGCTGCGACCCGAACGGAATATTCCTCCCTCCGACCAGAGATTCCCTCGCATTCCTGTTCATCATCGTCCCAAAATTCCTCTGTGCCTAGACTAGCGCCTGAATGCGAGAGGCACCATCTCCCTCTGTTTATTTGAGTAGATAGTTGCTATCTTTCTATAGCCATTATTATCATCATAACCAACAATTTCCCTTTTTTAATTTTTTTTCTTCCCATTTTGGTTTTTTGTAAACAATTATTAAACAAGGAGATGGAATCTCCACATTTGTTAACTTTGAAATTAGGTTTTTCATTTGGAAGTATAAGATATATAAAAAAAAATAAAATAAAAACTCTTAGAAGAGTTGGTCACCTATATTAATATATGCATAAGCAATTGTTTTATTATTGTGAATATCATATACATAAATGAGTAACAATTATCTATGAAAGTAACTTAATTATCTCGTCTACAAAGAATATAAGATTTTTTAGGTTTTAGACATAAAAAAAATTTCACTTTTGGAAAAAGCCAAAGCTTTTTCAAAAAAGACAAAAAAATCGCTCAACTTTCAAATCAAAGACATGCAAATGTATTGAATTCCTTAGAAAATCTAAAAATAAATAAGGGCATTTTTGTCCATTTTTGCTTCTTTTAAAATTTTTTTCTCTCCTTTTGCTTTTTCCAAAATGTCCCAAGAATATATATTCTTAACTTATCTTCTCCTCGAAAACAAAGTGACAATCATCTTACAATGTTAACGTAACCACCTTTTCTAAATTTTTTTTTTTAAGAAAAACTTAACCACCTCGTTTACAAAGAACATGTACTCTAAAAAAAAACAACACATGCTTTTACAATTAGTGTTAACATTAACATTACTAATGTAGCAAAGAAAAGGAAAATAAGTAGTTAATTGATCACTTATTTATGAAGCCTTGATGACCATTTAACAAAAGATTGTTCACTTTGAGTCATAAAGCCCTACATTATTCACATTCGTTTTCGATGCACTTTCTCGAGTTTGTTCATTTTTGGCTCATAAAAGGGTACACTCCAACGTTTAGCCATGCACATGATATTCATGTTTCATGCAACTTGGTGGTTACTGAGGAGGGGTTGCCAAAACAACTCAAATCATATTTTACTAAGGGACGTGGAATTTAAAATAGCCATTTCATCTTTGCTAATTGCTTCATATCAATGAAGTTTTTTCGGAAGAGTGCCTTCTAATCATTCCATAGATGTTAGAGCCCAGAACAGAGACGTGACACCCCCATTTTTATTTTATTTATTTATTTATTATAAATTCTTATTAGAAAAGACGTGACACAATATTTTTTAGGATATACCTATCAAATATCATATAAAGCCTCAAACGGTCACGAGCGAACCATTGGCCTATCAAATCATCACAAGCTCCCAATATTACTGGACCATATAGGAAAACGATGCTTGCTACTTGTATGGGCCAACATACTAAGCCCAGCAAGACATTCGAAAAGATAATCCGACAAAACCAACCACACGACATCAGTAGAGAGCCGATATACTTGACTTTGGAGGCTTGCAAATGCAATGATCATTTTGGAGTTGTATTGGGTTAGGACTCTAGTATAAATTGTAATGTTAAGTTGTTTGAACTTGTTATGTAATCAAACCACATATCTTAGGTTTTAGTATCGCTTTGCATAATTGTACATTTTTTGAACATGTTATGTGATACTAGCACTTAATTTTTAGTATCAATACGTGATACGGTAAAAACCTATATGAAATGTGAGTAAATATCTGTAATTATAGGTGAACTTTTCTTCAGTCACTGATAGTCTTGCACTGCTACATGGTCCATGTGTGACCCATTAGTTAACTGCATGGCTCAAAGTAGCACAATGCTGACATAAAAAAGAAAAAGAAAAAAGACAAACAATCATGTGCAGTGGCGGATCCATGATTGCTATAGGGTCATAGTGTTAAAGTTTCGATTTTCTTTTTAAGATGAAACAATGCAAAAAATGAAAAAACACACCAAACTTATTCTAATTAACAAAAACATCATTCAATAAATCAAGCTCATATATGTTATATAGCTAAAGGAAAAATGTAGAGAGAATTTGAAAGTAGAGAAAGACAATAGAATTTGTATCAACCAACTTGTATGTCTCATCTTAATAAGACCTTTTATTACATGGGTTGTGTTCAATTAGTCAAGAACACAATACCCATAAGCCCACACCACCACCTCCAGCTTCCTTACCATCCCTACCAACAAGCTGGTTGTGCCTCCAAAGACATTCATCGGGACTACAATTGAAGATCCTAGCAAGGGTACATCGGTCCTCTTAGAGGATCTCTGCGAACTCAATGTCGAGATTGTTAATGTAATGGTAATTTCTTACATGGGTTGTGTTCAATTACTTTTGAAAGCGAACTCTTCTTTTTGTGTAACCTTAGGTCTAATTTAGTCACCCCTAGACATTAATTTTCGGTTTTTGTTCAAGTTAATTCAGTTTATATTAGATTTTGAGTAATGCATTGCCCATGAATTTCAGTTAAAGGGCCATACCCTATCTTAATTGGGTTTTCGTGACTCAAAATTCATAGCCTCTGTTTTTCCATTTGCTGACTTAGTCACAATTGATATGGTTTTTATGCCATATGTTGATTTGGTAGTTGTTGGAGAGAAGAAATATCTGACTGATATGGGTAGTTTTAGATGTAATTGATTAGCGGATTTCAATTGTTGTATTCGTTTGTTTTTGCAAGATTATAACTAATCCATGTTTTAATTATAACGTTAACTAGAAAAATGCATATAACAAAAATAAAAGAAATATCAAGTTACTAGCTGCTTGGTATATGTTGATCAAGAACTACAAGATCGTCTCACCTTCGGCATAATGCTTCAACTTAAATCCAAATGTAATTCTGAATATTACAATTACATATATCAACGTGACGTGAACAAATCTGTAAGTAGAAAAGAATACATAAAAAATAAATCTACTCTCAGTCATGATGGACATGTGTATGCATATTGGTGCTGTGGCGTTGGCCAACATGGAATCACAAATGAGAAAACACGTTTTCCAGGACAAATACTACTGTTATAAAGACACAGTATAACCCTCTTTAAGGTTCTAGTACTAATGTTGTACTTGACTAGGTGTTGACAAAATTCTAGATACAAGACGTTGTTGTTATTTGGATCGAAACCTAGTACCATAGTACATTTTTCCCAGTACCTGCCATGATACCATTTAGAGATGAGCAGATCTTTCGCAATGATTTGTCTGATGTAAAATCTGTCTAACAAACACCATCTGCCGCTGTCAACCTGATCACCATCATCTTTGAACTCCTTGATACTAACACCAAGGACAATTCTACCAACTGGGTTTGTATAGCAGAATCTTTGGGATATCCGCAGGCACCCTCGGCACACATTTAGACTAGCCAATGACCCTGCAAACTCTTCAACCGGCTTACCAATGAAACGACAACAATATATATGACGATCAACATCGGTAGTCGTACTACTAGTATCGTTGGAGTAAGGATTGAAACCAATAATAAAATCAGTTCCCCACCAATACAACATCCCATTGTGAGCAACAGCGTCGCACAACAAACGATTCACACAAAAGCTACGTGGGCTTGATGCAACTGCCTCCGTCCATTTGCCACTCTCAGAACAGAATATCTGCAGGTTGAATTCAAATAAGGAATTATCACCTAAGTCATCCGGGATTATTATTTGCACAATCTTGTACATGTAGTATTCTTGTTTTTGATCACCTTCTTCTTCCTTAGGAAGGCATATGAATCCCGCCCGTACCTCCTTGTGACATTGAGGGGTGGGAGGAAGAGCGACCCACTGCTTGGTGTAGGGATTGCAGATGTAGTAGTGACATTGATTGCGCCAAGTTGCGAAGCAACAAACTAGATCATTATTGGTCCCAACCACAAGTGGTTCTGTTCTTGTGGAACCAAAACAAGGGAGGAAACTGAAAGAGAAGTTGCGTTTGGTGCATATTTTGAATACCAGATGTTTGTTTATTGAAATGAAATTTGAGTTTGCCCCATCATCATTCGAGAAAATCTTTGCATCATCTAAGAAAATCAGACTATGTTGGTCTTCACGATGTTGTTCACGTCGAAGACATACAAAATATGGACTAGACATGAGAACATACCAACTTTTGGAGACACACTTGCATTGAAAAGTGGATTTCAAAGGAAGCCGGCAAAGGATTTCAACTAATACAAGGTCAGGCAGGTCATTAATTGATGATGATGATCTTGGCGATTCTTTCGATCTTTTAAAGTCAGACTGATCCTGATGATCAGAAGGGAACTGCGATATCATTGTACTATAACTCCTTTTGATATTCATAGTCATGGTGGCTGGCGGAAACTTGAAGAATAAGAAGGGAGGGAGCAAAGAGTTGCATTATGAGTAGTACAAAGGGTGGAAACTACAGAATAAGTAGCCCACTATAATGTCTATATATATACATAGAGGTGGTGTTTGAATATGAAAGAAAAGAAATACAAACCAAAAAGGATTAGGAAAGAAATCCTCTTCTTTATTAACTTGAAATCCTAATACAACAAGGATTTTGGAGTCCTAATACAACCCATTGATCCGTGTAAGGCCTCTTCTTTATTAACTTGAAATCCTAATACAACCAGGAATTTGGAGTCAAATATGAGACATTGGTATAAGATTTTGTTAGCATTAAAGATGGCCTTACATGTGTTGGACAGAAAGTTAAGAGCACCAAGTAAAATAAAAGTGGTTGATGTTCTTGCTATTAGAGCCAATATAATCAAAGTCTGACATTAGAATTGAGTATTAGTTTCATATATTTGTTGGAAGTATGAAGTTTTTTCTTTGACAGTTTTTTTTATTGAAAGTATATGAAGTTTTTTTGTTAGAAAATTTTTGGGGTAGGCAGCCAGCCAACCACCTCTTTCTTCCGCATTTTCTACTTTATGAGTGTCTATGGCAATGAATGATTCATTTCAGTCATCTGCAACAAGAATAGCGGTTGATCCACCATTATGGGCATTCCATGCCTTCAGCGTGTGTGTGTGCTAGGACATCACAGTCAATTAGCCGTAATTCTAAACACGCCAGTGAAGGGTCTCAATCAAAAGCAGCATGGATAGACACTGGTAGTAGCAAGGCAAACAATGTTTCATAATGTTGTTTCAAAGAAAGGGTTGTGTGTAGGGAGTCATGAATTACATTTAGTAGTCAGGCTAGTACTAGTAGAGCTTCATAAGTAGGCTTGTAAACCTCTATTTTGGGACATGATCAAGAACGAACTTGCAGAATTTTCTAGCAAGCATTTTTTTTATCTATAGGATGTGTGATGATGCCTAAATCTCCTACTGGGGTGATGCTAGTAGTTTTTATCCATTTAACATCAATAGACAAAAATTCTGAAAGAAAAAACAGAAACAATACACACACAACAACAAAAAAACATTCCAGAAGTGTCTATGGTATGATAGTTAATGATTCATTTATGTCATCTGCAACAAGAATAGCGGCTGCTCCACCATTTTAAGCATTCCATGCCTTCAGTGTGTGTGTGTGCCAGGACATCACAGTCAATTAGCCGTAATTCTAAACACGCCAGTGAAGGGTCTCAATCAAAAGCAGCATGGACTGGTACTGGTAGTAGAAAGGCTGTTTCAAAGAAAGGGTTGTGTGTAGGGAGTCATGAATTACATTTAGTAGTCAAGGTAGTACTAGTAGAGCTTTATAAATAGGCTTGTAAACCTTTATTTTGGGACATGATCATGAACGAACTTGCAAAATTTTCCAGCAAGCATTTGTTTTATCTATAGGATGTGTGATGATGCCTAAATCTCATACTGGGTGATGCTAATAGGTTTTATCCATCTAACATTGTTGGAGGTAAAAACTAGACAGTAGTAATTAGACCAACTTAAAGATGAGGAGGAGGATGATGAAGGTGAGGACCCTCGGTATGTGAGAGCATTCAGTAAGTACATAGGCATGCATACAGAAGACAAATGTACGTGGTCCACACGAATAATGGGATATGTCCACGGAGAAGTATATTCTCATAATGATAAAGACTGTATACATTGCACATAGGGTCAGACCCAAGGAGAGGAGGAAGAATGCCGGAGGATGATGGCCGAAGGTTGAAGGCCGAAGGCGGAGGGCCGAAGGTAGAGCATGTGGCTGAAGGCAAATGATCCGTGGGTTTGTAAATGAGCTTAGGAGTAAGCCCATGAGGCCCTTATGAGCCATATGGTGCCCTAGTAGCCTGTCTAACTCTCTCATTTCTTGAAGGAGATGAGTCTCCTTTTATAAGTGAGGGAGAGTCCCCTCTTTTTGTGTTTTGTCGATGAGGAGGAAGAATGCAGGAGGCTGATGGCCGAAGGTTGATGGTTGAAGGCGGAGGATGTGGCTGAAGGCAAAAGATCCGTGGGCTTGTAAATGAGCTTAGGAATAAGCTCATGAGGCCCTTATGAGCCATATGGTGCCCTAATAGCCTGTCCAACTCTTTCTTTTCTTGAAGGAGATGAGTCTCCTTTTATAAGTGAGGGAGAGTCCCTTCTTTTTGTGTTTTGTCGATGAGGAGGAAGAATGCAGGAGGCTGATGGCCGAAGGCAAAGGATCTGGGTGAAGGCAAATGATTCGTAGGCTTGTAAATGGGCTTAGGAGTAAGCCCATGAGGCATTTATGAGTCATATGGTGCCCTAGTAGCCTGTCTAACTCTCTTTTTTCTTGAAGGAGATGAGTCTCCTTTTATAAGTGATGGAGAGTCCCCTCTTTTTGTGTTTTGTCGATGTGGGACTCTCCTATCTTTTTGTTGGATTAGCTTAGGAGTGTTTGGCCAAATATTATACTAACAAACATCAATAGACAATAATTCTGAAAGAGAAAACAGAAACAATACACATATAAGAACAAGTCTTAATAGTAACAACAAACAATCGATTTACACTTGAAAATGTCATACACCTATATACCTATACACATGCCAATAGTATTTTTCATAAGCCTATATACAGGCTACTCATTCTGCTCATCATTTGAGTCAGTCAGCGAGTTAGCCAGCTCTCCATCATCCAAGACACCTAGCTCTATATCATTTGAGGAACCCAGCTCTATATCATTCGAGGCACCCAGAAATTCCATCAAGTCAATCTCCTTTGAAGCTGTAATTTCTCTTCCACTACAGCCGTATCACAATAAAATAAAATAGGAAGAATGCCGGAGGCTAATGGCCGAAGGCTGAGGGTCGAAGGATGAGGGCCGAAGGCTGATGGTGATGGCCGAAGGCTGATGGCTGAAGGCAGAGGATCTGACTGAAGGCAAATGATCCGTGTGCTTGTAAATGGGCTTAGGAGTAAGCCTATAAGGCCCTTATGAGCCATATGATGCCCCAGTAGCCTGTCCAACTCTCTCCTTTCATGAAGAAGATGAGTCTCCTTTTATAAGTGAGGGAGAATCCCCTCTTTTTGTGTTTTGTCGATGTGGGACTCTCCTCTCTTTTGGTTGGATTAGCTTAGGAGTGTTTGGGCAGATATTGTATTAACAAACATTAATAGACAATAATTCTGAAAGAGAAAAGAGAAACAATACACATATAAGAACAAGTCTTAACAATAAAAACAAACAATCCATTTACACTTGAAAAGGCCATATACCTATATACCTATACACCTGCCAATATTATTTTTCATAAGCCTATCTACAAGCTACTCATTCTGCTCATCATTTGAGTCAGTCAGCGAGTTAGTCAGCTCTTTATCATCCAAGACACCTAACTCTATATCATTTGAGGCACCCAGAAATTCCAGCAAGTCAATCTCCTCTGAAGCTGTAATTTCTCCTCCACTACAAGGTATCCCAATCAAACAAAATAGGAAGAATGCCAGAGGCTAATGGCCGAAGGCTGAGGGTCGAAGGATGAGGGCCGAAGGCTGATGGTGATGGCCGAAGGCTGATGGCTGAAGGCAGAGGATCTGACTGAAGGCAAATGATCTGTGGGCCTGTAAATGGGCTTAGGAGTAAGCCTATAAGGCCCTTATGAGCCATATGGTGCCCCAGTAGCATGTCTAACTCTCTCCTTTCATGAAGGAGATGAGTCTCCTTTTATAAGTGAAGGAGAGTCCTCTCTTTTTGTGTTTTGTTGATGAGGAGGAAGAATGCAGGAGGCTGATGGCCTAAGGCTGAAGGACGAAGGCAGATGGCCGAAGGTGGAGGGCCGAAGGCAGATGGCCGAAGGCTGAGGGCCGACGGCAGAAGATCTGGCTAAAGGCAAATGATCCGCGGGCTTGTAAATGGGCTTAGGAGTAAGCTCATGAGGCCTTTATGAGCCATATGGTGCCCTAGTAACCTGTCTAACTCTCTTCTTCGTCTCCTTTTATAAGTGAGGGAGAGTCCCCTCTTTTTGTGTTTTGTCGATGTGGGACTCTCCTCCCTTTTTGTTGGATTAGCTTAGGAGTTTTTGGCCAGACATTGTACTAACAAACATCAATAGACAATAATCCTGAAAGAGAAAATATAAACAATAAGCACATAAGAACAAGTCTTAACTGTAACAACAAACAATCCATTTACACTTGAAAATGCCATATACCTATATATCTATACACATGCCAATAGTATTTTTCATAAGCCTATGTACAAGCTACTCATTCTGCTCATCATTTGAGTCAGTCAGCAAGTTAGCCAGCTCTCCATCATCCAAGACACCTAGCTCTATATCATTTGAGGCACCCAGCTCTATATCATTTGAGGCACCTAGAAATTCCAGCAAGTCAATATCCACTGAAGATGTAATTTCTCCTCCACTACAGCGGTATCCTAATCAAACAAAATAGGAAGAATGCTGGAGGCTGATGGCCGAAGGCTGAGAGTCGAAGGATGAGGGCCGAAGGCTGAGGGTGATGGCCGAAGGCTGATGGCTGAAAGCGGAGGGCCGAAGGCAGAGGATCTGACTGAAGGCAAATGATCCGTGAGCTTGTAAATGGGCTTAGAAGTAAGCCCATGAGGCTCTTATGAGCCATATGGTGCCCTAGTAGCCTGTCTAACTCTCTCATTTCTTGAAGGAGATGAGTCTCCTTTTATGAGTAAGGGAAAGTCCCCTCGTTTTGTGTTTTGTCGATGATGAGAAAGAATGCTGGTGGCTGATGGCCTAAGGCTGAAGGCCGAAGGCGGAGGGCCGAAGGCAGAGGATCTGGCTAAAGGCAAATGATCCGTGAGCTTGTAAATGAGATTAGGAGTAAGCCCATGAGGCCTTTATGAGCCACATAGTGCCCTAGTAGCCTGTCTAACTCTCTTCTTTCTTGAAGGAGATGAGTCTCCTTTTATAAGTGAGGGAAAGTCCCATTTTTTTATGTTTTATCGATGTTGGACTCTCCTCCCTTTTTGTTGGATTAACTTAGTAGTGTTTGGCCAGATATTGTACTAACAAACATCAATAGACAATAATCCTGAAAGAGAAAACAAAAACAATACACACATAAGAACAAGTCTTAATAGTAACAACAAACAATCCATTTACACTTGAAATGGCCATATACCTATATACCTATACACTTGCCAATAGTATTTTTCATAAGTCTATCTACAGGCTACTCATTCTTCTCATCATTTGAGTTAGTCAGCGAGTTAGCCAGCTCTCCATCATACCAGACACCTACCTCTATATCATTCGAGGCACCCAACTCTATATCATTTGAGGCACCCAGAAATTCCATCAAGTCAATCTCCTCTGAAGCTGTAATTTCTCTTCCACTACAGCCGTATCACAATAAAATAAATAGGAAGAATGCCGGAGGATAATGGCCGAAGGCTGAGGGCCGAAGGCTAAGGGTGATGGCCGAAGGCGGAGGGCCGAAGGCAGAGGATCTGGCTGAGGCAAATGATCTGTAGGCTTATAAAGGGGCTTATGAGTAAGCACATGAGGCCCTTATGAGCCATATGGTGCCCTAGTAGTCTGTCTAACTTTCTCCTTTCTTGAAGGAGATGAGTCTCCTTTTGTAAGTGAGGGAGAGTCCCCTCTTTTTGTGTTTTGTTGATGAAGAGGAAGAATGCAGGAGGTTGATGGCCGAAGGCGGAGGGCCGAAGGCGGATGATCTGGCTGAAGACAAATGATCCATGAGCTTGTAAATGAGCTTAGGAGTAAGCCCATGAAGCCTTTATGAGCCATATGGTGCCCTAGTAGCCTGTCTAACTCTCTTCTTTCTTGAAGGAGATAAGTCTCCTTTTATAAGTGAGGGAGAGTCCCCTCTTTTTGTGTTTTGTCGATGTGGGACTCTCCTCTCTTTTTGTTGGATTAGCTTAGGAGTGTTTGGGCAGATATTGTATTAACAAACATTAATAGACAATAATTCTGAAAGAGAAAAGAGAAACAATACACACATAAGAACAAGTCTTAACAGTAAAAACAAACAATCCATTTACACTTGAAAAGGCCATATACCTATATACCTATACACCTGCCAATATTATTTTTCATAAACCTATCTACAAGCTACTCATTCTGCTCATCATTTGAGTCAGTCAGCGAGTTAGCCAGCTCTTTATCATCCAAGACACCTAACTCTATATCATTTGAGGCACTCAGAAATTCCAGCAAGTCAATCTCCTCTGAAGCTGTAATTTCTCTTCCACTACTATGGTATCCCAATCAAACAAAATAGGAAGAATGCCGGAGGCTAATGGCCGAAGGCTGAGGGTCGAAGGATGAAGGCCGAAGGCTGATGGTGATGGCCGAAGGCTGATGGCTGAAGGCAGAGGATCTGACTGAAGGCAAATGATCCGTGGGCTTGTAAATGGGCTTAGGAGTAAGCCTATAAGGCCCTTATGAGCCATATGGTGCCCCAGTAGCCTGTCTAACTTTCTCCTTTCTTGAACAAGATGAGTCTCCTTTTATAAGTGAGGGAGAGTCCTCTCTTTTTGTGTTTTGTTGATGAGGAGGAAGAATGCAGGAGGCAGCTCTATATCATTTGAGGGACCCAGCTTTATCCACAGGCTACTCACTGCTCATCATTTGAGTCAGTCAGCAAGTTAGCCAGCTCTCCATCATCCAAGACACCTAGCTCTATATCATTTGAGGGACCCAGCTTTATATCATTTGACGCACCCAGAAATTCCAGTAAGTCAATCTCCTCTGAAGCTGTAATTTCTCCTCCACTACAGCCGTATCCCAATCAAATAAAATAGCTGTCTACCATTAGTTTACTTTCCTTGTATGTATTGTTGACTTAGAGTATTCAATTGTAATTAAATTTTCTTTCCTTCTTAGATACAGAAATCTCTGTATATATGTTAAGGGTTTTGCTCACTCAATGCATCAATTGAAAATATATTTTCCTACATGGTACCAGAGCCCTATTAGCTCATTCGAGTGTTTTGTTTTTTCCCTTATCCAGCCCACGCCTGTCTTTCTCTACCTTTTCTTCCCCTTTCTTCATGGGTTCAGATAACAACACCTCTGATGTTGTTCTTACCCATAACTCCAACAATAGCTCTTCTCATTCTCTCATCACTATCAACGTTGCTGCCCAGCTTCCTCTCAAACTCACCCCTTTCAACTATCCCTCTTGGCGTGCCCAGTTCAAAGCCCTTCTCCTTGGGTATGACCTCCTTGCTATGTGGATGGCACTCTCACTTGCCCTGCCAGCAACAACACATTTTGGAAATGTCAAGATCAACTCGTTCTCCACGCCATTCTTGCCTCTGTCTCAGAATCTGTCATCTCTCTTATTGCTGCTGCCTCAACCTCTAAAGCTACTTGGGACAAACTTACCAAGCTATATGCGAACCATACCCGTTCTCGGGTCATGAGTCTCAAGGAACGTCTCACTCTTGCTTGCCGTGATTCCAAGCCCATGATGGAATTTCTTCAATCCATCAAAGCCCTTGCTAACGAACTTGCTCTCATTGATTCTCTTATATTCGACGATGATCTCGTGATCCATATCCTCAATGGTCTCGGCTCTGACTTCAAAGAGATCGTTGTTGCCATTCGTGCTCGTGAAACACCTATCACTTTTGAAGAGTTGCATGATAAGCTCGTTGACTTTGAGAGTGCAATCAAGCGCCATGACACTCCTCCTGAACCTCTTGTTGTCACTGCCAATAATACCCAGCGCACCACCTCCAATTGTTCCTTCAACAAGGGTTCTTCCACATCTCATGGCTACAAGCCACCTTTTCAGCAGCGTGGCATTCTTGGCCCTGACAACTCTTTCTTGCACACTTCCCGTCCATTCTCTGGACAACGTCGCTTTTTCTATCAACAAGGCCACAGTTACAAAGGTTTCTGTCAATTATGTGATCAGCAGGGTCATAGTGCCAAACGGTGTCCACATGCTCAGGTTTTACCCTCCTCTGATCCCACTATGAACGTTGCTACTGCCCTTCATACTGCCACTAATTGGCTCATTGACTCTGGCGCTTCTCATCATGTGACCCCTAATTTCGCCAACCTTTCTCTCCACACCAATTATGAAGGTCTTGACTCAGTTGTGATTGGTAATGGTTCAAGCATGGGCATCACCCATGTTGGCTCCACCTCCCTTCCTACCTCCTCTCGTGCATTTGCCTTACATGATGTTCTTTGTATGCCCTCTATTAAAAATAATTTAATTTCTGTTTCTCAATTTTGCAAATCTAATCACACTTCTATTGAATTTTTTCCCTCTTATTTTTCTGTAAAGGATCTTCGCACGGGGGCGACTCTCCTTCAAGGCCCGAATAAAAATGATGTGTACATGTGGCCCGGGTCAATGCTTGACGTCTCCTCACCTTCTACACTTGTTAGTACGGCTTCTACCCTACATGACTGGCATAGTCACCTTGGCCACCCTTCTCAACCTGTCTTGGATCAACTCATCCGTTCTCAATCTCTTCCTATCACATCAAAGTCATCTGTTCAATCTCCATATGTGTCGTGTCAATGTAATAAGAGCCATAAGCTCCCTTTTCATTTAAATTCTCTTTCTAGTCAGCGTCCTCTAGATCTTATCTATATTGATGTCCGGGGTCCTGCTCCCCTTCTCTCAATTGATGGTTTTCGTCATTATCTCATTTTTCTCTATCATTACACCAAATATATTTGGTTTTTCCCTCTTAAAAACAAGTCTGATGTCTCTACAATTTTTCCCACTTTTAAAAATCTTTTTGAAAATTACTTTCACTCCAAAATTGTTTCTCTGTATTCTGATAGTGGTGGTGAATACACAAAACTTAAACCTTTTCTCGCCTCCCATGGCATTGCTCATCTCACCACACCTCCCCACACCCCCCCCCCAGCATAATGGCTATGCCGAGCGCCGTCATCGTCACATTGTTGAGACTGGCCTTACCCTCCTTCACCAAGCTTCTATGCCTCTACTTTATTGGTCTTATGCCTTTCAAGCTGCTGTATATCTCATAAATCGACTTCCTACTCTTCTCCTTAAATCATCTTCCCCATACACATCTCTTTTTGGTCAAACACCGAACTACCATAAACTTCGTATTTTTGGTTGCCAATGTTTTCAGTGGTTATGACCTTACACTACCCATAAACTCCAACCTCGTTCTCGTCCTTCCTTGGCTACTCAACCACTCAAAGTGCTTACAAGTGCCTTGACCTATCCTCCAATCGTCTTTACCTTTCTCGTCATGTTGTTTTTAATGAGTATATTTTTCCTTTTGCCTCTCATGTCCTCTCTTCTCCGTCTTTCATCCCGATGTCTATGTGTGGTCGATCGCAGCTGATCCAGGACCCATTGCTGACCTTCCGCCAGCACTGCCAGCCGTGCCTTCTGCCGTTATAGCCATGCCACTTGCCCCTACCACCGTGTCCCCTGCCCCTATAGCACCAGTGCCAGCTCCTGTTGCACCGATGTCTGCCCAATGTACACATCATTCTTCTTCCGTCTTAGGTGAGTCCTCTCTCGTGGCCCCTTCTTTCTCTCATATCTCATCCTCCTCTCCTCTTTCTTCAGAAGCTTCTAATCCTTCATTGCCCTCCCTTCCACCACCTCCTCCCTCTTCTCATGTTGTTACCCGTTCTCAAAATAATATTTTTAAACCTAAACAACTTCACACCACCACTAAACAGTCCCTTACCCAACATCCCCTTCCCTCCACCCCTGAACCTACCTGTGTTTCTCATGCCATCAAAGACAGCAAGTGGCGTTCTGCCATGTCCGATGAGTTTACTGCGTTGGTCCGGAATGACACTTGGGAGCTTGTTCCCTCTCGCCCTAATCAAAATTTAGTTGGGTGCAAGTGGGTGTTTCGCATCAAGCGTCATCCTGATGGGAGTATTAACAGGTACAAGGCCCGTTTGGTGGCCAAAGGGTTCCATCAGCGCCCTAGCATTGACTTCTATGAAACCTTCAGTCTAGTGGTCAAACCCACCACTATACGAGTTGTCCTCCACCTTGCCTTTGCTCGTGGCTGGCCCATCCGACAACTTGATGTTAATAACGTTTTTCTTCATGGAACTCTTCACGAGGAAGTATTTATGTCTCAACCTCCTAGTTTTGTTGATTTCGCTTATCCTTCTCATGTGTGCAAGCTCCGCAAGGCCCTTTATGGCCTTAAATAAGCACCCCAGGCGTGGTACAAGGAGTTGAGCTCCTTCTTGGTCTCTTATGGTTTTCATCACTCTAAATCTGACGCTTCTTTTTTTGTTTATCACCACGGTTCTATTGTGGCTTACTTTCTTGTCTATGTCGATATCTAATTGTGACTGGCAGTGATAAGTTGTTCATCACCAAATTTCTTGATACTCTTGCTCAGCGCTTCTCTCTCAAGGACTTGGGTTCTCTACATTTTTTCCTGGGTGTTGAAGTTATTCCTACACGATCGGGCTTGTTCTTATCACAGCACAAGTACATCCGGGATCTTCTCATCCGTGCTCACATGGAAGGTGCCAAGGATGTTTCAACGCCCTTGTCTACCACCACTACCCTTGTGCTCAACGATGGTGCAACCCCCATTGATGCCACTCTTTTTCGCAGTCTTATTAGTGGTCTCCAATATCTCAGTCTTACCCGTCCGGACATTGCCTTTGCAGTCAACAAACTCTCTCAATTCATGTACTGGCCTTCTGAACTCCATTGGACTGCTCTCAAACGCCTGCTCCGCTATCTCAAAGGCACCATTTATCATGGTCTTCATCTTCATCGCAACACCACACACTCTCTCTCTCTTCATGCCTTCTCTGATGCGGATTGGGCTGGCAATCCTGACGATCGCACATCCACCACTGCTTATACCATTTTTCTTGGTGGCAATTTGATCTCATGGAGTTCCCGCAAACAACACTTTGTTGCTCGCTCCTCTACTGAAGCCGAGTATCATGTTGTTGCTTGCACTGCGGCCGAGCTCTCCTGGTTACAAAATTTACTTCATGAACTGGGTGTTTTGCTTCCTTCACCCCCTGTTATTGCCTGTGACAACATTGGTGCTACCTTTTTATGTGCAAATCCTGTTCTCCATTCCCACATGAAACATATTGCCATTGATCTTCACTTTGTTCGTAATCTTGTCACTCAAGGCCTTCTCAAGGTCGCTCATGTTTCCACTATTGATCAGTTAGCCGATGTCTTGACGAAACCTCTTTCTCGCCAGCACTTCCATTTACTTCGTTCCAAGATTGGAGTCACCGACGGCGGCTCCATCTTGCAGAGGCGTATAAGAAAAGCTGTAATTTCTCCTCCACTACAGCCGTATTCCCATCAAATAAAATAGATGTCTGCCATTAGTTTACTTTCCTTGTATGTATTGTTGACTTAGAGTATTCAATTGTAATTTATTTTCTTTCATTCTTAGATATAGAAATCTCTGTATATATGTTAAGGGTTTTGCCCACTCAATGCATCAATTGAAAATATATTTTCCTACACTCTGAAATAGAGTTAGTCTCCTCTCCAATGGTTGAATATGGTTTCTCTCCCACGGAAAGCAAGGCCAATCTAGAATCTGTCGGTGTGGCCGGTTGGGTTGATTCCTGAGAATTCATGCACCATCAAACTCGTTACAATATATATACACACACAAAAGTGTGATGAAAATTTACAGAAAATTTACAAGAAAAATTTACAAACAAATTAATAGAAAAATTTACAAAAATGTACCTTAGATGCTTCCCTTTCTTTTTTAGATGCAGCCAGCGTAATGTCCAATGATTCACTTTCTTTTCTAGATGCAGCAGTAGAAGTCGTAGAACAATCCTTAACATAAAGTTATTAGAAATGTTAGTGGGTTAATTAAAAAAAGGAATATGTCTTTTAACCGTCAAGAAACAGAAGGGTAATATTAAAAAAAAATTAATCCACCAAAATATAATTAGATAGTATATAAAAAATCATTAAAGCCTGCTCAATAAGCATAAACACCAACATTTACACAAGGGAAAACCAGCTATTCCAACCCAATAACATATATAACACAATTATAATCTGTAAAAGCTTCCTATGTGCAAGAAACTAAACTTTAATTCAATATTTTTAAGAAAAATAGATATAAAAAATCATTAAAGCCTGCTCAATAAGCATAAACAAAAGCAGTGGCTATGTACAAAATAGAGGAAAGGGAAAATAAAAGGAGATCGAGAAGGAGATTAGCATATACACACAAAAGTGTGATGAAAATTTACAGAAAAATTACAAGATACGGATACTGCTGATAAAGTCTGTAAAAGTAGAGTTTTTTTTAGTGGTCCACGTGTCATGTTGTCATTGGGTTATTAATTAGCTGCTGGATTGATGATGGAGCAGTTGGTTAGATTAGGCGGGAAAGTCTAATACTGAGCACAACGCATGTGGGAGCCACGTGACTAGCGACCCGGCCCCGTCGAGAAGGCAAATGCTATCAAATCAGAACGCATATTCCTCTTCCATTTTCGATTGGAATATTTGGATTTGATTTGAGGAGAAATTACCATTTATTTTTTGCTCTTTTTATAAGCAACCCGGCTGCCCACTTTGAGGAGAAATTCAATTAACATATCCTTAATTAATGTGATTTAAACAAAAAAGAGATGATTATGATGTGTGGCAAACAAGAGGATTAGAATAAAAAGCAATGTTTAGACTTGGTTTGACAAAATATTAACCTAATCAAAATAACTGTTCACTTGTAATTAAAATTAGTTGCAATTTCCAACTCTTTTTTGTTGTTGTCAAAAGTAGTTTTCATTAGGCTCAAGGCAATAAGCGAGTAAAAGATTAAGCGTTCATTAACTAGAAATACATGAATAGAACAAGACTAGCACCTTCAAATGAGCATAGTGAGGAGCTCAATTCCCGTTTAGCATAAAACATTTAGAGATGTCATTTGCCGTTGGTTAGCAAGGAAGATCATCATAAACTAGAACTCCCACAAGAGATGGTGGTGTAGTGACCTCATGACCCAACTTTCCAATATTACCGTTAGCATACCTATGGATGATCCTGCATGAATCACCCGATTAGTGTTTTGAGGAGGTATCCATCCCCACTCAACATAGCCAAGTTACAATTTCCGAGTAGTTAAAGCTTACAATATACATTAAATAGGAAGGTGATTCATATATGTGAGGGCATCAACATTTAAACATTGGACATTATTCAACTTAGATAATAAGTACAATTTACAACTATAATTTTTTGAGATATTTAGTCATATACCCATTCTTAGCGCTAATATTATAGATATTTAGTCATATACCCATTTTTAGTACTAATATTTAGTCATATACCCATTTTTCCAGATTTAGAGTTTGTATTTTTTTCGGGGGGGCTTAATTTGGGAAGAATAAATCTTTGTTCTTCTCGTGTTTAGTTATATCACAAAAATGAAAGGTTTGAATGGGATGTAATTCTGGTTTTACCAGGACCTTAATTATTGTTTGGTGTTGCTCCTTCCAGCTTTCTAGACAGACTTTTCAATGTAGTTTTTGAAGTGTAATTCCATCAACTGAGGAATCGGTGTTGTTTTTGTTTCTGCCATTTCTTCTTGTATCTGAAAAGATTAAGAAAGATAGAATCCGATGAACTGTTTGGTTTGTTGTTCCCTCTTCATCAATAAATTGATATTGTAATACAACCATCATTTATTAATTAAATTTGCCATTTGCTTCATCTTGTATATTGTTCTATTGAGAATTGGTTTACATGGGGAGGAAAATACACTATTCTGTGCGCCGAGGTTGGAGACGGTTGTCACTACCTTACGTGTGTGGTCCAATGAACACAAAACGATTTTTAAGGTTTATTTGATAGCTCGTCTTCGAACCATTGATTAAAATGTATTTTTTTAAATATTGAGTTTCGATCGATGCAGAGGTATGTAAGGACAGAACAGTCGCTCAAGCGCGTGAGAAAAATCCAATAAAAAAAGGGGATTTGAATAGAAGTGTAAGGACAATCACTCACAAATACATGAATAATTGTAAGACATTAATGCGTTATCGAATTCACTTACATCAACAGTTACAACTATTCAATCAAAATGGTGGGTGATTATCAGCACTTAGGAGGGTGGAGAGGCAAGAGAGGCCCTCCTCCAACCATACACAACATATTCATTTCAGCCATGAAACCATGTTTAGAGATGTGTGGGGCAGCATAATTTGACCATATTAGATTTTATTATTTGGTAATAGATTAATTATTAGTTACAATTCTTACAAGCAAGTTTAATAGTTAGGCCGTCTCCATTATGGGACCAAGCGATATGCCTAATTAATCTCATCCTATTTCCCTACACACGGTTTCTAGGAGATTTGGACCAGCTGTAAGAGCAAGTCCACATCAAAAGGCTAAGGCAAGGCAAGGGCTGCCACTATTCACGTGAATAGTGGCAGCCTTGTCTTTTTTGGTTCCACCCCAAAAGGCAAGGGCAAGGGCAAATACTATTCATTTTACTTTATTTTCTATTTTTTTTTTATACTTAAACCATTAATTTTGATAAACTTTGTAGATAATATTTTCGGTTGTCACGTGTCACTATTTATTATAAAATTCTCACTTAAAATTTCAAATAACATTTTTCGGATAAAATTTTCAAATTAAATTTTTGGATAAAATTTTCGGTTGCCACGTGTCCATATTTATTATAAAATTCACATCTCACTCATCATACAATTAAAATACCTACTCACTCATCATACAATTGAAATATTCTCGGTCCTCATAGTCTGACACAATGGAGTACAAGAACAACTCAATCATTGGCGGAGGCGGTTCCACCGGATCACGACGTGGGGGAGTATTTTCCTTCGGAGGACGTAATAGTGCCATTATTTCAGACACGGAACGCACCACTGGAACCAACTGAGGGCATTGTTCACTTGAGGAGCCATGTGTAATGGATTTCCTCTTTTTTGTTTTGCCTTGACTAATCTATTAAAAAAATGAATTGGAAATATATATATATATATATATATATATATATAAAGAGGAAATTCTTAAAGGTACCCTCATATGGAACCAATGTAAAATTCTTTAAAGTTCTAGGATGAATGTTGTACCTGAATAAGTGTTGACACATTTCTAGATACAAGAGATATATATATATATATATATATATATATATATATAAAGAGGAAATTCTTAAAGGTACCCTCATATGGAACCAATGTAAAATTCTTTAAAGTTCTGGGATGAATGTTGTACCTGAATAAGTGTTGACACAATTCTAGATACAAGACCCTTGCACCGTAATATTACATTGCCAATAGCTATCCCATTCAATGATTAGTCGATTTCTCAAAACCATTTGGTCAGTGTAAAATTTGTCCACCAAACATCATTCACCGTTGACCTCATGATCATTGTCTTCGGGTACGGATCAATGATTGAAAAATAACTAGGGCTAACTTTTAGGCCAATTTTTCTAATTGGAAAGTTTCCATAGAAAAATCAGAAGAGTTCATAATTATGCATAAAACAAAATTCAACGATACAAATGATAAAATATTAGTACCAGAATTAAGAAAAATATAAATATATGGGAGCATGTACCCAAATAAATCACAACAAGCATATAAACCACAATTTCCTTAGATGGTAACACTATCTAACCCTACCATGCATGTAATCAAACAAATCATATATCCACCAACAAATTAGGTACTAATAACTTAATAACACAACTTCCATGAAAAAAAGAGAGTACAAACTAGAGAGTAAATTCATAAATTCTTAGATCACACATCAATTGAAAAAAAAAATCTAATTTCTAAATCTCTAAATCAAAATATTATAACAATCTTATAATAAATCACAAGAAAAAGAAGTACAAAAATAAGAAAAAATAAGAGAAAGAAATGATAATGAAAAAGAAGTGAATTGGGTCGGCCCTCACATAAGAATGGTCGGAGTCTTTGAGATGGAGCACACGGGTTGACTTCTCTATTTTGTTTTTCCCTTTGTCTTGGGGAGATAAAACTAGATTGGGTGAAGTAGCTGGGCTTGCTTTTATTTTCTTAAAGACTGGGCTGGGCTATAGAGGTAGAGACAATTTCAGAAAATTTGGGTGGGGCAAAGTGGATGTCAGGGGGAGTCGTCAAAGAATTTCAAACAATACAAGGTCTTGCAGGTCACTAATATTCATGAATTTTGATGATGATCTTGGCAATTATTTTGAAATTGAATCACTACCACTCATAAACACGGTGGCAGAAAAAACGAAGAAAAATCAAAGAGTGTTAGAACATCTCTGAGCATTTCTAACAGTAGTAGCAAAACAAACTTCAATGTAACAAAAGAAATTTTTTAAATTGAAGTTTGTTGATCTACGTAGTAATTTGAAAAGCTTGATTTGCTACTTTAATATTTTATGCCCCAAATTAATTCCATATTTGACTTCAAACAATAATAATTAATAGCACTTGAATTAACCTTTTTGTTGATTCAAGCCATTTTGATGCCTATTTTCGATTTGGGAAAGATATTCACAAAACTTATTTGTTAGTCTTTGAGTCTTTGAGCAACGTAATTAACAACCGTGCATTAATTTTTGTGATTAACACAATCTGATCATGTTATATACTGGAAAAAAAACATTGATCTTGAAACAAGAAGTTTGCTTTACAAGAACTTGAAAGTAAACGTGATTCTACAAGCAACCAATATGAATTTATCCAAAAGGATAAAATAAAAATAAAAATAAATGTTTATCCATCTTTACATCAAACTCAGCTAATGTCAACTTAGTAGTCTTGAAAAGGGAGAAAGAGGTTGCAACTTTGATAACTAAGGGTGAAGAGGTTGATGGAGATATTTTTGATGATGTAGCTCACCAATTTTAGGATTTCAAAGTTGTTGAAGAGACTGTTGGAGATGCTCTTACAAACGTAGAAGGATACAAATGCATAATAAATAGCCCATTTAACTGATATATATATAAAAAAAAATTAGAGTGACACAATATAACCATTTAAATTTTGTCATGTGTCCTTTTCAAAAGAAAATACTTTGACCTCTAATTTTATCCTTTAGAATAAAATTAGGAAAGAAAAAAAAGGAAATACCCTTCAATTTCCTCATTAAAGTTGTTTTTCTCGAGAAATTATAGAATAATACTGGAGTACGACCATGTGGTATAGAAGAAGAAGAAGAAGAAGAAGAAGAAGAAAATTGTCCAGCTTTCCATAAGTCTCTCCAATAGAAATTGTCGAATATGGATTCTCCCCAATAGAAATTTTGATGTACATGTCCATTACCTTCAAGAAACAGAGACAAAATATGTAAGAGAGAAATAGAGAGAAATCAAGAACCAATACCATTTAAACCATTTTCTGTAGATGAAACAAAGAGAAGGAATAATACATTGTTCATTTATGCTTCCAAGTTTGCTACTCTTTGTTGCGATGCTTCCATGTCACGCTCTCTTTCACACTCATCCCAAATAATATCGTAGGAGAGAATTAAACACAAGACTTTGAATGCATGAATCCCAAATAATCTCTTTAGATTTAAATTATATCGGTTATGTGTGCTAGCTCTACATGTCCAATAGAAATTCATTAAGTAATGGTACACTAGTGCTTTGAAATTTGCTTACAACATGCGTTACGTTATGTTCCACAAAATATGTACCTTGGTCTTAAAATAAAAAAAGAAAAGAAAAATAAATAGCTCTACATGTCCAATAGAAATTCATTAAGTAATGGTACTAGTGCTTTGAAATCTGCTTACAACATGCGTTACGTTATGTTCCACAAAATATGTACCTTGGTCTTAAAATAAAAAAAGAAAAGAAAAATAAATAAAAGTCTTTGTTCTGTACGTATGTGTTTATTCTTCTCTATTGGATTGCACACACACTGTGGTTGGTCGGTGCATTGTGGAAGTGGTATATATACGTACTCAATTACCAATTGAGACTGTCTCTTACAAATTTGGTCATTTCCCAACTCAATGATCCAATACAAATGCAATATCAATAGTGTTCAGTTGTGGGCTATGACTATATTCCCACTTTGGGGTTTAGCCTTCCTCACAAACCTCCACGGTTCATCTATGTTTATTAGAACATAGGACCTTAATTTAGGTGGTGCTCCACTAGGGCCCGCCTTACACGTGTCAATAATCCTGATGACAATCCACCATATCTCACAATTGTTCATGGTTTGTGACACCAACCCACTCAACATTTTTGCTACTTAAGGGTCTATGCCAATGCTTTCATTCATTGTATGTCTAAATCCATCTTCATCATTCTTGATGTCATTTCTCACCTTCAAACACCTATTGGTAGTAGTTTGTAGGCTTCTCTAAACATTACCATTGCTTCTATTCCATCCAGCAAAATTGCAATTCTTTACAACATTGAGATTGTTTTTGTTATACATAACTATGGTACTAATTTCAGGTAGAATCACATGATATGCATATTTGCCCCTTTTTTGTGGTTAATTATATAATTTCCATGCATCTTTCTCATTCTTAGTGTTAGTGCATGCATGTGGTCGTCTTTCTCCAACTTCTATGAAGATATGAGATTTTACTGAGTTCTGCTTGCATTTAGTTGTCAGTCGTTGATGTGTGTGAGTTTCGTCATATACACATACATAGCATTGTGACATATTCTTCTATGCATTGGTCCTCCATGACATTCATCTTGCATTTTTAAAAGTAATTAGTTGACAATTGATAACGATTGTACATCTACAAATCAGTCATAAAATCTACATGTAGATTCGAACCATCCCACAATTTGTTGACAATTGATTGTGGGGGGGTTGCATTGCGTAGTCCTGCATACGTACACAAATATGATGCTACAAGTGCTTGACCCAAATATGACACAACAAGTTGTCCACCGACGACCCAAGTCAATTTTCTTTTCAACATAATAATGTTGAAAAGAAATTTCAATTCCTTTCATAATGAGAAGTGAGAAAGTTCCTTCCTTTGAAATCACAACAGCAGATATCTAAAGTCATATATTATTTTTGTGCTGAATAAGTTCCCACCATCTTTTCATTCCTAGATTTGTTTAAATAATAATTTTTTACTCCCCATTAAGTATAACTTTTTCTTCAACCCTAGGCTCTATCCTGTTTTTGGTGATTCGATCAAAACATTTATTCCCATCTTCCTTATCAATGTGGACATGTATATATTCCTTCAAATTTTATTTATTTATTTAAATTGCTTGGGTTTTTCACTTGGAAATTGCCTAGCAGTTCAGCCGTAGAACTTATATTATATATAGAGTCTTCGGTCATCGCCAAGTTCATGACTTGAAAGTTCATGTGCGATTACTTCACAACTCACAAGTATTTAAGTTGTATTCAACAACTAGAAACAAAAAATTGGTTCAGTTGAGCCCCTTATAAAAAGCCTCTTCTTACGTGTGCCATTTGCCCACAAAAATTCCGTCAACTCTTAGCTAGCCTCTTTTCAAGCTTTATTTTTTGGTTAATTAATTTCTCCAAACCCATTATTTTGGATTTGAACACTTCCTTTATTGTTCCCTCCGTCTACCACACGCCATTCGTTGCCTCAGTCTTTGTTTAAAAAAAGGTTTAATCTCGTGATTATTTTGCCTAATTCCTCTTGTAGATAAAGGTAACTGCACATATGAATATTAGAGCAATGGTGCAACGGACCCAGGAGGTGTTTGTCCTTGTGTATCTGACCTTATTCTCCAAGGCAACTGGTTTGAAGCCCTACCCTAAGCCAAGCCTGCCACAAGTTGAGGGTGCTGCGTTTTGTTTGAGTTGGAGACTGGCTGTGGAGGCCGACAATGTGCGTGCATGGCGCACGGTGCCAACTCAGTGCCTGCGCTACGTTGAAACCTACATGATCGGAGGGCAGTACGACCAGGACGTTGATTTCCTCGTTGGCCAGATTCTGAGTTATGTAAATGGCATAGCGCTCTCCGGTGATGGCAAGGACGCTTGGATTTTGGACGTGGATGACACTTGCATCTCCAATGTCTTCTACTACAAGAGCAAGAGATACGGGTAATATAACTAGGATAATATTCTCTTGTCATACTTATGTTGCGAGATTGATACTTATATTATCTGTGAATTTAAACTACGCGTTTAAATAAGAATCATCTTATATTTACTTAATTGATTTTGGGCACTTGGTGATATATATGTAGGTGTGATCCCTATGACCCATCTGGGTTCAAGGCATGGGCAATGACTGGAGCGTGTCCGGCAATTCCTGGTATGCTAGGACTGTTTAGCAAGCTGGTGAGTAGTGGGTTTAAGGTGTTCATGGTCACAGGAAGAGATGAAGAAACCCTTGGACAAGTCACTACTGAGAACCTGCATAATCAGGGATTTGTGGGTTATGAACGGCTGATTTTGAGGTAAGAATTAACATGTGTATATGATGGTTGATGCATGCATAGATGCATGTATGCGTCTGCTCATTGGCCAATGTCGAATTTGGTTTAATGATTATGCCAAATTTAGTCTAATGATTGGAATTATCCGAGTCAATCACCATGCAAGAAAAGTGTTCTACTTTTTGAGGTGGAAAACCCACCAATTAATCTTGGCCAATTGAAATCCCCATTGCTTATATTAAGTTATCCGATGCGTGTCAACAACTATTCGATTTAGTGTTATTTCTAGTTTCTACGTAACTAGAGGATATCTCAAATTCAAATCTTATGGGCGACAACTAATTATCAAAGAAAAAGTCTTATGAAAGTCAACACCTACCAATCTTGACTTGGTTTAATTTTCTTATCAAGAAGATAAAAAAAATCGTGATTATATATTATTGTGCATGGACCTAATTTAGTTAGGCGTGTGTGTGGGTTTTCAGGTCTGCAGCTTACAAGGGGCAAGGTGCAGTTGCGTACAAATCAAACATTCGGAAGCAATTGGCAGAAGAAGGTTACAAGATTTGGGGAAATGTAGGAGACCAGTGGAGTGATCTACAGGGAGACTTTGTGGGGAACCGCACCTTTAAGCTTCCAAACCCCATGTATTTTGTTCCTTGATTTACAAAACATCCAAATTATCATAATTGTATCATAAATATTTGCATGCCTTCGGAGTTAATCGGTGGAGGCCTTCTTACTTTTACATGTTCAACAATCACAAATAAAATCATTGTTGAGTTGAGAGATTCCAAATCCCATGCATTTTGTTCCTTAATCACACTCTCAAAATTATCAAAATTATTTATGATTACAAAAAAAACATGTTTTTGGTGTAAAAAATAGGTCTAGCTTCTGGGAAGGTGCAGGAGCTCACCTTTTTGGACTTGTTTCCTAATTTTGGAAAATACCTCCGTCATGAGGAGAAATTTTGGACTTTCCTTATTCAACTCACCTGGCAGAGGTCATGAGTGTGTCTGATTTCATGAAGAGTTTAATCTTCAAAGTGCGAAACTTGAACACCGGGAACCATGACCTTTCCCGGGTGAGTTGTTCCTCATCCCTTCAATTTCTCCTATGAATAGGTTTTGCGGAGGGAAACTTGCCCCTTTTTTCTTTACTGGAATTTCACCAATTCACAAGGTGAGAAATGAAGGCACCAAATAGAGGGAGAGGGGTGGAGTGGATTTATTAGGGTGGAGAGACGAAATGACCTTTTGAACAGTGACAATTTGATGGACTATTGGATGACAAAAAGTTGATTTAGATGGTAAGGGGGAATTTGCGATTAAAATTAGTTCGTGACCTTAATTTTTCAAAAAAACAGTTGAGGGTGTAAATTGAAAGTAAATTACAAGTTCATTGGGTAAATCGACAATTAATCTTTGAAAATAATAATAATTTATTCGTCAAAAACATTTAATACAATTTTTTTTTAAATAAAAAAACGTTGGTTATAACTTTGAACTTAGAGAAGATTCGGGAAATGAGAAACTTTGGAAGCATTCAACGTACAAGAAGTTCGGACGAAATTTCGCACTAAAACAACAGACACACATAGGTCATGTGTCTCAATCAAATTCTTGTTCAAAGAGTATTATTGTGTTCTTTTGGTTTTCAACTTTTTTTTTCTTTGAGTCTAAGAACACACTTTAGGCACATTCGATCTCTAATTTATCAGAGAAACAGAACAATATTCTTGACAAGATGAACGACGCAGATGTCTCGAAGCAGATTCAGCAGATGGTCAGATTCATCCGCCAAGAGGCCGAAGAGAAAGCCAATGAGATATCTGTCTCTGCTGAGGAGGTCCTCCCTCCTCCCTCCCCACCAATTTTAATTTGCATGCATCATGCATGGCAAGCAATTCTAACATTGGCATTGCTTTAACCTTTTATATTAATTAATCATGGTTTTTTTTTGTTGTATTGATTTTATATGTTGACAGGAATTTAACATTGAGAAGCTGCAAATATTTGAAGCTGACAAGAAAAAGATCAAGCAAGAGTATGACCGCAAGGCAAAGCAGGTGGATGTGCGCAAGAAAATGTGAGTTCTATTAGAATTTAGATCCTCCTCCTCACAAAGAAAATTAATCTGAAAATTAATGACTAATTGAGGATTTAATTTTGGGTGTGCATAGCGAATACTCGATGCAGCTGAATGCATCTCGTATACAAGTTCTTCAAGCACAGGATGACATTGTAAACTCCATGAAAGAAGCTGCTGGCAAGGATCTTCTGCGTGTTTCGGATGACAAGAAGGCATACAAGAAGCTCATCAAAGACTTGATTGTTCAGGTACTTTATAGTTTATATTTAACCATCATACATGCATGTTTTAATCAATTAATGTAATGTATTTGACAAAAGTAGTGTTGAATTATTCATATGTGCAGAGTTTGATGAGGCTCAAGGAGCCAGCAGTGTTGCTACGGTGCAGAGAGGTTGACAAGAAAGTTGTTGAGTCTGTGTTGGAGGAAGCAAAGAAAGCTTATGCTGATAAAGCCAGTGCTTCCGTCCCCAAAGTCACCGTCGACGATCGTGTGTTCCTCCCACCTCCTCCGAAAGGTGGCGACTCTCATGAGCCCTTTTGGTAAATCTTTTCTGTTCATCAACTATGTTTTCTTCTTACATCAATCTGTGCACAGCACATACATATATGTGCATTGTGTAACTTATAGGACATTTTGGTCAGCGTGCCTTAAGCTGCTTGTCACCAGTTTCATTTGTTTTTTGTTGGTTTGATTGTTTGAAAGTTCTGGTGGAGTGGTGTTGGCCTCCCAAGATGGAAAGATAGTGTGTGAAAACACCCTCGACGCACGATTGGATGTTGTGTTCAGACAGAAGCTGCCCGAGGTTGGTATTCATGGATCAACTCCATTTGGACATTCATTCAGCAAAACAGAATTGAAAAGAAAAAAGAAACTATGAACACAAAACTTCACTATGCATGATTAGTTCACTGTTTTCTTCTTTGTTTCTTCTCTGCAGATTCGGAAGCGCCTTTTAGGACAAACCAGTGCATCATGAATTCTCTCTACTTGTAGCTGGAGATGTACTAGAGCAGGGGCCTTGACTGAGTTTCTTGGACAGTACTTGTTCTTATTTGGTTTGGCAGTTTACTTCAGAGATTATGAAATTTGCTTCCAAAACAATAACAGCATAGTTTTAGCTGCCTCTGAAATTATTGTTATTAGGGGCAAGCTAATTCATAATATGTCACATTATTGAGCTAATTTTTGCTTCACTTTAGTCTTTTGCTTATAAATTGAAAACTATAAACTCCTAATCATAAGTATTAGAAAAGACTAGCATATATTGAGAGAAAGAAAAGAAGGTAATTCCTAATTGATATTTCAAAGATCAATAAACTACTTGTACAACATTTAGACCACATGAGGTGGGATACATCTTTGTAAATGTGGTACAAACTACAGGCTCCCTTAGAATTCAGACATTGTGTAGCTCAACCACCCGGGTCACCTGGACTTTATGCTCATAAGGATAGTGTCATGGCCCCCATTATAGGTGCCTGTGCCACAATGATGATGAACATGAAGTCCTAAACCTTCTCTGCTACCTAGGAAACGGAATATCTCCTACTCCTACCGGTTTTTTCCCTCAGAGCCCCGGGACTTCCTACCCGATTTCTTTGGTTTACCTCCTGCTTGGCCACTAAAAATTCCAATCCTTCCAATCCCTTTAGAGAGTGAGGTCAAGAAAGTTTTTCCATTTCCTGTTTTATCCATCATTCCTTGTTTCATGAACAACTGCTCTTTCTCCAACTCACTCAGCCTCACTCTCATTCTTGAAATCTCCAGTTTCAGCTCTCGGTTTTCTCTCCTCAGTGAAGCATAATTATCTCGAGGGGACATGGCTGCACTAGGTACACCGCTGCTTATTCTCTGCGAGAGCAGCCCATCACCTGAGCTTCCGGACAATGCATTTTTCAGACGGAGCTGCTCAAAATACAGAACTCGCACTGTCATCTGTACTGGAAGTCGATCATTTTGTGCAGCGTGATTGCAGGCTTCTTGAGAGAGCTTTTGGCAGTCAATGAACTTGCAGAGCTTCTTGCATTCTTGTTCAGTTAGCATTGAATGAACCTAAACAAGAAGCAAAGAAATAGAGTCAATCAACTATAAAAGGAACTCAGTCTTAATCCTTTGTAAAACATGTCAGCTCTTGCATTTCATTATACCATCTGGCGATGCTGAGGCCAATATAATAAAAGTCATAACTTACCTTCAAATATATGTCAACCGCCCTGTAAAGCCCGTCATCGATGACACGAGCATAGTCAGGCAGTATTTCAATCATAGCAATGAATTTTTGTGAACTCAGGTATGGATCAGGAGCAATTTCAGCTAGATATGTGTCAATAAGCCTACCAACTTTTAACAATGAATCATGACTTGGAGAACCGAGGCCTTCAGACTCATATCCACAATCTTCACTTTCTTCTTCTTCAATTCGCTGCAGAAAATTCACCAGTATTCGATGAACAGTATCAACATCATACAATGATCCCCCTGCTTGGATTGATGGTATAAGGAGATCATCGAGTGAAACCATTTCCAGCCTAAAAGCAATCCTCCTTTCAAGCTCAAGCCTGCAGGCTATTGTAGCATCTACCATGATTGCCATTCTCAGCATTCCAAACATAAAACTCAGTGGCACCGAACAACTTTTCTCTGTTGGCATTAAGCTTACAAGGGCTTCCACAACAGTCTTCTGGTCGTGTTCTGCCATGCCAGTATTTGACTTCAACTTTCCTGGATTCCAAGTTTGACATTTCGCAATACCCTTTAAGGATGCCTGAGCAAAATGCATCAAAGATGCAAAAATGCTATCGGGTCGAACACCTAGTCTTGTCATGGCACATATAACCCTTTGATAATAATCAATGCTTAGGAGTGATAGATCTTCAACCCACCACTCAAGACAACCACTTTTAAGCTCTGTGGACTCACCATCACAATTCAACATAGACAACCCTGATACTAGTTGCTCCTTGCAAGCATTCATGGCAATAGCCTCCACACATCTGCTTGGAATCCCGACCTCCTCTGCAATAGAAGGTAGTGTCTCGCAGGTGGAAAGGACTTCCACTGACTTTTCAAGACTCTGAACTACAACCTCATCCAGATAAGTCTCCGTTCGTGCAATAAGGTTTTCATCCCTGTAGTCTTCAGTCATTTCCAAGTATTCTGCAGCACAGCGCAGATGGGCAACATTTGCAGTTGTGATCTCAAAGTTGATGCCGTAACAGAATTTCATTGCAAGTTCAAATGCCAGGGGACCTCCTGGTATGTTGAGTAACTCCAGTTTTGCAGTTGAATCCTTGGCATCTGCAACCATTTTCCGAATCTTTCCACTTCGAGACACCAGTGGAAACTTCAGAAAAATAGAACAATGTGATCAGCAAAATAGAAAAATGCAAGGCTACAATGCTTATAGCATAAGATGTCAAAGCTGCGTGTAGAAAACAAACATTTTTCATCTTGGACAAAGAGGAAATTACCTTATGTAGCAAAAAGGACTCTCCATCGACAACAATTGTAATGTCCCCGGCAACATCCGAAAAGATACTACATGCACATAAAACCTCTAATATCAGTAATGAGTAACCAGCATGGTTGAAACATCACATAAATTATCCTAGAATATGACTAGCAAATAAGGGAAAATTTTGTCAACTGAAAACATCCAATCCAAATTGCAGGAGGAACAAGCAATCCGCAAGTTGGGCAAAAATCCAAGTTTTCATGCAGAAACTATAGCACAGCTTCAAGACCTCATGTCCTAACATTGCACTCTTTGACTAAGAATCAACACTGTGGTTGAAAAATTCAGTGGAAGCATACCAGGCGTAGCTAAAGTCATAATCCGACCGTGGCTAAAGACATTCAGCCTCAAGTAACAATGTGATGGAGTAAAGGGTAGATCCTAGATTCAACTCTTCTTCTAAACAAAAGCAAAAATGTTTGGAGAAACGATTTATTGAAAAAGGGGATCAATTTTAAAATGTTGTATCTTTTGTATATTCTGTTAACTAATTAATTTAAAATTGTTCTGTTCTGTCTAATATGGTAATGAATTGACTAAATCTGTGAGCCCCAACGTTCAAGAATCAAAATAAGAAGTTGAAGCATGCCAAAGACAGAACTATCAAGTACAAAAGGGGGCAGTGGATCTATATATTATATATGCATACACATTATATAGAACACCAGACAAATGATTAAAACATCTAGAAATCAAAATAAGCAAGCACATAGCAGGAGCTGGCAGAACCAAAAGAAAGAAACAAAAAGACTGAACAAAACTGAAGTTGAAAGCTTGAGAAGATGATGAGCTAAATTAATGCAAATGCACATGACAGAGGGAAGAAGAAGAAGAAGGGTACCGAGTGGTGAAGGAGCTGCAGAGCTTGGGAGTTGGAGAGCGGCTTGAAAAAGAGAAAGGGTTCTCAGAAACCATCCCCATTCATTCGAAATCACACTCTAAAATGACCGGCAGCTGAATCTCAAACAGTGTTCTTGTGGATCATCATAATCATCACAATGACTCAGAGAATAATATGATCTTTTTCCTTCTTCTTTTTTTCCCTTTACGTAAATAACCTGTTGGTTTTGAGCAATTCACAATTGGAACCTCGCGTTCTTTTTATGGGGGACAGAGACAGGCTCGCTGGTCACCTTTTGCTTTTGCGTCTTCATCATTCCTTTGTCTTGTATTGCGTTCTTTTTTTAATTTATCTCTGAAGATAAACAGAAAAAGAAATGCTTTGTCTGATTTTGAGACTAAATCTGCAGTGTCAGACAGACTCACTCACGCCATTCTGGCAAAGAAAGAATAATATGAAACATGAATTAGGAAGAGAAAAAAAACACAAAAACATGAACTCTTTGAATTTTGAAGCTGGGGGGGCGTACGGACGTAACGCATTGCAAAACCTTTGCGTCCGTTATCATATAGATTGTTGCATGGTTTTATTATTCATTGAAACGTGTATTAAATAACATTGAATTTTTAAGATAAATTACATGAAAGTAAATTTGTTCACACTCTTTTTTTCTTACACCCGAATCATCAGAATCCCGTTGATGTTATGAAATGTCTTTTTCTTCTTTTCTTCTTTTTTTTTCCTTATATTTATTATAAAATTACTTTATGAAATGTCTTTGTTAAATGAGAAAAGTAATCAAATTAGACAGAGAAAAAAATTCATGCTTAAAAAGGGTGATAATGTACTAGGCATGGACTGATGGGACACAAGTGACGCGGAACTCAATAAAGATGATATAATTGGGGAGAGAGAGAGAGAGAGAGAGATGTTGCAAGTACATGCTCCATCCTCTTTTTCTTCCAAATCAATTATTTGTTTATTATCAATGAAAGACTCAAATTATAATACTTCAAAGCATATTCTTTTCTTTGCTCTTGTCTCTGTTGACCGCATTATAAAGACCAAAGGTAACATGGTCGATTGACCAAACAAAGGTAACATGGTCTCCTTTTAATTTGATCAAGGTCCAATATGGCTTATCAGGCCCAATACCTCTGGTTAGGCAATTCGAGCCGGATACAATTTACAAACCCAATAAAAGCCCTATTCCTAATACTGTTTCTTTTTAATTTTTTAATTTTTTAATTTTATATAATTACAATTGTGATATTCTTAACTACCCTAATGTACAAAGGGATTTCGAACACGGGTGCAAAGCGGAGAGGAGGCCATATTACCTCAACTGGCTGGCCTAAACCACTGCCCCTATCCCTAGTACTTATTTAAAGGAAAAGAACAAGAAAATAATTATATAAAGAAATTAAAGGAAGAAAAGAAAAGGCCATAATTTGACAATTTTGTATTTTTAGCGCATAAAATGGCATTTATGTGATATACCGGGGGAGGCAGGGCATTAAGGGAGGATAAAAAGTTGTGTGCGCCATAGCCGATCGATATATCAGGTCAGAAATTTTGATAGCAAAGCAAGTATCTTTGCCCTGTATAGTTTTCTGAAGGGCAATACCAAAGCCAGCAGAGTCACAGTCACTCACATCACACAAGCCATAGCTTCAGCTCCACAGCAAAAACAACAAGGAAGATGCGTACGCTCACTCCCGTCGCTTCCTATCCTGTGTAAGTTCTTCTTATCCATCAGTCTTTATGGTTTCATTTCAACCCATTTCAGTTCAGCAAACTATCTGTCGGGACATTTGGTAGTTTTCAACTTATAGGTTGATTTCAGTATCAAGCTACGATATTCTAATGAGCATTCTTAGTTTGAAAAGCGTTTAATTACAAAAAGAATGCGTTTTGGAATCTGTTTAGAGTAACCATTTGGTTCTAGTTACTTGACGATGGTGGATTGAAGAAAATAATGTCCTTTTTCGTTTAAATTCGTGCAGATGCCCAATTGTTTCATTTGAATTGTGTCGTCAAGCATCAAACAAGTTATTCTTTCCTTGCAATATAAGCGAGAACCTTGCTAAAGGTATGCACACTTGCACATTGTCTGCATAGTGAGTGTTGAAGTTTAGTAATTACTCATTATTGGGTGAACTATGGATGGAAAAGTTTTACCCTTTTGCTGTATTTTTTGCAGCAAGCAGGGTGCATAAGACATATCAACTCAAGGCTGGATTTTGGGAATCCATTAAATCTGGGTAATTGGAGATACTCATTTTCACTGATCATACACTTACAAAATGACAGACATGCACACAAATCACACACTGAATGTGGAAGAATTTCTGTTGGGTATGTTAAATTGGAACGTTGCATTTGTTATGTTGCTGCAAAGAAGGATGCCTTGCTGAAGCGAGAAACACAATTTGAGTTTTAAAGAACTTATAGTTACATAGTGCTTTAATGTTAAATTGATCAAATATGAAGGCATTGATTGGTTTGAGTACTTCATCAGTGAACTTGCTTAAAAAGAATGTTACTTTATGGATTAATGACACTTTTAAATGGCAATGTGCTTGTACCACTATGTCGTTTTTAAATTAATACTAATTGAAGTCTAGAAGAGCAAGAAATTAGATTTTATCACAGATACAGACAAAAAAGTATGGTCCTTAACTCACTTCTTATTGCAGTATTTTAAACAACAACACAACACAAGTAGTAGAACCCCCCCTCAACGCTTCCAGAAGAGGAAGAAGAACCTTTGCCTCAAGAATTTGTTCTCATTGAAAAGACTGAACCAGATGGAACAGTTGAAGAAATAATATTTTCTTCTGGTGGAGATATTGATGTGTATGATCTTCAAGCCCTTTGTGATAAGGTAAATACACTGCCATTGCTACTTATTTTGCACATGCATCGAAAAGTTAACGCCTTTTGAATTCGCAATTGTGTCTAAGTCACTCTTCATAGGTCAGGAGTCCACTTATTGTGGATGTATCTTACCTGATTGACCTTTCAGTAAATTTTGATATGTTATTCTTTAGCTGTATATGAAGTAGTGAATTTTGATAATGTTATCTTATACCCACTGGCTAAAGTTAAATAACTTTAATATAAATTTAATAGGTAGGCTGGCCTCGGAGGCCGCTGTCGAAACTAGCTGCAGCTTTGAAGAATAGCTACATGGTAGCCACGTTGCATTCATTTCGGAAATCACCTGGATCAGGTACATAGTGGATACGGCATTGTTGCAGTATCCTTCTTTTTCACTCAATTTGTATTACAATCTAATATCCATGCTTGTTACTACATCTAAAACTATTTGATGAACACTTAGTGTACTTGGAGAAGTTATTTGACAGAGGGGAATGACCAAAAGAAGTTAATTGGCATGGCTCGAGCTACATCAGATCATGCCTTCAATGCTACAATTTGGGATGTCCTTGTTGATCCTGGTTATCAGGTATGATGGTGCTTGAAGATTGTTCGTTGGACTTATGCACTAATTACATGAGATGTTTTCTTGATTGTTTCTAATGATATCTTTATCATTCAGGGCCAAGGCCTCGGAAAGGCCCTTGTTGAAAAGCTTATAAGGGCTCTTCTGCAGAGGGACATCGGAAATATTTCACTGTTTGCAGATAGTCAAGGTAAAACAGCAGTTATTTATAGCATTTAGTCTATGTGCATCTGCATGTGCATGCATATGGGATTGGTAGTCTGTTTCTTAAGTAATTATCAGCGTGGCAACATAAATATTTTGCCACCAATCCTACTCTATATCGGTGTTCCTTCCTATGACAAGTCCGGCTTTGGGTGTTGCCTGCTTTAGCATATTCAACTTGTATTAAAAAAATTCATACTCATTGTCATACTCTGTTTTCTTACTTTGTCATTGCAGTTGTGGAGTTCTATCAAAATTTGGGTTTTGAACCTGACCCAGAGGGCATTAAAGGGATGTTTTGGTACCCAAAGTATTAGTCATCACTTAGAAATAAGTTCAAGTATGTATGTGCTTTTATCATTGGTTTAGCGCTGCAATTTGTGTACATGACATGCGAACACTTACATTCTTGAGAGACCTGTTACAGGGAAAGTATGTCTGGAAGTGTAGGGTTTACTTTTAAGCAGAGTCTGTCTGGAAGTATAGTTGCTTCAGATTTCTAAAGTTGAAAGTAAATAAGCTGTGATTGGTTTGCTCTTTATCGGATGCCTGGATGGCCAGTTTCAGAATGTCAAGTCAGTTTCTAAAGAAATTCAATATTTATGATTGCATTTTCACAAAATTATAGAAACAGATGCAAGGAAAATAGGTGATGCAGATGTGCTCTAAGAGAGAGGTCAGATTTAAACTTCAAATTTCTATATATAGGTCATATTCCAGATGTGGGCCAAGACCTATCTATAAGTATAAAGTTAAGATGGTTGTCATGTATTAATGCACAATTTGGAGTCTTCATATCAACATGACTGACATTAGGCCACCTCCCGCGCAGGCCCTTTTGCCAGGGCAAGAGGCCCCTTTTCAGGGGTTTGGACCTCCAGCGTGCGCCAAGCAGCCATGGGTCCCATCAGCACGGGCAAACCCAAAGGCTGATCCTGTCTAGGCTTCAGCCCGAAGGCGCTGATATCAAGCAAAAAAAAAAAAAAAAAAAAAAAAAAAAAAAAAAAAATGGATGTTTTCCCTATAAATACATAACCATTTTATTCACTTTTCACACCAAATCCTCATACAAACTCTTCTCCTTTCAATATTTGTAAATTGTAATAATTTTTTTTCTTCAATTTGTATATTGTTTATATTTTCTTCCTTATTTATTTTTTTTCTTGCATAATCATTTTATTTCTTGCATTTCTAAATTGTTTATATTTTGTTGCATATTCTTTTTTTTTTCTTGCCCTTGCCCTAGCCTTTTGGGGTGGAACTAAAAAAGGCAAGCCTGCCATTATTCACGTGAATAATAGCAGCTATTGTCTTGCCTTGCCTTAGCCTTTTGGGGTGGACATGCTCTTACAATACCAATTTTGTCATCCTCGAGGAAAAGAAAATGCCAGTTTTCAAGATATTTTTGGGGGGCGGCTGCCTCTGTGATTTAGAGAGTCCTTGTCAAGTAGAGATGTATTTCATTAATAAATTCTACAAAATGTCAAAATTATATTTGGAGACGCTATTCATTAATAAATTCTACAAAATGTCAAAATTATATTTGGAGACGCTACTAATAGCGTCTCCGGAGCAATTGTCAAGGGAACTTGTAAGTCCTTGTCAAGGGAACTTGTGGTAACGTGTAAGCAATAATTGCAAGTCTCCAGAGCAATTGGGTCTAATATTAAATTGGAAATACTAATAGGATGAATATTATAATGGAATTTGAAATTGACAATTTATGCCCTCCAATAAAAGCAGCAAATTTGTACTTGCATTCGTACTTTGGCACGTCTTGCCAATGAACTCGAATCTTTTTGCTGATATAATTTTTTTATGGATTAAAAACCTTTGTGAAATAAAGATTTAGTAGCTACAGTTAATATTAGAAATCCAGTTAAATAGAAGTTCTAAACAAGGTAATCTCAGACACGAGTACGATATCAACTTAACTCAACCCAAAACCAATATGGTTTTTAATGTTTATGACCACTAACCGAATATGTTCACTTACTTAACATAAATGTGATTTATGATTGATTGCTTATGAAAATGCTAAAAGCTTACTTAACACAAATACTTTATACAGTCCCAAAATTAGCATAAAAACTTTCTTGTAACGGGAATAAAGCATATTATTCTCAATCAATAATACAATGCCAGAAAAAAAAAATTATTCCGCATGTTATTATGTTATTCGTGGGGGATGAACCTCTCATGAAATTCTCTCTCCAAAACTAAATCACTGAAACAAAGATATGTTGGATTTGTGGTCCACCAGTGGAGCACTTAAAGAGAGGTTCGTGGAAATCCGCGCAAAGGATTTTGTAGTGGTCTTTAGGTAACAGGTACAGAAAAGTCAACGTCTCTCGAAGCGAAAAATGTCATTGCCTTCACACTCACTTTCTCAAGGCGAGAAAAATTTGGAAAGAAGACGCCATATGTCATTAATCTCCTCTTATCTCTTTCCACTAAAACTTAAAAAAACATTAAACAAAAGAAAACAAAGACCGACCTTACTCAATAAACTATGACGATCGAAGACGTCATAATTAATGTTACAACTTATGTTAATGTTCATGATGACATTTATCTCAGGTCTTCTTTCTCTGCGAACAGACTTCACCATCCTTAGCCTTTCCATTGACTCGGCCGTGATGTTTGTGTTGGGAACTGTGTGTGCTTCCTGAGCAGTATCTTCCTCTCACAACAAAGTCTCAAAGTCCACCACTTATAGTGTCAAGTATGATTTTGCTTTTGAAAATTGAGAGAAAACTTTCCAACTGTTTCCTTATATCTTTATTTTGTGTTTTGTTGCATGTTCTAGTTTTACTTCTTATGACAAAGAAAGTCAAGATTTTGAATTTAGTGTTTGCAAGTTTTATAGAAATTGCTCGTTGGGTTGTTTCCGTAGGGTGTTGGAATGCTGAGAATGAGAGTCTGTGGATGTGTCATTGCTCTGTGGTGTTCTTGCTTCGTCCTCCTTGCGGTTGCACAAGTTACAAATCCTTCTGAAGGTGATTTTGCTGCACATATGCAATTCAATCATTTCTATATGATTCTTATATGATTCAATTGAAAAGTATGAATTATGTTTTGTGCCCTTTTGCAGTCAATGCATTGAGAGCAGTTAAGAGCAGTTTAAGTGATCCTAGGCAGCATCTCAAGAACTGGAACAATGGGGATCCTTGTAAATCTCATTGGACTGGAGTTTTTTGTTTTAATACTGTTGGGGCTGATGGGTACTTGCACCTTGAGGAACTGTATGCATTCTTTTTTCACACTGCTCTTACCTTTTCCATTCCAGATTACGTTACCCACACAGTGAGTGATAATGTTTTTTTCTTAATTATGATTTGATGCAGCCAACTGCTGAACATGAATCTCTCAGGAAGTTTAGCACCTGAGCTTGGCCAACTATCTCACCTTCTAATATTGTGAGTCTGGCCTCTCAAAAATTGATCTGTGATTCCACTTTTCTGGAGGTTTTTTTTCCTGATTATCCTTTTAGTTGTTTTCTAATGTTTTGTATTTTGTTTTCTTCTCTTCCGGCAGAGATTTCATGTGGAATGAATTAAATGGAACCATACCAAGGGAGATAGGAAACATGACATCCTTGAAACTCTTGTAAGTTGAGTTCAACCAATCAATAGTTCTGGGTACACTTGTTTTTGGAATATCAACATAATTTTCTGTTTTACAGTACACAATTTTCATATATATATATATATATATTTTTTTTTGGTGATGCATTTGTATGCAGGCTTTTGAGTGGAAACAAATTATCCGGTTCTTTACCTGACGAGCTCGGTTACCTTTCAAAATTAAATAGGCTACAAGTTGACCAAAACTATATGTCAGGTCCAATACCAAAATCATTTGTTAACTTGGTCAATGTAAAACATCTGTAAGTACATGTTCAAGCTAAATGCTACTTGAAGTTGGCTAGCATTTTATATTTCTCATGTTTGACAGCTGCATGTAAATTAATTGCTTTGCAGCCACATGAACAACAACTCCTTCAGTGGTCAAATTCCGTCTGAACTTTCTAAAGTACCCACTCTTCTTCATTTGTGAGTTCTTAAAGCGTTATTTCCTTGTTTTTTTGGGAAATTGTTCTGTATTTATACTTGTTGACTGACTCCTGATGGTGTATACTTGACGCAAACTTTTACAGGCTTTTTGATAATAATAACTTATCTGGATATCTTCCACCAGAATTATCCAACTTACCAAACTTGCGCATAATGTACGTCCTAATTCAACACTGTCTGGATTTTTAGTTTGGAGTAACTTGTTTCCTTTTGTGTGATCTCAGTAGGTAATCTTTTTTTCTTGACAAGATTTTCTTCTTGGTTGATGGAAATTATTGTTTTTTCTTCCATTTGCAGTCAGTTTGATAACAACAACTTCAGGGGGACTGAGATTCCAGCTTCTTATGGAAACCTTTCCCAATTAGCAAAAATGTAAGTTTTAGTATTCATATCTTTCTCTTGTTGAATTGATGGTTCATGTTTGTACTGCTTTACATTAGGACTATAAGCAAGTTGCATTATTTTGGTGATCAAGGTCGTATGCAAGGTAATTCCAATAGGAATTTTAGAATTTCACTGATATCCAAATGCCCTCTGAAATCCAGTATTTCCACTTCTCGAGATGTTTTAAGTGCTTTCATTTTGTTTTTATTACATGTTGCATAAATTTGCTTGAAAGGGTTGCTAATAGTTTTTCTTTTTCCTCTTTCTGATTTGGCAGAAGTCTTAGGAATTGTAGCTTGCAGGGAGAAATTCCTGATTTTAGCAGGATACCTAGCCTTAGTTATCTGTAAGTATTAAGATGGCTCAACAACCTTGAATTAATGGACACTATAATGCATTTATATACTCTTCTATTTATACCTCTATTATCTAACCTTTTACTGGGTTCATTTCACAGAGATCTAAGCTGGAATCAACTGAGTGGATCCATACCTTCACATAGACTCTCTCACAATATGACAACAATGTATGCAAATGGCCCAAGTAAACTTGTAACTTGTCTGTCCAAAAAAAAACTTGTAACTTGTTCTATTAATACTTCTTGCTGCATCAGCATGTTAACTTTAAATGAATGTTACACAAATTTTTTTTTACATATCACTGTCTGTGTTTAATCTGAGTAATTTATAAACTTTTCCTGTTTAATTTTCGTTATTTATTGCAGTGATCTGTCAGATAACCAGCTTAATGGATCTATTCCTGAGAGTTTCTCTGATCTTCCTTCACTTCAGAAATTGTGAGAATCTCCTAACTTCCCTAAATCTGTATTTCGTATAATATTGCACTTCTATGCAGACTGGCTCTGATTTCTGTAATGACTTGTATTACAGGTCACTCGAGAATAATTTGTTGACTGGTTCTGTCCCTGCTATATGGTGGAAAATATCTTTTAGTACAAGAGCGAGACTTAAACTGTAATTCCTTTACCAAAAAAGTAGCATTAACATTTAAAGTTCGAGGACCTTAATGATTTAGTGTAAATTTTTAGATTGAGCTTATTTAGAAGTTTGATGAATTTTGCAGTGATCTCCGGAACAACTCACTGTCGAACATATCAGGAGAGCTAAATCCTCCAGCAAATGTCACCTTGAGGTATGTTTCCAATGCAATGGCTTCAATCAGATCCCTATTTTCCAAGATGTTTCTTGTTTATTGTTCTGGATTTATTAAAGAAGATAGAACAAAAAGGAACTCTGCATTGTTAAGGATGTTATTATAGCTGGACATCTTATTTTTCTCAGTGCAGTTAAAAATGGAGACTTTTACAGATACACAAATTGATTAAATAGTTTCATGGAAATGAGGAAATGCACAAAATAATTGCATGCAAATTAAGAGTGACATGAATGGTACAATTTCAATTAGGAGAGACATGTTACCAAATTTTAAAAAGCAACACACATTGTTCTATGGTTGTATTCTCAACCCAAGTGGATATAGCTAGGATTCCTTGTATTCTCAATCCAATGGAATATGTTGGGAATTTTATGCTTGCTTGTTATGCAGTGGTTCACTTGCCCATAAATTATGTCTTGTATTTAAAATTATTAGCAAAAGTATACCTTGTTTTACTTCTAGAACTTCAAATTCTCACTTTAGCAGCTTTTCTCAGGCTTGAAGGAAATCCTATTTGCAAGAATGCAAGCATACAAAATGTAGGCCAGTTCTGTCAATCCGAAGCTGGAGGAGATGGAATCCCTGATGGTTCAACAAATTCAACTCAAACAATGACCTGCCCTAGTCAAGCATGCCCAATAGATAATTTCTACGAATATGTCCCATCTTCCCCAGTGCCATGCTTTTGTGCATCACCTATAATAGTTGAATATCGTCTGAAAAGCCCTAGTTTTTCTTATTTTCCTCCATATAGTCAGAAGTTTGAAATATACTTAACTAGATCTCTCGACTTGAGCCTTTATCAATTATCAATTGATTCATTTTTCTGGCAAGAAGGACCTCGTCTACAGATGCATTTGAAGCTTTTCCCTACGTTCATTAATCCCCACTCAAATACATTCAACTTTAGTGAGGTTCATCGAATTAGAGGAGTTTTAACATCGTGGGAACTTCCTCTAACTGATTTCTTTGGACCTTATGAGCTTCTCAACTTCACTCTGCTGGGACCTTATTCAAATAGTATGTACTTTGGCATGGACATCTTCGTTTCAAGTCATTTTGGTCTAATTTATGAAATTATGCTGCATTTTTCTATTTGCTCATCTACCAGCACCAGCCTATGAGTATATTGGTCAATGTTCCTCCTGCATGACATAACTCTTCTGTTTCTTAATTTTATTTTAGAATCAGGTTTAGTGCAGGGTTCTTGTTCTTAATTTCATTCTGCATCATGGTAACTTCACTTATATTGTTGTTATAGTGATCATTGACCCACGAAGGATGGGCATTAGGAAGGGAATTTTGGCAGCTATTATAACAGGGGCAGTTGCATCATTTGTCATTCTTTCTGCAACTGTCATGCTTCTGATCACAAGATGCTTGAGACACCGGGACAGACCACCTTCTAGGAGACATTCATGTAAGTGCTGAATACTTGGAGATACTATCAGGTTGTTTATCATCCTAGAAAGTGGTATAAGTTCTTATCACTCTTTGCAGCCTCGAAGATTACAATGAAAATTGATGGCGTAAAGGAGTTCACTTTCAAAGAAATGACACTAGCTACCAGGAATTTTGATAGTTCAACTCAACTTGGACGAGGAGGTTATGGGAAAGTTTACAGAGGTATTTTATCTGATGACACAATTGTAGCCATAAAGCGTGCAGAAGAAGGATCCTTGCAGGGTGAAAAAGAATTCTTGACCGAGATAGAACTGTTATCGAGATTACATCACCGAAATTTGGTCTCTTTGGTGGGATATTGTGATGAAGAAGGGGAGCAGGTATGAGGTTTGCAGTCTTGGGAAATTAGTCATTGCTTCCAAGTTGCAACTGGTTTTTTTGTGCAGATGCTGGTTGAGTGCTGATGTATTAGAATCACATGAATGTAAATATCATTAGTCAAATTATGTTCTTGGTGCTTGTGCAGATGCTGGTTTATGAGTTCATGCCCAATGGTACCTTAAGGGACTGGCTTTGTGGTATGAAATTTCCAACATTCCCAGTTTCTTAAATGTCTCCTTCTATTCATCCATGCCTCTTTGGTTATTTCCATTGTTCTTCTCATCATTCCCCATTTTGGGACAAGATTTCTTTCTGCAGCTTGAGCTTCATCTAGCTAATTCTGCATTGAAATTTCTTCTTAAGTTCTGTACTTGCTGTGATATGACAGCTAAGGCCAAGGGAAGCCTGAGCTTTGATATGAGGTTACAGATTGCATTGGGTTCAGCTAAAGGCGTTCTTTATCTCCATAATGAGGCAAATCCTCCCATATTCCACCGAGACATTAAAGCCACCAACATACTTCTGGACTCCAACCTTATGGCTAAAGTAGCCGATTTCGGACTCTCACGGCTTGCTCCTCTACAGGATGATGCAGGGACCGGACCTTCATATGTATCTACAGCTGTGAGAGGAACACCGGTATGTTTAGATTCTGCAAAGCTTGAAATGAATCAAGAATAATATAATATCTGCTACTTTCAAATCCGTTGTGAGAAATTGAGAACCAAGAAGTATGCTTTGTTCCATAACTCTTTTGTTTTGGAACCAATCATACGTGCAGGGTTACCTGGATCCAGAGTACTTTTTGACAAGTAAGTTGACAGACAAAAGCGATGTCTATAGCCTTGGGATTGTGTTTCTAGAGCTCTTGACTGGTGTGCTGCCAATATCACATGGCAAAAACATTGTTCGTGAGGTAACACATTAAAACACCACTGCTCTTTCTGTGATCCATCTGCATATACCAAAAAAAAAATTCATGAAAAAAATATATATTTATTTGTCAGGTGAATCTAGCTCATCAGGCTGGGTTGATGTTCTCCATTATAGACAGCAGAATGGGATCCTATCCGTCGGAATGTGTACAGAGGTTCCTAGCTTTGGCCCTTAGATGTTGTTATGAGAAGCAAGATAAGCGGCCTGCAATGCTGGAAGTGGTGAGGGAGCTTGAAAACATAATCAAAATCATGCCGGCAGCTGACACCATATTTTCACCATCTGCTGCCCCATACAGTGACCAATCACCAACCTCATCATCCTACTTGACTAGAGACACATCCTATGTGTCATCCAGTGTTATAGGAAGTGATCTTTCCAGTGGTGTTGTCCCAACCATCGCACCTCGATGATGAAAAATATCCTCACATGTTAGTCACGTGACGCTGTATATATTCGTGTCGTATGAAAAGAAGTTATCCTTGATGAGAATCTGGGGGTTTTCTTTGAACCCTTTTCTCCGTTTTCCAGATTACAGGCAGAAAAATAACATCTTGTAGCTGAGTTTTGGATCTAAAATGTAGTTTTGTCTCTGTTTTTTTGGCTATCTAGAGAACGAAAATGTGAGTAATAATGAGTAGTGTAGTGTATGTACATAAATTAACATTTGAGATGTTGTTGTTGTAGTGTAACAAAAGAATGATGGTCATTTTACTGCATACTGAATTTTGAGTTGTTAGTTGTTACTAACAGTAACTGAGGCAAAACTGCACTCTCTTCTTCATTTTTCTCAGTTTTGGTTAGTGAATTGGACCAAACCAAACCAAACCGGGTGCAAAAAATCCTTAATATTTCTGATTGAAAAAAAGTTCCCAAAATCTTCCCAGCCAAGCATGTTTTGTGATGGAAGTGCGAAGAATGTCTTATGAGCTCTTTTTCCTGTCTTGAATTAAACAACCACTATCAGGCAAAACAATGTCGCTTATTTTTGGATAGCGAAAACAACATAAGGCAAAAGAAAAACACAAAACATGCCCAAAAAGTACTAATAAGATGAGTTAACCCTAAACCCTACTCATCAATTTCTTCTTCTTCATTCTTCATTGTCGGCGGCGTCGGGTTCTCTTCTCCATTTTCATTTTGTTTTCTCACGCATGCTTCTCTGTTCTTTTGACAAAAGGATTTTGTTTTTTGTTTTTGTTTTTTTGGATCAAAGGATTTTGTTTGTTTAATACTCACAGTTTCATCCACACCCCACGTTTTGACAAAAGGATTTTGTTTTGTTTGTCTTATTAAAAGTAATAATATTATAACCAAGACAAGTGGAAGTATGTTAAAAGTAATAATATTATCAGTTTTATGTTATTTAAAACATGTTTTAAATTATATATATTGTTATTATCCACGACGTATCGTATCTTAATTTTTGGAAATTTGTCGTATCCCCGTATTGTGTCATATCGTATCCCCGTATCCGTGTCCGTGCTTATTAAGAACCAAACCAATCAATCTATTGCTTAACCAAACCAGAAATAAATAGTCAGAATTTGAGATTGGGGCCTAAAAACCGAACCTTGTTATTGGCAAGACCATAGAAACTCCATGATAGGATTCCTTCATCATTTCCTTCCACTCAAGACAGACACCAAGTCAGCAAATTTTGAATTTTTTTTTCTTCTGTGCCATGTCGTCAATGTGAAGAGAGAAGAGAATAAGGCGGAGTTAGTGGAGGGAGGAATTGTCGTCGTTGTTGTTGGTGTGGTGAGGTGAACATGTCGTTTGGGAGAGAGCCAAGAGAGGAGAATAAGGAGGGAAATAATAGGGAGAGGAATAGAATTAGATGAATTAAGAGTCTCATGATCACTTCTTCTATGGACCTAACTTGTGATTCACTGCTTCGGCTTCCCAATCTCAATCTCAAGCTCAAATTTGCAACTAAGGGGGGTGTATTCAATTGAGATTTAAAAAAATTATTTTGAGATAGATAAGTCTTGTGGTATTCAATTATGACTTTTAAATAATCTAAACAAGTCTTGTGGTATTCCATTAAGACTATTATGATTTTTTAAAGAAAGTGTCAAAATCTTGTGGTATTCAATCAAGACTTTAAACAAGTAACAATAAGTCTTATGGTATTAAAAAACTTGTTAATTTCGATGGATTTTTTCAAATGTGAAATTGTGTAAGATTTTTTAATGAGATGTATAAGATTTTTTTTTTCACGTGAGATTGTTTTTTGTGCTCATCCACTTCGCCTTCTCTCAAAGCCAACAGGTCCAAAGTCCCAAACTCAAATGGGTTCTTCTCTGCTAAAGCTTACATGGATAATCCAAACTCCATCTCTAGCTTCGCCAGAAAGGGCTTAAAGGAAAAGAGAGAGAGAGAGAGTCATGGACCTCGTGGTTCAACATTAGGTAAATCCCTCCAAAAAAGTATGAGATTATCTCTCTTCATTTTCTCAGCTTTGAATCCTCGTCTGGGTCGTTGCCATTTTCCCCAAAGCCTTCCATTTTCTTGCCCAACTTCCTGACTCTTACAAAACGGAGACTCACTTGCATTTCAGGTTCAGTTCTCTTCTCCATTCACTTTTTCTCTGCATTTCTGAATCTTGACTTTGGTTATTATAGTCTGTTTTGGGGATTGGTGTTAAAATTCTTGTGGTCTGTGGGTTTGTTGTTGTTGCCGTAGTTGATTGGTTATAGGGAGTGGCTATGGAGGGAGGGTGGAGATGGAGGCTATGCAATTTTCTGGTTTTGTGTCTGTTCTGGTTTTTATCATCAATTCTCCCTTACTCAAGGATTTGCCGATTGTGTTCAAATTTTGAATCATCGTGCATGAATTTTGCAAATCAACTGAACTAGAGAACCTTCCTCTTAGGCCCTCTACTTTCCTTTGATTCCCAGCAAAGATAAGAAATGGCATATAGCTTCTAACTTATTAATTGAGGATTGACTCCAAACGATACCATAATTTGAAAAAGAAGCTGGTAGAGGATAGAAAAGAAAATACTACCACCAAACAAAACATAGGGCAGAAACTCCACTTGCATAGAACCACATGATATCTCATAACAGTAACAGTTCATAGGGTAATACAAATTTTAAAAAACCAAGCAAGTTCCTTTAACACTATTTGACTGGAGTTACCAACTGTGCAACAGGCCAGCGTTAAGATGGTAAAACCAGCAACCTCCCCTGTTATGGGTTCACTATATTTGTTGGGCTAGGTATTTTAAAAAGTTTCAAATTTTGGTTTGGGCTATAGCCCTATTTAGTTAGACCCAGATATAAATCCTATGATATAAATCCATGTGGTCCTTTCAAATTTTATAAAATTTTATGATATAATCTCTAAAATCCAAAAGTTAAAAATCTTGATTATACAAATTTATCAATAAAATCCTATAAGTCATTACATTCTGATTAAATCCGTTGGATTTTTTTAATCCTTAAATAGTCTTTTAAAATCTCAATTGAATAATTTTTTCAATTTCAGGTTTCAGACTTTCAATCAATTGTAGTATTCGAAAAATCGGCCTAGGTGGGTGACTAGGCAACTAGGCGGGCGCTAGGCGGCTGGGCGGGCCTCCTAGGCTAGTTAGGTCTTTTTTCGGTGTTGAACTCAGAGGACGAAGCAGCCGAAACCGAAGTGTTGAAATTGGATTTTAATACGATTCATTTGCCATGGAAGCTGTAAACAATTCATTCACCCATGACCTAAATAAACCTTCCAAATTTGAGGGTCTTCATTTTAAACGATGGAGGCAAAAGATGTTGTTTTACCTTACAACGAAAAAATTAGCTTCTATCTGCACATCTGATAAACCATCTGCCTCTGACAATCCCACTCCTTAACAAACTTGGGCCTTGCAGACATGGACTGAAAATGATTTCTTGTGCAAGAACTATATTTTGAATGGTTTATCTAATGATCTTTATGATTATTATTCTTCTTAAGATATTGCTAAAGATTTGTGGGATGCACAAAAAAAAAAAAAAAAAAAAAAAAAAAAATACAGTGGTTGGTGCAAAGAAATTTGTTGACAGTCACTATTTGAAGTTTCAAATGGTGGATGAAAAATCAGCAGATGCACAATCTCATGAACTATAGAAAAATTACACATGAAATTATTATTGAAGGCATGAATTTAGATGAACAATTTCAGGTGGCTGTTATAATTGACAAGTTGCCTCATAACTGGAAAGATTTCAAGAATGCTTTGCATCACAAGACCAAAGAATTTTCCTTGGAAAGCTTGATCACTCGTCTGCGTATTGAGGAGGAAGCCAAGAAACATGACATGAAGAAGAAGTTTTGCTCATCTCCAACAACAAGAAAATCACAACTCCAACATGAATCAAACCTATGCTGCTCTGAAAAAAAAAGGCAAGAATATGAAAAATCAAAACAAGAACCACAACAACAACAACCAGAATCAAAATGGTCAACACAACTAGAGTTGGAATCCTCAACACTATCATAATCGCAACCTTCATCATAGTCAGATTAGGAGTTAACCCCCCTCATGTGATGATGATTCGGGACAGTTTCTATGTATAACTATCACAAGCCGAGGCACCTTGCCTGGAACTGCAGGAATAGGTCTCGCCCAGCTCCTCAAGTGAATATAACTGAAGAGCAACTTATTGCTATGATTTCATAAATCAACGGTTGATGGATTCGAGGGGTGGAGGGTAGACACT